CCACTCCAAGAGACATGGATGTTCTCGATCGTCCGAAGAAGCGGGTGAGGCAGCACTGTGGTGACCAAGTCGTCTACGTTATTCGGAAACACGACAATGTGGCCCTTGATGTGCTTCCTGTAACTCGCACTCGACGGCGTCTTGTTATCAACAGTGAACTTCGTGATATAGCCAAAGGGGGCCTGGAGAGCGATCAGCCTCTCCTCGAGAGGAGAGAGGCCGTCGAGTTCTTTGGGATAACGATGCTCGCATCCTATATTCATGTTGTTGACGGAGCATGCCTTTGGCAGCTTCCCACGGTCGAAGCTACCGCGGCATTCGAGGCAAACATCGACCTGAGCGTCACCTGTCAGTGGCAGACACTTTTGGCACTCTTGAAGAGCCACTGTGGCTCGTAGGAGCGAGGAGGGCAAGTCCCTCCTCCACTGGATGGTAGTCACGTTGGCTAGCGCGCATTTTCTGTAACTGAAGGTGCAATGGGAAATAGGCAGTGTCCTCTCGTCTGCAAAAGCTGTATGGAACGATCTCGAAGTCTCGACTTGAAGGGCGAGCGGGACTTCCTTACACCAGGATCTCCTTAGCGATACGTCTTCCTTCACGCGAAAGCAGGAGTCCCGGTGTTGAAGAATTGTGTCAAGAGACAGTTGCTGATGTTGAGTAACCTCGTGCAGTAGTTTCGGCCTCTTCCGGCGGCTTCGGTCTCGGTCCGAGGGTGTCGGGGCCGGAAGTACGTCTTGCTGTATGCTATGCCGCTTGAGGGAAGGCGGTGTCCGGAGAGGAGAGGCTGGCTCAGGAGTCGTCGGTCCGGTAGCAACCCGCGTATGGACCCATTCACTGCGCCTGCGAGCCTGGTGGGGCCGATAGGGTCCGGGTCCACCGGTCCGACGTTCGGCGCGTCTACGGTCCAGGTCGTCCGATACACGGATGATTTCCTCGAGGGGCATTCTGAGCTTCGTGTTTCGGAGCTCCGACTCCATGACCCGCTGCGGCCGGGTGGTCCGCCGGGTGCGAGCCGTTGTATCAGTGTGCTGCCGATCTAGCCTCTCCAGAGTTTGGCGGACATCTTCTATCGGAAGGGGAGTTCGTCCTGGTGGAGGCATGATCCGAGTAAAAGTAACACGGACTATTATGTAGAAAGGATGAGACCTTGGATGTAAAAAGAGGAAACACCACCCTCAATCGACGCAGAGGTCGAGAGGGCGAAATAAGGCATTTGCCATCCCATCAATAGACTTTGAGAGAGAGGAGCAGAGACCTGAAGGAAGGGACTAACCCGCTGCGCAGCGGTAGTTTAGGTCCACGGAGTAGAAGCTTTGAAGCTTTCCGTAGGTGGCAACTTCGGAGAGGGTGCCAGAGGGGCGCTTCAAGATTACAACCACTCGAACCATGCGACAGAAATATCGCATGACGTTCAGACCGTCAATAACCGGCATGGAGGTTGCGCTCAAAGATGTTACGCTTGGCAGGTGACCGCATCTCGTAGTCAGCGGCGTCCAGCTGGCGCCAACAGTGTTGGTGTGAGTGGGATAATAAAAAGCAATATACAGAAGGGCTGACGGGCGATGGCATCATGAATCGCTCGAGACCAGAGAAAATTGTGCGGGGTGAAGGTTTTTGGAGCAGACCCTGGACAAAGTTCGGAACTGTTTTCCCGTCGGAATGTGGGGACCATTTGCGTATAAGAAGTCGAGCTCATCTCACGAAAGATCCAGAGATGATTCTGACAGACTACTTTCTCATCAAAACACTGTTGCGTGCCATGCAAGATTCAATCCCTGATGCCTCAAGGTCTAGGTTCCAGTAACGGGCAATCAAGGGCCCGTTTGTCGGGAGCGGCGCCAGGGCAGCCAGCTCTAAGCCCCCTGGGAGTGCAATTCTTCTCCAGCCTCGAAGGCTTAGAGATAGCTTCATCCACCGACCGGCAGCTTATCCGAGGGCACAATCTGATCGGTGCGGTCCGGCTGCAATTCGTCAAGGCGAGCTTCTTTGACGGAGGAGCAGGGGAGCACGGAGAGGTGCTCGATGAGATCGATGGAATCGACGTGCCACTCTCCATGCACGTGTACCCCTTCCCCCAAGCAGATGAGTGGGAAAACCAGTGGTTCTTCTTCGACATCCAGCTCCATCCGTATCAGCTACATTTCCGCCGTAGAGTCGAGGACGGTGAGGAGTCCATTATTGGAGGATGGGAAGACTCATATGCCAAGTTGGCCCAGGTTCGTGGACAGATGTGTGTTCAAGCGTATGTCGATGCCCTGTTTGAAAGCACCAATGTAGCAGAGACACAGGCCCATAAGTCAGAGGTCAGAATACTAACCGACACATCTTTTTAGCATCTCGATAAGGCCTCTCAGGCTTGCCAATGACTGCCTCCCGACCATAGCACCGCGCGCTACCTTCCACGGACCTGTCGACACCACGGCGTTCCGTTTCAAGGCTGGATCGTTGAGTAACAATCAGCTAAAATGCTGCGGCTTCATCCAATGCAGCACCTATCTCGTACCACCCCGTGACAAGGACCCGACATTCAGAGGCGGCCAGATGTTTCACATTCTAGCATACATGCCACACGATCAACAGCCCTGGAAAAGCCGGGTCGATTGGATGAAGGGCTTGCCTGAGGGCGGATTCGCATCTGGGAAGTGGATGTACGGAAGAGGCAGCATCGTTGGTGTCCTGAACCCGGCACTGTTACAGGAGGAGCTTCAACCTGGGCAAGATATCCTAGTTGTGCTCGTAGATGAGTTCAGCTTCACATCGAAGGCGACGCTCGAGGGCGCTACTGTGATGAGGAAGGCGTCCTCTCCACAGAAAGCAAAAGTCGACCTGGCAAAAAGACGAAACCCTTTCAGCAGCAGTCCGGACAACTCGCCACCCAAGCGCGCAAAAGATCCTTCTTCGACCAGGGGCATGAATGGTACAGGGAAAGAAATCAGGGACGGTGCATATATGCCTGTCGACCTGCGGCTCCAACAGGAACTAGCGGGCCATGAGAGGGATTCAATCTTGGTAGCAGGTTAGCATTCGACATGTCACCGCAAAGCGTTTTGCGGAGTAGAGCTAAGCACCAGACTAATACAGAAACGGAGACTTCACAGAGTCCGAGCCAATGAGACAAGATACATTCGCACCACCAGCCGAACGGGAAGGGCAACTCATGAAGCTACCACCGGAGGGCACCACGTACTCTTCTTTTCACGAAATGAGACAAGAGCTCGTTGAGTTCGCCAGATCACAAAGCTACGGTATTCGTATCTGTCGATCATTCCAAAAATTCTCAAGAATCACAGGAGACCCGGTCGCGAAGAAGAGAATGGTTTGGCAGTGTAACCGTGGAGGGAAGGGAGACTGTCCATTTTCATTCAACGCCGTGGAGGTCAAAATAGGAAGCGACCGGTGGGAAATAAGATATAAGAAGAACGAAAGCCAGCATGTTCATAACCATGGACCAAGCGGTGGATTTGTCATATGCCCTGAGCGAAAAGTGCGGAAATGATGCACGAAGAATTGACTCCTGTAAGACCATGATTTGGTGTCGGCATGAAAATCACAGCTCTTGTCCTCAATCGCTGGTTTTTTTTTTTCTTTCTTTATGTGTCACATGACCAGGTTCAAGTAGACGTATCAAGTAACGGGTCCTTGGTTAGCAAAAAAGGAAGAAAAAAAAATCGGCAAACGTCACTAAGAATGTCGTAGGACAAACCAATGTCTTGCTGACTCGATTACCCTGTATCTCTTTAAGTGGCAGAAGGCAACAAAACGGTCAAGACAGGGATATCAGGCCAATTAGATGAATTAATTCAGCCAATACAGGATCAGCTTGTATACAAAAGACCAATAACCAATAAGAATAAGTATAAAAAGCTAATAGCCAGTTAAAGTCAGGAAAAAAAGAGGCTATACTCTTATAGAAGTAGCTAAGCTACAAAGAAGTACAGGCTCTAATAGCTGCCTTTACATATAAAGCCTTTGTAGCCTTCTGGTACGTGGGGTCAAGTGGGTCAAGTGACCTTTTGTTGCCTTGTGCCACTCAAAGAAGAGATACACATCCAGCTGGGGCCCCAGTTTTTTCCCCAGGTTTTTTTTTTTTTTTCGGTGGTTGTTGTTGTTTGATTCCTGTGGCGCGAAGGTGATTGTGGCGCAGAAATTGTGGTGAAGCTGGCTAGCACGGACCACTCCGCGATCCGTGCTCGGGTAAGCAGGGCGAGGAAGAAAGAACCTTTTCGTTCCTCAAAGGCAAAGGCATAACCCAGCAACGTGCACGGGCCAGATTTGTTGTAATTCGTCGAATTACCACCACGACTGCGCACAGTAGGCTAGTCGGCTAATCCTCGTGTCACGAAATTATGGGCTACCATTGGAAAAGTTTCCCTATGAACGGGGGCTGCACTTACGGTTCTAGATTGCTTGTATGTAGACACTTAGTGCAACTGAAAAGGCCTTTATTGTGGTAGGTTGGCGCGAAGGCTAATATCTAGACAGTATGACTGTTGGCCCAAAATGTTAGTCAAGGAAGATTGACTAACAGGAGGGAGAACAAGCCGTACGTACTAAAAGTTGCTCTCTACCGAGGCAATTCTTATCATTCTCCGTCCCCACTTAGACACTCCGTCCCCGCTCAGATGTCTTATCTCCCATAGCTTGAAGTTAATGTTGAAATGACGTTTATGCCCATCGAAGACGCGTCTAAAGTTTGCCTGTTTCTAAAATAGGTTAGGTGATATGACATCGCGACGAAACAACAGCTTAGAAATACACATTCAGGATTGTGAATTGTAACAAAGAAAGGGATTTATATAAGCTTGCCAGGAAGATGAAGCATGGCATTGTGTGTATTTAGCCGTTCGTGCATTGTACGATTAACAAACGCCTACTGTGGTATTTAGGTGAAATACCCAAGTGGGCTCCGAGGTCCGGTTCCAGAGCCTGCCTTCAACACACTAAGCTCAGCATGCATTAGGCAAGTCCAAGTCCAGCTGCGTAAAAAGATTGAAACTAAGCTATATCTCGAAGGCAGAGTTTAAGAAATTGAGGGACAGTTCGTCGATGCGAAACTGCTCGAGACCCTCTGTGCCCATGAAACGAGAGTCAAGGTGATTTATGCCCGAGTCGAGAGACTGTTGCTCTTGAGACATGTGCTGTTCTTCTCGAAAAGGATCGATAAAGTGACTCTTGAGGCACATGCTTGTGTCAAAGTCATCTCTCATACCGGCGACCGCATGTAGACTTGACACGTCGTCGGTGCTAGACTTCCAAATTCCTGTATCGAGAAGCTCCCAAATCCATGCTGATTTGAACTTGATCGTGGCATCTTGGTTTATGATGTCACGACGGTTATGATCAGCAAGGTCTTGTAGCTTTCGCAAGACAATGAGCTACGGGAGAGTGTCAGCGCGCATCTTGATTCCATAGAAGAACTTCTTTAGATCTTAATCGTTTAATGAATCCTGGAAGCTAACCTCCTTCAACTCAACTTACACTATGAGAAAAGTGTGGCCATGTGAGTGCCATGTGGCTGAGAAACTCGTCACACCAACAAAGATCGTCCTGTGCTCTTCGTGCTACTCTTGTATCCACGGAGAACTGGAACAGCCACTGTACCGTTGCAGTGGCCGCAACCGCAACTCCAATCATTGGGTCAAATATACTCATAATACCGGTGCTCATCCGGATGATGCGGAATAGCCAGCCAGCATGGTATAGAGCCATCTCGACCTTTTGCTGAAGGAAGAGACAAGACTGGGGGATCTCATCCTGCGAGCGAAGGACAACTAGATGGAGGAATGGATGATTTAGGATGGCTTGAGCAGCATGCCAGACGATCTGAGTCGTCATCCAGGGATTCCAGTAGTCACGCTGCTGTGACACTTCCAGAGCTGTCCTTGTTGCGAGGCCCACGTTATTGAGAAGGTGTTTCCTATTATACTGACTTTCGAATTCGAGTAATTCTAAACTCAGCTTTGTGTGGGTTGATGATGGTAACCATGGTTTCTCGACCTCAGCTTGTCGCAAGCGATGCAGGTATGACCCCAGTTTACCCCATGTTGAAACAATACGGATGCAAGACGCGGTGATTCCAATATCTTGGTTGGACTCCAAAGTTGGAAGACGATCGGGCACGACTGGAGGCGCAGGCGGTGGGGGTTGTACTTCAGTGTCAGGATAGGGAGGAGGCCTAGCATCTAATAAACCTGGGACGGAAGAGGAGAAGAGACTCTCGAATATGCAGATGCTCCAAAAAGCTCGGGATACACACTCATCTCCCTGGAAGGGACAGTTTGCACCACCGTTGAATGAATTTTGTATGGTAAATAATCGAGAGGCAGCGCCGACAGTCATCGATGCGCGGGCGGGTTGATATGCTGGATAGGTTGTTTAAGACGTTGAGTACAATAACGTAAGTCAGAATGGGAAGAAGACTTACTCCTGATGTGTTTCATCGCTATTAGACACAAGGACTGCATGACCGTGGGTTTTGGAACACCCTCGAACGCGAGCCTCATGACAGCATCCTCAGCTGTACGAGCAACGAGCTCCTTCGAGTCTTGGTAAAATTCATGGTCGGCTATCGTTAGAATGAGCGATATAAAACTCCACAGAAGAAAACGAGGCCCAGACAGCAGTTGATCCGTCAAGTTTTCAAGAGGTAATAACGGTAACGGTTGAAAATGCAGCTTTGCCTCATATACGTCAACAAAGAACTCGAGTACTTCTTGAGGTGGCTCTGCTCTACGAAAAAAAGAAATATTAGCTAAGAAGGGATGGGAGCCATGAACCTTGGCTCGTACCCCTGCAATGCCAATGAGAAAAGCAACTTACATAGCTGATTCTGTGCTTTCAGGTCCTACCGGTGGTTGCTCCCAACCTTGTGTTCCTGAGATGCCATCTTGACTTGGTGTGACGGGGTAGTCGGTCTGAGCCTCGGTTTCGGGATGAAAAGATGGAGGCCTGGGCTTTCTTAGCACCGCAAGACGACTACGGGATTGACGGGGAATCGTACTCCGGAAGATAACGACGGCGCTCTTCTATCTGCAATGATGTATGTTGAAGTTCTTTCCTGGCGTTCGGCTGTGCTGTCTGTCTTCTTGTGAACCATTAGTCAACCTGCCCATTAATCTTTTGTAAGGTGGTTCAGCCACTTACACAACACCAGAGTGACCAGACCGCTTCCAACCCCTCGAGATAGCATGACCTCTAGCAGCGTTAGGCTTTCGAGGAAGATAAAAGCAATTCGCCTTTAGTCGCTGACAGAAGGAGCAGATAGGTTTCTCTCCGGTACATTTGCTTTTCTTTTTTCTATATGGCAGCTCCTGTGTCAGCACTATTTGGGACGGACGAAACAACGCCCGAGAGACGCGTCTGCGGAAGTGACAAAGAGATACAGGGGAGGGAGATACACTCACCGGCATGGCTCACAGGCGTGCCGCGTCAATTCCGACGATCCTGCAGCTGAGGGCTGCATCTTGGAACACCGGCACTTTTTACAGGCGGTTCTGTTACTCCACAATGTGCGTTACGAATAGCGTGGCGTAGCTGTGAGAGCGGGCGGCAGCATGGGGGGAGGATAGGGCAAGGTAGTGGTGGCGGAACGAGAGGTGGATAATGTAGATAAGGTGAAACCAACTGTTTATCAGTCGCCACGTACAAGCGTGCGTGAGTTAGTCGCTACAAGTCGTCGTGCATCATCGTTATCGAGGTCCAGGCCCCGGTTACTTTTTTCGGAGATGTATGAATGTGGACCGGAGATGCCGGGCCCACTCACTAGTCTACCCCGTTAGCCTGGTATGGACGTCACGTGGCCGGAGTCTGAAGCAAACTCCCAATAAAGGGAATGTGGAAATCGGGTCCGGCCTAGGCCCTTCCCGGGCCGGTTCATGCATTATGCGACATCTAGTGGAGATTCTATTGGTCATAAACAGTTTCGGGGTGTCACACAGGCGTAAAGTACCCGAAAAAAAAGTTGAATGCCGGCTCTTTTCGTTGTCCTTGGTCCGATAACCCGAAAAGATGTCCGGCTGTCTTGATAAGCCATCGAGTCGTTAGACTGGCTAGTACCTCTAAAGGTAAATGAGGGGTACCTTACATGGTCGAAACTCCGGATTACCTTTGGAGGTTAAGTTGCAGATAAAGATGAGTGCCCTACCTTACTGACAAAGTCGAACGATATCCCCATAGCACATCATACCACTCGTTCTTCACAATCCTGACACACATAATTGGGTTGCAAGGGCAATATCTGTTTGAGCCTCAAGTATCAGCTGCCACTAGCGAGCGGAGCCTCAAATATGTCGTGGACAGATATCTCGGTAGCGGCCCAGGCCGAGCTTCTACAGAAGATCCCTGAGAGATGGCGGATCGACCAGAAGCAATACTCAGGCCATTCTGACGTCTCTCGTGTTCCGGTCACTTCTGGAATCTTGAGCAAGCGACAGATTGAGATTACCGAGCTTACCGTGTCAGAGCTCCACCAACGTATCAGAACTCGCGCGTTGAGGGCCACCGAGATCTTGGAAGCTTTTGCTGCTCGGGCTGCTATCGCCCATCAACTGGTAAGTGAGCCAGTACATAATAAACTCGAGATTCTTGCTGACTATCCACAAGGCAAACTGCTTGACGGATTGGTTCTACGAGGAGGGACTTCACCGCGCCAGAGAACTCGACGAGATACTCGAAAACGGCGGCGATCCTATCGGTCCCCTACACGGCATACCTGTCGCTCTCAAGGTACAAGCTTGAACTATATACAATTTCCCAGAATGCGACATAATCTGACAGCTTTCTCTAGGACACTTACGGTCTCAAAGGTCATGTCACAACGCGAGGTTACATCGTCGGCAAGGGCGTGGTATACGATCACACTTCCGACATTATCGAAACGCTCAGAGCGGCAGGTGCTGTGTTTTACTGTAGAACCACCATGCCTCAGACGGGGTTCATCCTGGAGACAGTGAGCAACCTCTGGGGTCGAACATTGAACCCCTTCAATAATCGCCTGGGTGCGGGCGGTAGCTCTGGAGGAGACGCCGCTTTGGTCGCGATGAAGGGAGCTCCTATTGCTCTTCCATCCGATACAGGCGGCTCAATCCGTGCACCGGCTGCGTTTTGTGGACTTTATGCAATTCGCCCTACGTCGCTACGTATTCCTAAAGGGAAATGGGCAGGTACTATGACTGGCCAGATATCTATCAGGGACTCCGCAGGACCGATCTGCCATTCTATTGATGACGTTCGGCTCTTTACAGAAGTTATTGGCTCTCATCAACCTCAACATCGGTACGATACGAACGCTGTTCCCATTCCGTGGCGAAAGGTTTCCTTGCCTGAGGGTAAGCTTTCAGTTGGTATTATGAAGTGGGACGGCGTTGTGATGCCACAGCCTCCTGTACTGAGAGCTATCGAGCATACAAAACAAGTATTAGTGAGCGCCGGCTTCGAAGGTGAGTTGTAATCGAACATACTTCTCTTGGTAAGCTGGGCTAACCAATCATAGTAGTCGAGTTCAGCCCTCCAGTCGATTGCTGGGAGCTTGCAAAGTGTTACGTATGTATTTACCGACATAAGCCATAAACAGCGGAGAAACTAAAAACAATCACAGTATGGCCTTATCTTTCAGGACGGGGGTGCAGATACTCTAACGAAGGTAGCTGTCTCCGGAGAGCCTTTGATGCCAGCCTTTGCTGACCTTCTAAAAATCTACAACGCGAGATCCCTGGCAGCCTCGGAAGTTTTGAAGGTAATGAAAATACTCTCGCAACGAATCATGATGCTGACAGGACATAATTTAGCTCAACCTCCAGACCAGAGCCTACAAAACAATTTTTGCTGAGGCTTGGGATAAGACCAAGGATATAACCTGCACTGGACGCCCCATCGATGCACTTATCTGCCCACCTGCCCCTTCCACCGGCATCCCTCATGACTTCAACGCATGGTGGGGATATACATCAATGTGGAATCTTCTCGACTATCCATCTACGGTGATTCCTATCGCAAACTTCAGGATTAGCCCTGAACTTGACCCACGAGAAGCATACTACAAGCCCCTGGATACAAATCCTTATGACCAGCAAAATTATGCAATGTGTACGTTTCTGGCACTCTGCTACTTACCAGCGAATATGCTTTACTGATATACATTATAGACGATCCGAACATTTTCGTCAACCAGCCAAGCACCATACAGATCGTAGGGCGGCCGTTTGATGATGAAGAACTTATCGAGGTCAGCGCTCTAGTTGACAAATTACTTCAAGAATCTGGAGGGGCGAGCCATAAAAGTGCCACAGAGCAGATAGCATCAAAATTGTGAGATGCAGGTCTCGTAACGAAAGAAATCAGTTCTGCCAAGAGAAGAAGATGTGCAGTTGAAGAATGACATGTCAATTCACTCATCGAGTACTCTGGGCTGGAAGAAAGGCTAGATAGATGCAAATTGATTCAAGTTTTATACTCTCAACACCGGATCTCTCCTCTTGTCACAAGGCGTGCTCGTGCATCAAAGCTAACGAATCCGTATAACACTATGAAATGGATGTAGACTGTTTTCCAAAGTGCTAAGTTAGCTCTTCAATTACCCTTCTACTTTCAAAAAACCTACGACGTAACGTGCATAAGCATGTGAGCCAGACAAGTATATGAGCCACTATACTGTAAAGTATAAAAACAGCCTACCCTATGGAGCTTAAAGTCCCAAATAAAATAGCTAAAAATGTATAAAAAGTATTTTTAAGCTTAATATGCTTAACTATACTAGAATATATTTTTGAAAGACTTATATCAACTTTGGTTTCTATAGAAAACTTGGAAATACAATGTTTTGTACAGTGTAAATACAGTTTCTCATTTAACTTTATAAAGAAAAGAACTAACTTAGTTATAATTTCTATGGATATAACATATAAGGATATAATAGTTAAATGTATTGTATTATATTTTCTTGTTATTTTAGAGCTAAATTGACGTTCTGAGAAAAGTTTAATAAACAGCTTTTAAGGTGAGGGTCATAGTTGTTACAATTCGTGCCCGTAACAGCGCTGTAAGGCTTCTATAAGCGGCTGTATGCACCACTGTAATTGTTACAATAGCAGTTATTAGCCAATCTTTTGCCTCATGGCGTAATGGTTAGGTGCAGCCGTTACAATAGTGGCTCACATACCTGTCTGGCTCACATGCTTATGATGCACGTTAACTGAATACATTATTCCAGCAAAAGAAGAATGCATTCCTATTACTGGAATTGTTGACCACGTAACACCAGCACCGTGTAAACAACCACCATCTAAGTCCCCCAATTGAATCGGGGCTTAAAATATTTTTGCTAAAAGGGGCTAATAGAGGGCAGAAAAACCCATTCGTCCGGTGAGGAGAGTGTATCACCTGCTGTATTAAAGCTCCTATGAATGGAAGACACGCCATCGCACCTACAACGTATAGGCAATGTATGTATGTATGTGTATTTTTCGTCTCGGTGGCTGTAACGAAGCCAAATTTCCTACTGGAGCAAAAGACGTGCTGAGCTAGCTAGGTATAGGAACTCCGCCCCCTTCACCATCCAGCATATCAAAGGCACAAAAGGCGCTGGGGTTATCCACTGATGTAATTAATCAATTAACCTGAATCCAAGGTCGGATTCAGATTAATTATTGGAACCGGCCCTTGGATTCAATGACTAATTAATGATTCAGCGATTAATTAGTTACCAGAAGCGTCCTTATTCTTACCGAACAGGAACGCCTGCACTGCCGGATTGATGACATGACCGTTACAGCAGAGTCGGCGGTGGGCGGCATTGAAACCACAGGCTTTGGCTACGGCTTGCAACACTGTGTCGTTGTTGTAGGCGTTATCACCGGCTTAGAGAGGCGTAGAAGACCAAAATCAGTCCAGCCTGGAAATCGGGAATGGGTTACAGCGATTTAAGCAATTAATGCAGAAGGTCAGGCAATCGATCCATTCATCGCGGTTGCAGGCCAATATCACCTTGCCAATTGGTACCGAGAAAGCAACCTCCTGGCCACTTGGGCTATTGCTACGACCCAAAATGGCTGGACAGATAACAAGCTGGGTCTCGTGTGGCTAAAGAACTTTGATCGGTCTACAACTAACCAATCAACTGGTCCCTATCGTCTTCTGATCCTTGATGGTCACGAAAACCACCACTCGGCCGACTTTGAGATATATTGTGAGGAGAACAATATCATTACACTCTGTATGCCACCTCATTCTTCCCACCTGCTTTAGCCTCTTGACGTCGGGTGCTTCGGGCCGCTAAAAAAAGGCATATGGGCGAGAAATAGAGCATCTGATCAGATGCTCTATAAACTATATTTCTAAGACCGAGTTCTTCCCGGCCTTTTATGCCGCTTTTCAAGCTGCTATGACTGAACAAAATATCAAGGGAGGTTTTAAAGGAGCTGGGCTTGCTCCCTTTGACCTTGAAAGTATGATCTCAAAGCTTGATGTGCAGCTACGGACTCCAACACCTCCCGAGGAGGTTACTGAACCCTCGACCCTGTGGACTTCAAGGACCCCTAAGACACCACTCGAGGCCCAGTCTCAGTCTAAATACCTTCAAAATCGAATCAGAAGACATAACAGCAGCTCACCAGAGTCAATTATAAACGCCGTTAAGTCTAACACCAAAGCAACAGTGGCAGTTATGCATGAGGTTGCTTTATTGAGGGCAAAGATACGAGACCCTCGACAGGCGAATGAGACACTTAGCCGGCGGCGTAGGGCAAAAAGAACCCGCCTACAGAATAGGGGGAAGATGACTATAGGGAATAGTCAGGATCTGATTGATCAGATGGATGTAGATGCGCAAGTAGTGGCCGAATCATCGAAAAGTGGTTGTCAAGGAAGTTCGGCGCGACCGAGGGTTCGGCGCTGTAGGGCTTGCGGGAAGACTAGACATAATGCAAGGACCTGTCAGGAAGGAATTCAGGCCTCAGGGAAAGAGTATAGTAACTAATTTTAATTAATTAGATAGTTTGTAGTGTTTTTATTACGATATCTTATTTATAGGTTGAAATTTTTGGCCGGTTCACTTATCTAGCCCGTTTGCTTATCGTGTACGTTATGCTGTTAAGAATGGATATATATTCATTACCGGTACTGGGATGTCTGTATGCTGAGTGCTAATATATCGCTAGGCTCTTAAAAACAATTTCTAGATAGTAAGCAGTCTTACTTATAATAATAAAGTTACTTTCGAGCCTCAATGTTCCCGAGATATTAACTATCAGATTATTTATTTCTCCAGTTTCATTTAACATAGAAGCATTAACTATGAAGCTTGATATTATTATATACCTTTCCTTTAATCATCCGAGAGGATATAAATATGAAACTGCTATGCTATCGACATACTCCCTCATATTGACTTCTTTCGGCCACTGCCATGACGATGAGCACAATTCTTTTGTGGATTATTGCTTAGTTCTTGAGACTATTCCACTTTGCTACAATAAACCAACTCTCACAACATTGGTACTCCCTCCACGGTCAAAGTGCCAGTCTTAGACACCAAGTACTCTTCAATTGCAACATCCTTGCCAGCTTCTTTCCCATAACCCGATTGTTTCATTCCACCAAATGGTGACTCGGCACAGGATGCGTTGCCTTAAAGCAATTGTCAGTTGCATATAGAGATAACTAGACGAAACAAAAGGGGAATGTTGAGTTAACTTACCAGTATTCATGCCAATCATTCCAGCTTCAAGACTTTCCAGTAATCGCCACGTTCGGCTAACATCCCTGGTGAAGAAGTACGAAGCTAGACCCATGGACGTATCATTAGCTAGCTTGACTACCTCTTCTTCCGTCTCAAACTTGTATAGGCCCAGCAAAGGCCCAAATACCTCTTCGTTAGTTGTCAACATATCCTTGGTCATATTCGAGATAATAGTTGGCTCGAAAAAGTAGCCGTTGATGCTAGGCTGATTGCCTCCACAAAGGAGCTTGCCCCCTTTCCCAACAGCATCAGACACGTGTTTCTTGAGTTTTTCGACCTGGCGACTCGTAGTCAAGGGACCCATCGTCGTGTCCTTTTCAATACCATGACCGACGTTGATCGTTGCGGTGGCTTCAGTCATCAGCTTAGCAAACTTGTCAAAGACGCCGCTCTGTACGTAAACCCGGTTGGCATGTGTGCATGCCTGGCCAGCAGTGCGCCACTTGAGAATCATCAGAGCAGCGACAGCTCGGTCTAAATCGCCGTCATCAAACACGATAAACGGGCAATTCCCTCCCAATTCCATCGTCACCTTCTTCAGGCCGCCCTCGGCACAGTGCTTCGCGACAATGCTTCCAACGCTAGTACTTCCAGTGAAAGTGACTTTGCGCACAAGCGGGTGCTTACAGAGCCTCTCGCTGACAGAAGGAGTGTTGTCGTTATCAGTAGAGATGACGTTGATCACGCCAGGCGGCACACCTGCACGAAGGGCAAGATCGGCCAGAGCCATGACGCTTAAAGGGGTTTCGGGCGAGGGCTTGATAATCATAGAGCATCCCGCTGCCAAGGCTGCAGCTACCTTTCTGATAATCATAGCAACGGGGAAGTTCCAAGGAACAAGAGCAACGCACACTCCAATAGGCTGCTTTATAACAAATGTACGGCGGTTGGACACGGAGGGAATCGCAACAGAACCTCGCACTCTCTCAGCTTCACCTGCGAACCACCAAGCGAAACCGAGTGCGTAATCGATCTCCCCAACAGCCTCTACCCATGGCTTGCCGGTTTCAAAAACGAGGATTTTGGCGATATCTTCGCGTGCAACAGTGATCAGTTCGTGCCATTTAAGCAGGATCTTGGCCCGTTGACGTGGGTTGATGAAACGATAGCTTTCAAACGCTGTTTGCGACGTCTCAACGTATTGGTCTACATCGGCGACGTCGTTGTTGGCACAAGATGCCCACACTTTGCGAGATCCAGGGTCTGCCAAAAGGTTCATGTTAGTGCCACCGGGTCATGTCATCATGATAGGAAGTTAACTACCTTCGACATCGAACTTGTCTCCAGATTTGGCTTGAACCCATTCTCCGTTCAAGAGTGAAGCCTCGTGGAAGAGGGATGGGTCATCAAGCTATCAAACGATCAGCGGCGTAATTCGGTTCCAGGAACGATCATCTTACAGTGAATGGTAGCTTGGTAGACATGCTGGGCAAGTGAAGCAGCTTGATCTGTTTGTTGAGCAAGGCATGATTAGAGACGTGCTAGGCCTATATATCTATAGCTCGTTAAGACTCAACATCAACTAGGTACTAAGTTGCAATTCTGCACAGGTCCGATAACGTCCCGAGACTCAATCACAATTCTGACGTTAGATCATAAGTTGTCTGGCCACATTACTAGGCCAGTTCCCCGCTGATAGTTAGGCTCGGGATGAAGGGTCGATCCGATTGGATGACCCTCTGAGCCCGAACTAACGTTGTGGGGACATGTCATGTTTTGATTACTACAACGAGGAGGGCTTTGAAATCAATTGAGCGACTGGCTTTACTAGTTAGTTCCAGGAAAGTACATGCCGAGTGTTATGTCACGTTTAGATTACTCAGAGTGGATTGTCTGTCGGATCACTGGAGAATCTGACTGATCGCTTCGGGCTATGTGAGAATTTTTTCACATTGTGCTACTAAGTGGACAACACAACGTGATGGTCTTTCCGCGGAAGACCGAAGAGCCCAAAGACATGTTTTCGAGTAGCGAGTAATCGTTCGTAGGGCGCAGATGTCATTGGCGCCGAAAACCGGCCCTGCGGTCGACTGGTATTACATATAAGAGCAGCCGGTGATCTGGATTGAAGATGTAAACAACAAGCAGTACTTGTACACCCTGATGGCATCCACACAGAAAGAGGTCTGCATTGCAGTCATCGGTCAGTCGTTACCAAAATCAACTCGCCCTATAGATTGGAACTAACAGACACACAACAGGCGCTGGAGGCGTTGGCTCCGTCTTTGTCGAGCAGCTTGCATGGCTTACTAAGAATCAAAAAAACACTCGCCTGAAGCTATGCTACATTGCGGACATCGATCGAGCTTTATATCATGACGATTACTCGGAACTGGACATTGACTTGGCTCTTGAGACTTTGCAAACACAAGGCCGTGGTCCTCCCTCCCTGGACAAGATTATCAACTACCTATCCGGAGCGCCCCACAAGGTCATCGTGGCAGACAATACAAGCTCTCAGGCAGTCGCTTCAGCTTATCCCTCCTTCTTAAAACGTGGCATAAGCATCATCACCCCTAACAAGAAGGCTTTCTCTGGGGACTATAAGTTATGGCGAGGGATTTTTGATGCAACTACACCTATCGGTCCCTTCGTCTATCACGAATCTTCCGTCGGTGCTGGAATGCCTATCATCTCAACGATCAATAACCTTGTCAACACTGGCGACGAGGTGACTCGAATTGAAGGAGTCTTTAGTGGCACATTATCTTTTCTATTCAACTCGTTTGCCCCCACCTCAGGAAACGGTGGGGCATGGTCAACTGAAGTTATCAAGGCTAAAGAGCTTGGTTACACTGAGCCTGATCCTCGGGATGACCTCAACGGCCTCGATGTGGCTCGTAAAATCACGATCTTAGGGCGATTGGCTGGCCTGCCTATTGAGTCACCCGCGGCATTCCCAGTCCAGAGCTTGATTCCACAGGAACTAGAAGGCATCACCGATACCTCGGAGTTCCTAAAACGTCTTCCTGAGTTTGACTCGGTGATGGAAGAGCACAAGAAGGTCGCTGAAAAGGCTGGGAAGGTTATTCGTTACATTGGTAGTGTCGATGTGACAACTGGACAAGCCAAGGTTGGCCTTGAGTTGTTCGAACCTACTCATCCAATTGCTACGCTTCAAGGCAGCGATAACATCATTAGTTTCTACACTAAACGCTATGGAAAGATGCCGTTGACGATTAGAGGTGCAGGTGCTGGAGGACAGGTTACTGCAATGGGTGTTACAGGGGATCTGTTGAAAATCATCTCACAAATGTAGAAAGCAGTAGAGAATTTATACTTTGCGCCTTGATCACGGCTAAATACTCCAAGTCTCACCCGTGCCAACCTACTGGCAGACATCTACAGCAGACACCCCAGTAATGACTATATATCCATTCTTAAGAGCATATTCATTCTTAAGCTTATGCATATGGATAAGAATATAGAGGCTGCCAATAAATACATAATTCTTATATTCTTAAGAATATGGATCCGCCACCTCCCTCCTCACAGGGATACCCTCACTACGCTTGCTTACACGAGCGTGTTTCATGTTGATTGCAGCCGTGCACCGCAACGACCGACCACTGCCGTTGGGGTCCGCGGCGCGGCTGGATGATAACGAGCGACGAGAAGTAACCCCGTACGAGCGCGTCAAGCAGCCAATGAGTGTCTCGGACGAACTAGGAAATGAGGATGAATTCGAAAAGTTCATCAATTCTCCGCCAAGACCAATGACGACAAGCACGCCTCTTGAACGGTGGTGCCGAGAAGAACAGAAGATTGAGTATCCACGTTTACATCAATTGGCCATTGACGTACTCAGTGTACCAGCGATATCAGACGACCCGGAACGGGTATTCTCATGCGCACGACGGACAATTTCATGAGACAGGGCACGGCTCTCGGCTGATACTGTCGAGAAAATTCAATGCCTGAGATATTGGGTGAAGAAAGGCTTGATCTGCAAAGTCTATGTGGCAGTACATAACGGGGTCATGGAAGTCCCCAGCGACAACGACGATACAAGTGGGCCCTCAAGCTTATATTAGGAATAATTCATAAACTTAAGAATAGATAAGAATATAAGGGCTTGACTATGAATACATAAGAATAAGGCGATATTATGTATTTATTCATTGTTGGGATGTCTGCAAATGAGATAACACTTGTCAAAGGTAAGCCGGACCCCCTAGGGTTCAAGATCTGGGTTATCGCTCAACGGACTTTCTTTATCCGGTGGCTATGGCATATCAAAGAAGCAAAATACGGCGCCGTTGGCGTTGAACTTCCCCTACCGACGTCATCCACACGAGGCCGAGCCACGGCCACGAGGAAGATACCTGCTATAGAAGACAGGCCTATCGCCTTGAACTCGACCCAGGGCGTCGTTGTTGCCCTGGCAAATACGCTGCCAAGAGCGACATATCACGTCTTTGTGGATAACCTCTTCTCGTCGTCAGATCTCTTCCGCAGCCTTCGCAAGCATGGCTATGGGGCCACAGGCACGGCTCGCCCTGACTGTGGCATCCATAAGGAGCTACAACAAGATAAGAAGGCTGATGGGGGGGGCGGGCCAAAATCAGCTACGAGCTTAACCAAGTCAAGGTGATCCCAACCCCTGACAATCAGGTATAGCTTCAGACACTTTTTATATGTGAGATCCCTATTAATTTGTGTATGTGCCATACTTCTAGGTCTACCAGATAGCTTGGAAAGATAGCTGCCTTGTGTTGTTCCTGACTACTGTTCACGGGCAACGAGCGAGTTGATCGAAGGAGGAAGAGGCCGTCTTCTAAGAAGTCAGAAGCCAAGCCGATACAGCGTTTTTCTTGTGACGAAGCTGTCAAGGTGATAAAAATCCCGACAGTTGCTGCTGCTTACAACGACGAAATGAATCATGTTGATTGAGGTGACCAGTTGAGGTCATACTATGCCTATGATCATCCACTCCGCCGCGGCCCTTGGCGGGCACTTTGCCGGACGCCGATGTTGCCGATGTTGCCGATGTTGCCGTAGGAGATAGGACGATTCATGTGGAGTGAAAACGCCTTGGAGTTGACAATCTTGACTAAAAGGCGCCTAGTGTGGGGGGCTGGCGCAGGAGCTTTGACAATAGGGTACTCTATCTCTGGCGCCCGCTGACAAGTTTTCCTGAACCTTTCCAGCTGCATTACGTCTTACGGGTGGTCCAGTGCTTCACATGATTGAGGTTGAGTTGGTTCACCTGAGGTGACATTGACTAAGGGGTTCTGGCTGACGCCCTTTGCTCGACGCCAATTCCCACTATGGCACGATATGGCATGATGGGAAATGCCCAGCTGGACTTTCCCCTTGTTCCAAAGCTATGTACGGGGCCACGTAACAATTTCCTGACTCAGTGTTCGTGTCTTTTGTTGCCTTCTGTCGTTGCTCCACAAGCACCCCACGGCCATCGGATGTTGAGGCTTGAGAACCGTCGTCGATATCCGTGCTCTGACCACTCTTCGTAATAATTCTGGCTGAATATCCTGGGACGACTACGTCACGGCAGTCAACATACAGTCTGCTCAAGTTTCGAGACGCCTTTGTTCCATTCCCGGCTTCTCATTCTTCCTCAAGACTCAACCAGAATGGCTTCCAATGAGACCAACGGCAAGCCCGACAGCTTCGTGTTGGCAGCCGAGGCCCTCCAAAAGGCCCTGCCATCGCGCCGGCCATGCACGTGGTCGTCTATTACGGATACGCGGGGGACCCTGACAACCTCGTCCCAATGGTTAACAATGATGTATGTGCTAGACCTTGCTTTCCCCCGAGACTTTACTAACCCTGTGTGAAAGCCCAATGCGCCGTTTGACTCGCACGTTTACGCTCGCGGGTCGGCGCCCAACTCTAACCGTTTGAGGTCCCCTTACGCAATCTCTTTGGCGGAGAGGTCATCTCCTACAAGTCCGGTCTCTCTGTTTTCCTCTGTATGATCATTTTCCTGAACCCCAAGCGCGTCTTCATCGGAGATAGCTACCACGGCATTCACGGAGTTTTGGACGTCATGGAGAAGCTCAACGGGATGAAGAAGCTCACCCTGAAGGACCTCGATCAGTTACAAGCTGATGATGCGGTGCACGTCGAGACGCCCCTGAACCCCACAGGCGAAGCTCGCAATCTCGAGTACAATGTTGGAAGCAAAGAACCAATCAGGCCATCAAGCACCAGCCCTGTCGCTAAGAGTGGGGCCGCGGCAGTTACATTGAGTGTCCTCTTTCAAGCGAAAGAGGAATACAGGGGCAACAGCTCAATCAAGACGCATGAAAGTCCTTTAACACCTGAAACTAGGGCTGCCATAATGATGTAGGGCTTACTTAGGATGATCTCACACTACACAGTTTTATTTAACTAGATACTTGTATGAGGAACTACTTAGTTAAAGCCTTCCTCTAAGTCCTGAAAATGTTAGCATAGGGCTGAATTGTTGAAGAAGCATGCATACCCAATTGATCATGTCAGTGTCTAGCCATTCCCGAATATCGGCCCAATCTCCGAACAGGTTTCCAAGCTGAGTTTTTGTGCCCGTTATCAGGGCGTTTCCTGCCCCTGCTATGAGTTCTATAGCCGACATTCAATTAGTTCAAGAGGACCAAGTGCTGGAGAGTAACATACTGTAAATGGTCAAGTATTTGATGCCCCTTAGGACAGATTCTACTTCGATCTGAGAGGTCTTTCATCCGAAGAGCCAAAGATCTAATTTCCTCCCGGAAGGAGTCCAAGTTATATCCTGGATCAACTGTCATTGACTCATCTTGAAGACAGGAATTGAGGGCCACAGCTGCGTGAAGCTGTTGGAAAATCCGGGGATCCCCCTTCCTTTCAGGGTTTAGACTGTTAGTCTGAAAGTCCTAGATTTAAAGTTCAAAGTCCTAGATGAAACCATCTAGAGATATAAACCGGAGAAGAACTCTCATCTCAATAATGAACAATCAAGTTTCATAAAATATACTTTCACCAAGGTTGAAAGCCACTCCACCCAATCCACGTAGTGGATCCACTCGTGGATTCCACTGTCCACTCCACTGGCAAAATCCCAGTGGATTGGCTAATCCACCGAATCCACTCGGCAATGTCGTGGATGGATTGGGTGGATTTGGGTGGATTATAAGTGGGGTAGTTAAGGGCGCCCATATATTTTGGCAGAATGCCTTTAACAGAGGCTGATGTGCCCCATAATCTTTGCAATGTTGCTACCCTATGTCAAAAACACCATGAAGCTTCTGAACAGCGCAATTTTAGAATACATACAATATAGGAAACACTATTCGAATGTCCTATGCTTTCTCATTGGGATGACGTAAGTCTCGATTGGTATACTTAAGATTTGCTCCGTGAGTGCATATCGTTATGAGGGCCATCAATAAGTGTACATTTTCCTCAACAACATATCCGGCAAATATCAAGTTCGACTGTCCATACTTTGGATTTATAATACAACAATTATACCATTAAATAACTGCCGGCAAGCTGATTCAAAAAACGCGTCCAGATCCCTCAATATCTCAATACTGCGCGAAAAATTGCAAGCGATACTAATCGCGTCAAGCTCGTGATGTGAAGGATGTTAGGGACTTATCTAATACCCGACCCCAACATGGCACTCGCTACGTGCTCGTCCACATCAAATTGGCTCGAAAGGCAAGTATCTGAAACATCTGCAGGATAAGGGCATATTGTGCCAACTGGTCGCGTTGGACGCGTCATTCGCGCTGACCTGACGACCTGTTGTTGACCCATCACCTGCACCATGTTTTGCGATTTCGACATGACAAAGAGATTATTTTACCATGACCTCGCCTGATTCCTGCTTCGACATTTCCGACAACGGCTTCGGGTCCGCTGCCGAATCAACACCCTGCCCGACGCCGTATCCTACCCGTTCAACCTCGACCCCTGTCTCGACTCTAAGGACCTCTTCCGTAAGCGATGAACAGTACGAACGTACGCTCTGGAGGCATTTCCCAGGCTGGACGTTCTCTGAGCGAGCCAGGGAGACGCGTTGCTGGGCCTGGCAATTTGGATATGACATCCAAAAGGAAGACGCCCGCAGATGGATATGCCGAGCGTGCATTCGCAAGAATAATCCACATCCACGTCATTTCGAAGCTGATGGTATTCATAACGCGTACAATCATCTGTTCAACGACCACGGGATCCGCGCTCCGCCTGGAATGACCCAAGGAACTGCTGAAAAGAAGGCGAATTCTAAGGGCAGAAAGCCTCCGGGGCAGCGGACTCTCGCTGAATCCATGAAGCTCGATCTACACGACCCCCGAGAACAAGCGATTGCGAATGACTTCATCAAACGCTTCGACAAGGAACACTTCCGGAGGCTTCTGATCGATTGGATCGTGGCCAAGAATCACTCCTTTTCAATTGCCGAGGAGGCAGAACTCCATGCTATCTTCGGTTACTTGAACCCGTCAGTTTCGGCACGTAAAGCCAATATTACCCACACAACTGTTCGAGAAAAGATCGTCGCCGCGTTCGAACAACACAAGCAGAAGGTGATAGAGGTCTTGGGCAAGGCGCCTGGCCTTATCCACATCTCCTTCGACGGCTGGCGGTCTGGAAACCGATACGCCCTATATGGCATCTGTTGCTTCTTTAGGGACGAAAACAACAAGCCTTGCAAGATTACGCTTGGGCTCCCCGAAGTTAGCGCCAGGCACACGGGGCCTAATATCGCCGCAGAAATCCTCGACGTAATTGAATCGTATCAGATCCAAGACAAGATTGGCTATTTCACGCTTGACAACGCGAAAAACAATGATACCGCTATGGAGATTATTGGTGGAGAGCTCGGCTTCGTTGGGGCCCGCAGGCGAGGGCGCTGTTTTGGGCATACCTTGAACCTCTCCGCCAAAGCCCTTCTATTTGGGCACGATGCTGACGCTTTTGAGCGGCGGATATCAGGCGTAGGGCCTCTTACCGAAGCAGAACATTTGATTTGGCGCAAGAAGGGGCCAGCAGGCAAACTGCACAATCTTGTGGTAGCTATCCACAGATCTGACTTGTTGACTGGCATGCTTCGCAACATCCAACAAGAAGCCTTTAACAAATCATCTGACCCAAAACTCAACGCCAGAAAGCCATTAGATGTTATTTTGGACAACGATACGAGATGGCTGTCACAGTTATACATGGTACGACGAGCTCTACTGCTTCGCGACTATATCGAACGACTCATTGCCCACCATCGAATCGACTTCGAACAACAGAACAAGGCCAAGAGGGGCGGTCCTAAGAAGTCACTCACATTGCCCTTTATTTGCCAGCCAGAGAACCAGCTATCCGATAAGGACTGGGAGGTGGTCGAAATATTTGCGCAAATCCTTAGTTACTACGAAGCCACGATCAAAATGCTAGAAGGCGACGGCCAGATCCGCAAGCGGAAGCGTGGGTGGACTGGGTCATATGGCAATATTTGGGACGTTATTCAAGGCTTTGAATTTCTTCTCGAGCAACTTGAACGTTTTAAGGATATCGCGAAGGACTTCCCTGATACTGAACACTTCAGGATCAACATCAATTTGGGCTGGCAGAAGTTGAATGAGTACTATGAGATATTGAGCGAGACGCCCATCTACTACGCTGGCCTGGCGCTCCATCCGGCATACCGATGGAAATGGTTTGAACGCAACTGGACTGACCGCCCTGAGTTGATTGACGAGGCGAAAAACATGGTTCACGATGTCTGGCGTTTTGAGTATCGGGAGGCCGCGTTGCCTGGACAGGAGCCACCAGCCGTTGAGCCAGTTCCCAAGCAGCGGAAGACTTCGGACAATCCGTTTCAGGAATACCTTAAACGAAACCGCTACACAGCGCCAGAAGCAGGTCATGGTGGCCTCACGCCAGGCGAAGACGAATACCTGCATTGGATTACGCACTGCGAAAGTGGTGATGGCTCCATCAACGATCCTCTCGCTTACTGGCACGAGAAGCGATTCAAGTATCCAAACTTATCGCGAATGGCGCTTGATTTTCTAACGATACAACCAATGTCTGCTGAGTGCGAGCGTCTTTTCTCAGCAGCAGGTCGGATGGTGAACCCTCTGCGCCACCAACTTGAAGCCCAGATTATCGGGATGTGCCAGGTATTGCGTTCATGGCTGAGGGCTGGTATTATTCATGAATTAGATCCCTTCTTTATCTCGGTAGACGAAGAAAAAGTCGGCCTCGAATTAGCTCAGATGTCGGATCAACAGCTTGAAGGATGGGCAACAAAGTGGCTCACTCAGGTGGTGGGCGTTCAAGACGAGATGGGAGCCTGTTGGGGATAAGGTCTCACTCGGAAGTTGGAATAAGGGACCTACGTGGGCAAGGGCTTCGGGAATAGCGTCACCATCATGGCATCAAGCATAGAGGCACTTGCCAATCCACCCAATCCACCCAATCCACGATAGCTCACAGTGGATCCACTATGCTGAGATATTCAGTGGATTATGATCTACCCACTCCACTCGAGCTGCCAGTGGATTGAGTGGAGTGGCTTTCAACCCTGTCAACGGACGAATCGGCAGTTGAGGCCAAAGTTAAAGCCGCATCACACTGCTTAGCGATGGCCTTAGACCGGGATCCGAGACGAGGAAATGCGGGTGGTGGCGGCGATGACGACGGGCTACTAGCGAGGCTGCCTTTTATAGCGGTCTCCCGACATTGTATGTTGCAATCAGCAGGGGCTTCAACAGATTGAAACCCATCAGCCAAGATAAGCTTCCAAACATTGAAGGATGTGTTGGCTTCTCTGGCTAAGTCTGTGTCGTACTGGGGCAAGAGGTAGGAAAAAGGGGCAACTTAACCAATTCATCTGCCTGTAGATTGCTCTCCAACCGAGCCCTCAGCGGGCTGAGGTTCAAAGCCAGCCAATCGGCTTGACTCCACCCTGTAGCATCACTGCTTGTTAGGGAAGTGCCCCACTCTGAGGACCGGAAAATATGGATGATCCGACAGTTCTAGGGTAGCCATCTTCCTTTCTAAGGATATCAGATATATCAGATGCACAGATGCTTGTGTCTGAATTGATTGATCTGTTGGGATACCGTATTTGATCTGAATTGATTGAATTGATTGATATATCTGATTGTTAATCTGATCTGACGGCAGCCCTGATATAGCTTCTGTTACAGTCACCCAGCTGCGCCTATGGGGGCTCTTCTTCAAGGTCTTTCTCTTCTCTGATTGGCCAATAACTAAGCCGTTAATACCGACCCCTTGGAAGATGCCGGTTTCATCCATATTCCAACGGTTACAGCCGCGGATAATTATAATCTCGGGATCCTTCAATTGGTGAAACCAAGTCCGGATGATAGTTGCCTTGGATCCTTCAATACGCTTATATTCAACTCTAATTGCTTTGAGTGTTCTGATTCGTTCTGCGCGTGCGAGAAATCGGGTAACCCAATGCTTGCCGAGGGGATTATAATCGCCTTGTAAGCTTAAAATCCGGATGACAAGTTGCCTGACTTGGAAATGCGTTAACGGCGTACAAAGGGTATCTTGAAGCCGTAGCCAATTGATAAGATCCTCTTCAACGGTCGGGCCGAGCCGCTGTTGATCCGGATGAGCTTTATTTCGAGGCATAATGCCTTTAAGTCGGTCTCGTAAGCTTGAACGGGGTACGGAAGCTTGTTTGGCAGCTTTGACTTGTGATTGGCTGTTTTGAACAAGCTTAATCACTTTAAGCATATCTTCTTCTGTATAAGAAGGCATTGTGGGTCTAAATTGGATGAAAATCAAGGTATTATATCGACTTTTTAAGTAATTCAATTGATGAAGGTTATGGTGTTGAGGCCAAAAGCGGGGTGACGGGATCCCGGTCCCGTGACTTAACAAGATCCTCCCCCGCAATCAGTCTCGTTCCCCGCATTTTCTTTCAGCTCGGATTTGTCAACCCCCCATGGCACCTTGTTACTCCCGAAATCTGTCTCCCCCTCCCTAATCACATCCTTTCTTACACCCTGCTTCCCCTTCCCTTCAATGGACTTGCGAGATGTCGTGCCAAACCACCACCACCACGCAGCAGAATACTCGTGAAGAGGTAAACAAGACCTCTTCCAAAGAAAGCTACGGCTTCTCCTGCGATCAATGCAATGCCAAATTTAATCGCCTGGCTCATTTACGACGTCACGAGCTAACGCGCAAGTCACTCCTCTATTCTTCTATTTATTCACCACTAGCTAACCCTTCACCCTGTGTGTAGATGGAAGCGAGAAGCCATACAACTGTCTCTATTGCTCACTGACCTCTTCTCGCAAAGATGTAATCGTCCGCCATACGAAAAACTTCCACCACGGGCTCGCCAACAGAAAATCCTCCGGCTTCCGAGGTAGGCGTCGCAACAATTCCCATCCCGGGGCATCTGGGAGGGTACGCAAGAACAACACCACACGAGCATCACCTGCTTCGACGACCGAGCGAGGAGAACACGATCACCATTCTGAGGGAGTTGACGACGCAATTCAGGAACAAGACGAGTCGCCAGCCAATAACGATATGGACGGATCCCAGAGCAGCCAAGCGAACTCGATCGATAACCTCATCCTAGAGCACCCTGGCATATTTTCTGCTTACCTCTCAGGGAGCCCTCTAGTATTTAATCCTGCATTCATGGACCCCGAGCTCGTCAACAGCAATATCTCAGAAATGTTCGACCTCGACGCCCTTCTGGCCCAGGGCTTTCTCAACGAGATACCAGGCGGCAATCCGCCGGAGCTTCCGATCTCAGTCTTGCAACCGCCAAAACCAAGCGTCCCTACCTCTGGGCCTGTCGATACTGCTGCCGGACGTAATCTACTTGCAGACGATAACTGCGAGAATGCTTGGGCCAATCTGACCAAATACCCGGTCCATATACTCGCCTCTCTCCGATTCCCTTCCAAATACGCCGTAAGGCGCTTCGTCAAAGCCTTTTTCGAGCACTTCGCTGCACATATACCGATTATACATCAACCAACATTTGATATCGCCACAACACCGTGTTAGTAATACTCCAATTAATGGATAAGTAAGAGGCTCTGACTAATGGCTCAATATAGCACCCCTCTTGCTCGCGATCATGGCTTGTGGCGCTGTCTATCTTGGCGAAGATTCCACATCCAACTCAATGCATACCGTCGCCGTGCAGCTAGTTTTCGAGGTACGGAAAGCTTAAACAAACAAGGATGAGAATAAATCAAGCGTGCTAACAGAAGGTACAGCACGAACGGATGCGCCCATTCAATAAAGCCGATCCCGAGACTCTCATCTGGATGTTGCAGACATATTTGCTCCTCGCTTACTTTGAGATTCATTGCGGCTCAGACGCAAAGTCAGGCCACGCGTTCCCGCACTGTATCAAGGTTCGCTTTAGTCAAGAGCTGTGTTATTCATATATATAGCTAACATGTGACATATAGCTTGCCCAAGAAGCAATCGCGGAGCTTCAGAAATGTTCGGTAACCTCTTATAAGGACTGGGTCCGACGGGAGAGCACCAACAGGTACGTGAGCTGGTCTCATCCACGCATTTTTGAGTCTCACATCACACCAGGTGCATCGCAACCACAATTCTAATAGGGGCCTCATTATGTTCAAAAGAACAGGAGGCATGGCTTGCATCACCCATCGTTGAAGCCAAATTTGCCCTCCCTTCCAGCACCGCAGACTGGCATAAGTCTGAATCCGATTTCGAACTTCCCACTCAGATGCTCTACAGCGACGAAGCTTTGGACGCCATCGTGGCTGGCCAAACGCCGTCCCAGGTCATCAGCGAATTTGGCCTCGTCACCACTGTGTCTGCTCTTCTCTACAGGATATGTTCCTTCGAGCTACTTACAAGCTCACAGCATGGGGAGATATATGCTACATATGGTGAGAAGATGGGTAAGTCGTTGCAGGTTTTGGATGAGATCCTCAAGACTCGTATGAGTCAACAAGGTACTGGGCTGGCCCCAGACTCTACCATCCATCGCGCTAAGTCGATGCTTGACTCGGCTTTCTACCATCTCTATGCTAGCGTTCCGCTCTCTGTCATGAAGAAGTTGCTCTGGTCACCTGCGACCCTGCATGACGCCAATATTTTACGCCCTTCGAACGATGCGAACTCACTTGATCTCTACAAAGCATTCATCTGCGCTGCAGAGGGACTCAGATACGGCTGTCGCTTGGGATTATCGTATCTCAGGAAAATGGCACCAATAAAATTTGGGCCAGAAGATGCGGTTGGCGCTTACGAGGGCGGTATGCTATTAAAGTCCACTGGAAATTTGTCTGAGTGGCTGACTCACATATTATACAGGTCTGCTTCTGTGCTGGTATCTTCATCTTGCGCAGGACCGCCTCTCACATGCCGAGTCTCGCGATACGCTCAACGCACTACTCAGCGACAGCTTGGCAGAGGTCGCTGACCTGCGACTGGATGTTAACGGCCGACTCTCGGCTCTTCCACTCGCTGTGTGCGTGGAGCTCCTCTCAGACGGCTCAGTATGGAAGTGTAAGTTTTAAGTCTCTGCCCGTTGTGAATGTGACCACCCGCTAAACTTGCCATCTACACAGGGCCCTGCTCCGTGTCGGAAAAATTAAAGTTATTAATTAATAAGTTTGAGGAGTTGGATACTACCATACACGTAGCGACAGCCTATCCTCAATAGTCAAGCTGAATATGCTCGCCATTACTATATACTTTGTTAAGGGGTGGAGGCGCAAGGAAGTGGGCATCATTTCCACCATGAAAATTGTTCTGCTCATTATTTAGCTTTGGGATCAAGTCAAAGGCAAGGATTTATAGCCGACTTTGCTGTGTTGTTTATGTTCTCTCGTTCGGGTTCATCTTGCAGTGATGGTGGGGTTGGAAGTGATAACGACAGTATTTAAGCATTTCGCCATCAAATGGACACAAGGTCCAGAATGTCAACGGCCACAGGGCCAATTTACTGTATTTATGTAATACTAATATTTTCAATTTCAAGCCTTGCTTTAAGAATAAAGCGAAATACACGTTTACTCTATCTTGGCAAGCTGGCTACGGCTGGTATGGGTAGGTGGCTACTGGGTGGGCCGGTGGCACACAGGTAAAAGACTCACCTAAGCCCGTCCCGTGTGTTTGCCCTCGATCTAAAAGCAGCCATTGACGGTAATTCTTTTCTGGTTGATTCGCTATACTGATATTGTGTCAGGTAGTAAACAAAACTCATCACTGACACCCGCGATTAACTTCAAGCACAACAAACAGCATGACAACTCGCAAGGAATACATTTACAAAGTCGCCAATGGCGTCTCGATAGCTGCGGATGTATACTTCAGAAAGGCTATGACTTCTCCCATGCTTCCCATAGGTACGTTGAGATTATCTCTTCCGGCAAGATTCGAGCTTCTGACGCCTTGAGCTGTAGCGTTGCATTTTCATGGTGGAAACTTCACGGTCAGTTCGAAAGAAATGCTTCCACAGCATCAATCAGAGAGGCTTCTGGACTTGGGCTTCGTGGTTGTCTCGGCTAACTATCGACTTGCTCCCACCATCACCGTGTTGGAAGGGCCCGTCAAGGACGCGTTGGACGCTTATAAGTGGTCGCAAAGCAAGTTACCTGAGCTGCTCCTCAAGGATACTGGTGTAGATATTGATGATTCTAGAATTGTGACCTTTGGCCATTCCTGTGGCGGCACTCTGGCGCTTCTCACGGTTAGTTCACATGTTCGAGCTTTGACTCGACGAAATACTGATGCAGGATGTCTAGGCCGATTCAACACAACCACCTCGTGCCATTCTCGACATTTACGGTATCAAGTACTTCAAAGACAAAGCCTTTCATACCACCCTGCCTGCGCCACCAGACGCTCCCAAGATTGACCAAGATTTCTTGAACCAAATATGGGAAGACGACCCTCCCCCAACTGCAGCACCTCCTCCGGTGGGACCATCCGGGCCTGATTTCTCCAGCTACCGTGTTGCGTGGATGTTCGACCAGCTGGGCAAGGGAACACAGTTAAAGACTGTCGTTGGAGACAGCAACTATGACCGCGTAGATCCAGCTTCGAAATTTGCCAATGGTCACTTCCCGCCCACGTTCTTTATCCATGGTACTGAGGACAGATTGGTACTAGCAAAGCTTTCTCAGCTGGCACATGACGAGCTCAAGAGTCACGGGGTGGAGACTGAATTGGTGCTTGTAGATGGAGGACAGCACGGTTTTGATGATAGTTTACAACCTGGGGATAGTGAATTTGGTCTATTGGAAAAGGGATTTAATTTCCTCAGGGCTCATGTGTGATACGGCCGTATGTTCTTTGTACGCCTAAGAATAGACGGGTTATAACTATGGTGATCTGCTATTCAGACTGAACTTAATTGAAGTGTCAGACGTGCGATAAACAATGCATGTGTGCCTTTCATCTACATCCTCTAAGAGGGGGCCTATCTGACATCCGTCTCGCAAGCATGGTTTTCTCCCTTTGGTATTGCAGGGCCGCATCAAGTAAAATGAAATGACACATACAGTACTCGAGCGCTGACGGTAAGCACAAGTACACCCCACTGTCCTGGACTGAGGATGGTGGCTTGGCTAGGCTTGATGCGGACGGGTGGATCGGCCAACAACAGCTACAGTAGAATTTACCCACCTTGATGGGACTAAGACACTGAGTTTGGCGTTGGCTTTTCAGCGGTCGTTAACACCATTCTTAAATGTTAAGTTTATGGGCATTTGTCCATTACAAGGGTAGAGCATGCTCAACCGCCGCCAAATGTGAGCTTCGTCTTGTTTCCTATCCCTCCACCAATCATTCAACCCCAACAAGCTTGCCAAAATGGCCATCACAGTCACGGACACGACTTCTACCGCAGCGGAACCAACCGTCAAAGCCAAGCGCACAAGAATCAACAAGAGAAAGCGAGTCTCACGAGCATGCAACTACTGCCGTATCCGAAAGCACAGATGCGATGGCACCCATCCCACATGTTCGCGATGCTCTGCTATTCACCAACCATGCAGCTACGGGTCCGATAACAAGAAACGTGGGCTGCCGACTGGATACGTACATGCACTTAAGTTGCTCTGGTCACTTGTGTTCACTGTGGTGCCCAACAGCACGAACATAGTCAAAGGTCTCATATCGGATATCCAGTTCAGCCTGGATTCTCGTTCGAGGCTTGTCATGGAGAATCCTTATATCAAGGACTCTGAAACGCTCAAGCAAGCTTGGGACGAGAGTTCTGTCCAGAAACAGTTGGATCAGCTTCTATCGGATATTCAGGAAAGCAATACTGCGGGTGAAAGTCTTGCAAACACAGACAAGACAAAATCCGAAGTCATCGACACACCACCATCCTTATCTTTCGAGGCTATTCGGAGTGTATCTGGTGATATATCCATGGATAACTCGCACCCGGTTCACTCTTATAACGCAGACTCCCCCATGATCTCGCGTTCGAAGATGCTTGAGACCACGCCTCAGAAATATCCGGGATCAACTATCATTTTTACTCAGCATGTAAAACGTCTGCTTGACGGGTACTTTGCCCGGACCCATCCTTGGTTACCTATTGTGCAGAAGTACAAGATGCTGGAGCTAATATATACGCTATCAAGGAACACTCAGGCGGAGAAGGGAAACATGACCACCCTCTGGGCAGTTCTCGCTTATTCATCCCTTCAGGGGTCTCGGGATACTTCTACTACAGTCGACTATCGAGAGTCGCTCCCTACACCAGAGCGGTTGTACGCAAAAGCAAGACAGCAGATACCAAATGAGGAGGCATCTCTGCCCGGATAGGCACAGGCTTTCCTCATTTTGAGTCTTTTCAAATTGGACAAGGGAGACGTCGCTGCCTGTTGGTACTTGATTGGACAAGCAGTGAGAATCTGTCTCAACCTTGACACGATATCTGCTTTCGAGGGCAGATTGGATTCCGAAGGAGGAGAAGATTCACATGAGAGGCGACTACTGCTGAGCTGCTTTGTGCTTGACACAATTGTCTCTTGCCAGCTGCGTAAACCGCCTCATTTGAGGACAGAGGACGCTTACTTCTCGTCCACGCTAGCTGAAACAGGCCCAGATGAGTGGGAGTCACAAGCTGTATCTTTTGTTAAGTCCAGAAACGCGAGTCCCACGTACCAGCCATCACGAGCAATCAGTATCTTCAACCAGTATGTAGGTGCTATCCGAATACTCAACGATGCCATGTTGGATCCAATGACATCCGACCATCTCTGTATTAAGAACTTGCTCGCACTCAGACACTGGCAGGACCATGTCCCACAGCACTGCGTTCTTTCAGCACCGCCTGGCCAAGACCGGCTGGGTCCTGTCTCGAGCTCATCACCGCAACTTGTTAACCTCCACCTCGCTTTCAAGAGCACAGCAATATTCCTCAAGATGTAGCAAAGCCTTCTATCCGAGAAGGGGTTGATGGGTACACAGAGTGTAACGGTGACTAGTCCTTCAATCGATTGTCTCATTTCGAGCTTCGAAAGAGATTTTGGGGTGTCTAGTATACCCGCTATTTTCAAAAGCTACAAGGTCATCGGTAGCAGGGATACAACTTACTTCGCTGATTCAGGCTCTTCCCCAGGCCCCAAGACTACACATTCAGATGATCTTAGGGAGTTCCAATTCTCCATCATGAGCAACGAGTCTTTTCCAGCATGTTTGCCAACGCCGGCTGGGACCTCCGAGTATGCGACCACAGAAACAGGGTCTTACGGCTTGTATTCGGCCCCAGCACAGACATGTCGCACGGAAGGTGGGCCAACGGTATTTCTATTCTTGCTGTTGCTAACAGAATGAAAGAAGGAGATTTAAGCACGAACATACATACTTCGATACCAGATATCACCTACGAGCACGATAAAGAAACTTGGAGGCAGATTTTTGGTAGTGTAGAACTAAGCGAGGCTGGCATTACAAACCCCAGGTATGAGGGTAAGCTAGACTACTTGAACGGAATGGGATGGTAAAGGGTGATTTAAAAAATGGTCTACATGAACTTATCGTAAGGTAGAACAACCATTGCTGGTTCTGTCGTATGCCAAAAATGATTATTCGTGATAGCGATCTGCCTAATACCTTGACGACTCGGAGCTAAATGAGATGGGATGGGTGGGTAGCATCTTGAACCAGGTGGGCTTTGACTCCACCCTTTATCTTAGAATGTTGGTTCAGTATTGTCGGTGGTGATTTTAAAACAACTGTTAAGGCCGGGTAGAGTATATATACATTCTTTTGCTCATCGAGGACATTTTGATAATCCTATCATATACTGTACCAGATACACTCCTGTCTTGACCTCCATTCTTCAACGCAGCCCCCCGTTCTCCCTTTACAATCTCACCATGGGCTCTCGCTCAGCTCCTACCAGAAATCGAGCCTTATGGCTCTCTTCGTTTGACAAGCCTTTGGAACTTGTTGAACTTTCGGCCCTCGAAGCAACAGCTGGCTCAGTAGTTGTCATAGTTCTGAATACTGTTATATTCCCTTATGCAGAAGATATTCACACTGGGAAACTTCCCGTCTTCAACCTTTCTCTTCCCCTAGAGCCACATCCAAGTCACATCGGCCGGGTGCACAGCTTAGGGTCAGATGCCATACTCGCCAAACCGGGCGATCTGGTGTTCTTTTCGGCTGCCATCTATGCGCGAGATGATCCTAGCGTCAATATCATCCAGGGTCACCATGGCGGAGAGGGCACGAGAGGTCGCAAGCTCATGAATGGAGAATGGCGAGACGGTGCCCTCCAGGAGTATCAAAAGGTTCCACTGGAGAATATTTTTGTGTTGGATGAAGATCGACTTTGCAAGCAGCTCGGTTACACTCCTGCGGATCTTCATGAGATCTCCTTCTATACCATTGGCGTTGGAGCTGTACTCGAGGCTGCCAAGCTGGCAGCGGGGGAGACAATCGTTCTCGGCCCAGCCACTGGGACCTACGGTGGTATTACGTCTGACGTGGCACTTGCTCTAGGTGCCAATGTCATTGCTATCGGTCGCAGCGAAGGGAAGCTTGCCCAGCTACAGAAGCAGCTTGGAAATCACGAACGATTTAGCTATGTTGTCATGACTGGCGATGATCAAGTCGATGCGGCTGCGATCCGGAAGGCAAGTCCTGACGGACGCGGTGTCGAAGTCTTCAACGACTGGGCGTCAGGTAGTCTGGAAAGATCTCCGTTCTTCTTGGCTGCACTTCAAGCTGTGCTGCCATAAGGTAGGGTCGTCCTCAGCGGAGCACCTTCTGGATCTATCACCGTTCCTTATACCCTAGTGATACATCAGAACATCAAGATCATTGGCAAAGTCATGGTAACTCGGGCGGGAATCGAGTCGACTATTAAGATGGTGAACTCTGGGGTTCTCAAGCTCGGTAACCGTGGGGGCTCAAGCCATAAGGTGTACAAATTGGAGGAACATCCCGAAGCTTTCGAGGATGCGAAGAAGAATAGTGGCTTTAGAGTTTATACAGACATTGCACCTAATGCATGGTAGATATTTGTTCACCTCTCATTCAGATAGTTGCGGTGGCAGTTACTGAATAGTGTTTCACGATACCATCCACAACCCCTCTTTCGGCAAGCAAAATAAAAAAACCACCACCAAAAGTCAACAACTTCACTTACACGGAACTTGACCAAATTAATAGAAATCCGTGAAATTTTTCGTTTCATAAATCATAAATAGGGTTTATCTATTGTACCCTGGGTCTTTCGACCAGCCGCCGGGACCGCCTGGTGGGTTGGTGGGGGATGTTTTCCTCTCTGACTTCGATGACAGAGCCAGCCTCCGATTCTGACTCTTGCTCGCTTGAAGAGACAAATTCCACCCCAACAGGCATATAACGAGTCGCCCCTTTTGGTATGCACTCTTTACTAGCTAGAGTCTCTCCAAGAGTCATAAAACGTTTGTTAGGATTCGGCACCGCCTTCCTCTTCTTCCCTCTTTTCAGCCGAGCCAATTCTTCCTCTAGGCTGGCAATCCTCTGCGTATGCGCCGCTACTGTCTGCTGTTGAGCTTCAAAGCCCTTGACTATCACGTTATACCGTCTCCGCGTCTTTGGTATTTTGTTCATCCCAAGGTCACGAATTTGACGGCTCGTTTGTGGTGTATCGTCCGAGTCAAAATACGGCCTGGGTTCGGGAGTCGCTTTTGGGCTGCTGTTTGGCCTGTCTTCTTGGATCTCAGGGTGTCGCAGCGCTTTGGAATGCGAAATCGGTCAGTTGCCAGTGACCCTCCAGCCTGACAGTATGTTCTTCTTAGTCATTCCAACTCGGCAAGCCTTGGCGTAGGCCCTGATGAAACTGACCTTGTCCACTGGAGTAGAATCAGTCAATAAAGCGAATTTCTCCAACTCTCATCGATATGCAGCCTTGGATACATTGAATACTCCATTGTCCAGTGGTTGAAGTCCATGAGAGCAGTGTGCTGGCAGATAGCAGCAGTAAACATTGTTCAAGAAGCACGTGGCCATCCATTCATCCTTCCATCACTCAGCGCTGATCTTGAGGTAAGTAAAATGGAGAACATACTGTTGCATGGCTTCCATGACCATCTAAAATGATCGGTCTAGCGTCTGACTCGTCAGCAGGTATAGTCTGGGGCGGATAGACTCTTTCGAGCCATTTAATGCCAATATGGTCATCAGTCCACCCGTTGGGCGACGTTATGTAATACCAGTCTGCTATCTGCTTGAACTCCTCAAGAAACCACTGTTTCTGTAGTTCTTTCCCCTTGAGGATTATGCCAGGAGTCAAAGCGCGGCCGTCAGCAGTGATAGCTTCAATGAATGAAGTCCAATTTCGAGTTTGTGGTCCTTTGAGAAACGCCTTGCGCTTCGGGTCCGCGCTTCCAACGACCAGGCTATCTAGACCTGAATCCAGAGGGTTAGTCGGCCAAACTTCAAGAATTGGCAAGGAATAGAGGTGAATGCTTGCCGAAACCAGTCATAATACCCCCTTCATCAACGTTGACGGTGTTTTCAGGCTTGATCCAGCCATACTGCCCATCCCGGATATCAAAGTACCAGTGAACCGCTCTAGGTGTGAAAGAGTCGAACCTCTTGGCTTCTTGACGTCTACCCATCTTGGTCTTTAGGTCTGCGCGGCGATTGATAAACTTGGTCACCCAGTTGCGTCCCAAGTTGGGACGTTCGCCCTGCTGCCTCAACAAGCCCATGACACAAGCGCGGATCTGACTGTGGGACGGAGCATAGCCCAAGGACTCCTGACGGAGAATCCAGAGAGCCAGCCTATCCTCTTGGCTCTTGGACAAGCGCCGATGAGGGTGGACCTGCTCTTTCACGGCCCCGCGGTCGTTAAGTCTGTCGATTAGAGTGCTCCGAGGCACTCCACGTCTATGAGCGGCTTGAGGGGGCGAAAAGCCATCGTCAGTAACATCCAATATAGCCTCTGCCATGTCTTCCTCTGTATATTTCCATCGAGTCTCGATCTAGGCATTTTTTTATCGTTGCCGCAGAAAAATGCCAAAAAACAAGGCAAAGAGCGGTGAGGAACTTGATGATTGGATTAACACTATTTCCATAGCACGGTATGCATACATTGCGTACCCCGCACAGCCCTGGAGGGCTACAATCATTTCTATAATCAGCAAAGGCATTGCCCTCCAAGTAGACATTTATTTTGGCCAATATTTGTGTAAGTGAAGTTGATGAGTTTTGGTGAAGCTTTTTTTATTTTGCTTGCCGAAAGAGGGGTTATGCCGAAAGAGGGGTTGTAGATGGTATCAGCAAGCTGCCACTGGATTGGAAGGTCACGATACTCCTCTTCCCATAAGGTTTGGATGAGTTGGCGAGCCTTATCAACCCAGCCCTCCCTTCCGCCATAAGCTTTCGTCAAAAAGGTCCACTGTATTCCAGGGTGAAGAACCGTAGACGCGTAATATACTGGCGTCTCATCAAGCTTCGTATATGGTAGTACTTGTTTAGCTTGGCCCAGGCAGAATTGATACAGGAGGAATAGTATTTGGGCTCTGGTCGATCTTTCGCCTCGAGTTTCGCCTTCTCCAGCGTGGCAAGAAGAAATTCATAGGCAATGGCGACCTGCCAGACAATGCCATATTGCGCCTCAACTCCTCCTTTACGGAGTCTGACCTGGCCGTCTCCTTCAAGTCGTAAGAGACAGGAATCAAACATCGCAACGATATTCTTAAGCTAACTGAGGGCATTCCAGTCCGTGTCGGTTAACAGGTTTTCTTCCTCCAGGCATGGTGGAAGCGAGCTTTGTAGTTATGTTAGCTTTGATTTCGATCGCGTAAACTTCTTATTCGACTGTATCGTGATGTCGATAAGTTCTTCAAGATACCGTCGGAGTTTAATAGCGCGCTCTATCATGTAATATTGTGATAGCCAGCGTGTACTATTGTCGTGGACCACGTCCAGGGTACCGGGATAGTTCTTTTCAGGGTCCTCATCCTGCAGCCTTCGTAGGGTTGTTGTTGCCTTACTTGATCGGCTGACCTGGACCACAAGATTGTGGAGTTTGCCAACCGGGCCTGCCTTCGTCCACTCGTCAAAGTCATCTAGATCCAAGTCCTCAAGAGCATTGCCATCGTTAACAAAGAGCATCGCTCTGGCGACAAGGTGAAGGATATGCCCGAAACAGCGGATCCTACTGCTTGCTGGGTCCCGCCACTGAAACTTCCGCCCAAGCTCTTCGATGGCCCGACCGTTATTGGAAGCATTGTCCAGGACAAAGTATCCAACCTTGTTGTGAGAGATCAGGTCGTATTCTTCCAGCACCTCCATCACCGCTACAGAGATGTTCTCGCCAGTGTGGGCTAAGGAGATGGTTGGAAGGCCCAAGAGAACTTTTCGAGGCCGAAAAGTGTCTTCATCAAGGAAAAAAGCATTGACGGAGAAGAAGGAATGTCTGTTTCGAGAAGTCCAGCCATCAAATGCAATATGAACCTGGCTAGGGCTCTGCAATCGGGTGTCAATGATGTGAGCTTTGTAAGTATGAAACTCGTTAACAATCCTCATCCGAATCGTTTTATGCGTGAGGTTTGCTGAGGTTTCTTGAACCAAAGGGTTAAGGTAACCAAAGACCTTCTGGAGCCCCTCGTGCTCAGAGACGCGGAAAGAGAGATTTGCGTCTGTGATCCACTGGACAATCAGGCGCTGAAAAGTTAATTTGTCAAAGCGAGCAACTAGCTCATCATGAAAGTCGTCCTTCTTCCGTTTCTTTGCGGCAAAGTCTTGAAGCGTTGATTGATTCAGAGGTCGCTCCAATGTGTATGGCTTAGCCTTAATGGATCCGGATTGAAAAGGTTGTGGGCTTTGCTAAGGTGCCGCTCAATGTTCCGAGTGTTAGAGGAGACATAAGCCTTTGGCTTATGCACTTTCTGCTGGATACAGTGACAGCAGAGCCAACTGGACGGGCCAGGCTTGCCGGCTGCATTTCTGGCCTGAACGTCATAACCATGAGCCCAAAACCACCCAGTGGCTAGCCCAGTCCGGGTTGAAAGGACCCAATGACCCCGAACAGGTTGGGAAACTGTGTCCCAGTCTTTGATGATCGCAGAGCTGCCGAAGGATGGTGAAAAATCGAGCTTTGGTAGCTCAGTCAGATTTGATATATCTGAAGAACCATTAGGATCGACTGAGAAGCCGAATATATCGCTGGGGGTCGCCATTATGAAATGGTTTCGTGGCAAAGATCAGGTCCAATGAGCCCGGGACACTTTGCACGACGAGCGAAATTTGCATGCGCGATCTGAACAGCAAAATCTGATCTACGGTTTAGCGAGGAATTCAAGGACAAAAAGAAAGAAAAAGGTAAGACATGAACAAAAGCAAATATACAGGGAGGGGTACCAGTACCTCTGTATGCTAGGAAAATCCCAGCATGTTTAGATACCTCTACCTCAGGTAGTTTGGCTGGCATCTACCCTACATTTCATCTATCTACCTGGCGGCCAGATGGATAAATAGATGACCCACAAGGGCCAGCAGTAGATAGATAGATGTAGTCTACATCTATCTACATCTATATTTCATCTACGTCGGTAGATAGATTCCCCACTGTTGTTTATTTTACATGGCGAAAGAGGGGTTCTAGATAGTATTAACTAACTAATAATCGCTAAGGCCCTTAAATAGACAGCAGGCATCGCTTCAGCCGCTGAAGCTAGGAAACTGAATACTTGGAGGATTTAGGCTTCAAGTTGACCTGCTACTACTAACATCCAGGAGGACCAAGGAGAAGAACAATGGCTAGACTAGAAAGAATAAGGCGAGATCCTCATGAGCTTAGCGAGAGCAAGGCAAGAACTAGAGACATTTATGTAATCTTAGCTTTAGAGTCCCTTGGGCGTTGGCCTACCGGGTGTAATAGACTCGTGTGTATAGACTAGGCCTTAGGATCCGTCAAGCTTAGCTTTGCATATCCATACCCTTCCAGTTCCGACACCGATGCCGATCGTCTCCCCTGACACCGCTCAGCATGACGGTCGATAATGTGATAGTAGCTAAGACGACTACGAGGATAATCTTGCGAGGATACCTCATATAACCTTTAACGAGTATGTGGCTATATGGACATCCATATAGATATCCATATAGCAATGGATACCCCATATAAGCAAGTACGGTTGGTAAGTGCTTCAATTGGCACAAAACGTTGACGAAATGTGCTAACACACCTCGAGCCGCGCTGGCTTCCATCATGACCAGTACTCTCGTGCTATTAATCGCCAGGCCCAGCAAGACCTGGAAACACTAGACACATAATACAGATCGAGCAGGAGTTTAAAAGCTCTGATACAGCAAGCCAGTATGGCTGGCACTAGAATGCCAAAGACGTAGACTAAGATAACGAACCACCCTATCTAAGACGCCCGGGGTTTAATCCTAGCCTTGTACTCAGGCTTCACAAACCACCAGCACTCATTCTTCCATGTCATCTCCCCCTGGTTGATTTCGATGTCGAAGTTACGAACGATCTGGGGAATGGCCTTTGACATCTCCAAAATGCTGATATTCTTGCCAATGCAGGATCGAGAGCCGGCTCCAAACTGTAAAACGTCGGCATTAGCCGGGGCGTATCGTTATCGGAATGTGAGGGTCACTTACCGCAAAGGATCCACCAATATTCAGATTCTCACCAGTCTCCAACCATCGCTCGGGACGAAATTCGCTCGCATCAACACCGAAAATAGCTTTCTTGTGATAAAGCGCCCATCCGTTGACACCAACCTCAGTCTGTTATCATCAGCTTCGGCTCACCAATACCTACGCAGACAGGGTTGACTTACACCCTCAGGGAAAAACTGCCCCTCAATGACCAGGCCACCCTTTGGCACTACACGCGTCAGTTGCGTGCCTACACCCGGGTGCAGCCGCAGAGCTTCCTTGATGACAGCTTGCAGGTAAGACATGCTTTGCGATTTCTGGAAGCTGAGGGGATCCACTTTGACATATCTATCCAACTCCTCCCGAAGACATTGTAGAGTTCGTGGGTTCGTGTACAGGTAGTACAGAATGGAACTCAGCGCATTTGCCGTCGTATCAGACCCCGCCCCAATGTTTAGGCCAATAGCCTGCTGAGTCTCCACTGAAGTGACCTTTCCCTCCTTCTCCATGAGGAGGAGCTTAGCCAGGAAGTTGTTCTCATTCTTGAGTGTAGCGTTGTCGCCAAACTCTGCTGCCCTGAGTCTGTACTGCATGATCTGTCGTTCGACATACTCGGTTAGGCCCTTGATGGGGACTTCGATAGGCAGAAGTGAGGAGAGCCATAACCACCAGGCATGCATGTGTGGAATATAGGCCATCATGGAGGAGTAGTGCCACATGGCATCCAAGGCGCCGCAGGCACCGTTTGTGTCCGAATTCGACTCCATCATTCCCATCGACTTGCCAACCTAATAGGCACGTAAGTTAGGCAATAAACGCGGCTGATATTGCGCAGTAAACCCACAGTAATGACTCCGATAACGTCAAAGGCATAGTATTGGAGAAACTGTGGTAGATCGATGACCTGCTTCTGGTCCGAGAACCGCTGAAGCTCTTCTTTCAGAATGACCGTCTGGCCGTCAACGCCCTGTTCATAGGATAGCAAGGCAGTCATTGTATACAAGGGAGCGAACTGTTTCTTTATAGCCGAGTGACGGGCTGAATCTTGCACATCGAACAGATTCGGGAACGATGGCAAGCCAAATGGGATGTAGTAGTCGGCTTTGGGCAGTGTGTTGCCAATTCGGTATATGATCTTGGCAGCTTCCATGGTATCGAAGTCGTATCGATTCGGCCCTATACGAACAATGGGTCCTGAAGACAGAGGGAGTTAATATTAGAACTTGCCAATTCCCAAACCGCAGACTCACCGTGGCATTTGTGTAGATCCATTATGATCTCATGAATATTCCCTGTGGCAGCCTTCCTCATCTCCCACAGTCGTGATATTCGCGCCAGAAAGGGCCCTGGGATCTTTCGCAGACTCGAAAAGAACAATGTGTATATTAGCCATAGGAGGTTATAGGCGACGAAAGCAACCGGGACGATTTGGAGGAGAGCCCAGCCAAGTTTGGCTTTGAGCTCGCTGACGAGTCCCAAGCCAGTGTCTGCCAGCATGTTGCAGACTGGAAGTTAGAATCGGGAGATTCAAATCTGATCTGTGTCTGTAGGTGACTCTTGATGGTGAGAAGTGAGGGAGCTAGTGGTGGAAGAGAATGCCATAATATAGGAGGCGAGGTGTATTTATAACTAGAAATAGTTTACAGAGCCTACCCCTCGCTGGCTAATCAATATTCAGGGATTACGTCCGCCGTCACGTGAAGTAGGAGGAGGAAAGTCAAACCGACGATTTCATGTAACTGGCATCAACTTCAGAGGTGGGAATCGGGAGAGTTTTGGACAGAAAACTGGGGAAACACACCCGATCGCATCCACTGCCCCACCAGATGACCTCCCCACCGAAATATGCCATCCCCAGATCACTAGTCTGGCGCCTCAGGCTGGGGTGGTGCCATTGGCCGACTACGTTCAAAGCGTGGTTACCCACCTGAAAGGTAACCATGGATTGCAGATCATCTATTTGACGAGAAGGGAGCTGTAGTCGGGCATACAATAGCCGCGAAAACACCCTTTGTCTAGAATCTCGGGTTTCTTGCACGGTCCGGCGCCGCGATCAACAGGCCCCAGAATTGTTTAGGGAATTCGGTAGTAGATATTCATTACGTTTGCAGTGCCTCTGCGACAGATGGGCTGCAGCATCGTGGTATTTTGAAACCTGAATGATCCACTTGCGGGGCTTAGAGGCGGTCTGTAGAGACTCATATTCATGTGCTTTGCTCTAATTGCCTCCAAGGAAAATGAGGAGAAGCGACAAAACGAGATAAGAGATCATGTATTTTCTGAGGAGTTAAGACGTTTTTGGTAATGCGACCATCGAAATAACTGCCGTGTGAAAACATGAATTTCACTCATTGGACCCCAGGTTTGTCCCTCACAGATTCTTGTTGAAGTCCACGTATTAGCGGCCCAAGATGCCGTTTTGGCAATAAAACAACAGTTTTAATTCTATTCCTGAAGCTACTACGGCCGAGTCCCTTCAAGCACACCCTTTACATCCTCGTCCAGGCTCTCAGCTGGCAGCCCCAGCCTCTCCGTCCAATTATTTCCGTCCAGTGTATTACCTAAGCCGAGAAACTTTCCCTTGCCATAAGTGATGCACTGGATGATATCCCTTTCGGCAAATAAATCCTTCTCTTCACCTGGACCTCTACTTCTAAAGCGACGCAAGGCGTCCTCATACAGATCTTTGCTATTCACATAGTGCCTCTCAAAGGTCCTTCCGGAGGCCTTCTCAACTGCTGCCAATATCTCCTTCTGAGTCGTTATATGCGAGTGGATGTTTATGTATCTGTTCGCAGAGTCTTGGAAGTGCGTCGGATCCGATATGATTTTGAACAAGGCAAGACCGATTGTATGCAGATTCGTGGTACCATAGGGTGCATCTCCACCATCGAGAAGGAAATACTTGTTCGGAGGCTCGTATCCATGAAAGGTATTCTTCAGAGCCTGTTTCAACGGTGAGAAAAGTGCGAGATGTTGCACAAAGTCAGATTATAGTTACCTCATCGAAGAATGGGTTCGGAATCATGGCCGTCCAGCTTATTCTATCTTGCTTTGTCCTCAGATAGGAAATCATCTCGTGCTTCTGCTGAAAGTACGGCATTAACGCAACCACCTTATCAATGTAGGTTCGGCAACCGAATTCTGACGGAAAGATCCTTTGCACGCCCGCTACAATGGCTGCGTCGACGATAGCCTTCTGAAGAGGCAGACCGGCATCTCCCAGCATGGAGATGATAACATCCTGACCGGCAAGAGCATTTTCGAGGGATGCTGCAGTGTAATCGGTCCTAATGACCTCGATGTCGGCCGGGAATTTTGCGGTGGATTCTTTTCGAGAGAGAGCAGAGATGGTTAGGCCCGAGCCTTGGCTGGCTTGGATCAGCGAGTTAAACACCGGACGACCTGCTTGCCCAGCTCCCTATGATCAAGATATTAGCACTGAAGGGTAAAATACGCTCATGTGGTGTACTCACCCCCAAGAAGATGACATTTTTGACTGTTCCTTTCGACATTGTACTTGGCAGACTCAGAAAATCAATTGGTGGACTGAGGTTGTGCTTTGTAATATTCCAGGCGAGTTGGCAATTCCTACCAAGGCCTACGGCGAGTATAAATGCCTATCTCTACTGACTGTTTTATCCAAGGCTTTCCAAGTGCAACATGGGGTGTCGCATGAATTTCAGTCACTGATTTACGCTTACTATGCATAATAAGGTGGCAGAATGCGCACGGGCACTAAAACTCATGCGGCACCCCGATGGTAGGAAGACATCGGAATAGGTAAACATTGGTGGGCAACCAAGTCGTTAACGCACGTCTGATCCCCATGAGTGAAAGCGGCAATTCCCCACCCAAAAGCGGCACTTCCCCTCCCCACCCAAAAGCGAGCGCCAAAAGGATGGAGCTGGTTGCCACCCATTCAGCTGTAGCTGATCATGCGGGGAAACCCAAGCCAAGGGGGGTATCCGAGCCGAGACTAGACATCTCCGACGTAGGCACGAGTTGCCGAGGATCGGAGATTACACCTTCTCAGACCATGACGATCCCATAACGCACGCTGCCCTGGCCGTCGTGGGCTTCCCTTGAGAACCCAGCATGATCGCAGATAAATGGAGAGCCGGCCGTCTGAGTAGCACCTTTCACCTTAACATCTAATATAAGAAGCCCTGACTCTCAGTTTGAAGCTGCCAGGACAAAGTACGCATTTCAGTAATTAATACTGAGGTTTTCCCTATACACCTGAACTTGATAGCTCTATCACTTTCATCAATCAATTTTATATCCTCTTGTTAATCCAGCACTATGGCCATTACTGATGACGCACTAAGCGCCGAGGTCGACCAGGTCTATAACGACCTCAAAGACCAACCCCAGCATACGCCCTCCCAAATCGCTACGGTTAAACGCATCATCAAATTACACCTCGTCGCATTCAAGTATTATGACTTCGCCCGAACCAGGCACCTTGTTGACAAGAATTACAAGCAGCATAGCGCCTTTGTTGGCGACGGACAAGAGTCCATCATTGATATGGCAAAGACGATGAGAGAGTGGGCCGCGAAGAACTGGGCACGGTCTGATGAACCTCATATTCGGATGAATATCAAAAGAATACTCGTTGATGACCCATATGTAACTGTGCATCATCACTCTCGGAGATGGGAGGGAGATATTGGGAATAATGTCATCGATATCTACCGAGTGAAGGATGGCAAAGTTGCGGAGCATTGGGAGAGCGTGATGGATGTTGTTCCGGAGTCTGAGCTGAAGCATGGCAACGGGCAATTCTAAACTGCAAGATTGTGTTTTAAGAGCCTAGTATATCAATCGCAAGCCCTCAATGCTATTGTTTGAGATTGGATAGCCCAATCAATGTCCCATAAAAGCCAAGATCTTAGCCACGGCTGCCTCAGTGACTACCATAACGATAGCTTGGCTGTTGGCAGTCGGAAGATCAGGATGAATGCTAGCGCCAGAAATGAACTATCCCCTCGACTGTGTTAAGGCTCCAGTCGGGTCACTACAGGGATGACTGTCCAATGAAACTGCACAGTATGAATGGTACATTATTTCCCACCTAAATTAACCTGTTGTAGAAGTCCCAACAATATTTTGAGTTACAAATCGCCACATCACACTGCCCACATCCCCACCTTGATTGATGCCTCCTTTTATTGCTGCTGACCAGCCCCAAAGGCTTCCTTGAGCTCCTTGACCTAGGCCTCCCAAGCTGACAACCCTGACAAGCAACGCAATTACCTTTTTTTCCTCTTCGGACATATTTATGCTGTGCCACGGGCGTAAATTCATCCCCAGCCCGAAATCTCCGCCTTGGCTGACTTTCCTTGTAGAATGCTTTGAATAGCTCGTTATAAATGCGCCGGCGCCAATCTTTCTGATGTATATATGGCTTCCAATGAGGCTGGCCGTGGAGTTGCAAAAGGAAGCTATTCACAAGGACCACATCCAACAGGAAGGCCCAAGCGAGAGCCTGCCAAGCGCCGCGGCGAATAGCATGATCGTAGCCCTGATATGCCCACCTCTGGTCTCCTTGATCCACATGATTCATCTCTTCATTATATGCAGCAGCCACGGTAGGGATTGATATGAGCTTGACTGGCTCGTCACCAAAAAATCGCTGTATTGGCAGTGCTATAGAAGTCGTCGTTGACAGCCGCTTCCTCCACCGCTCACATCTCTCATCGCCCTTAAACACGGTTGATAGGAATAACACGAGGGAATTATCCTTCCACGCGGTTTGGTTTACCTATAGTAAGAATAGATATGTTAGTAAGGAAATCATGGCTAATAGAGTCAAGACTTTCTACCTGGTTATCTTGGGTAGGGATGACTTTGATCTCGTTGAATTTGAACCCTGATTTCCCTGATTTATCGTTCTTCTTGGCATCAATGAGCTCCTTGAGGATGCCGCAGTTAGGGCGGGCTGTGCCTGTAGCGCCGTGGCCGTGCTGACGGAGAGAGAGAAAGAGGTCTGGCGACGAGAAGAGATTATCCACAAAGACGTGATATATCGAATTCGGCAGTAGGTTTATAAGGGCAATAACGACGCTCTGGGTCGAGTCCAACGCGATCACTTTATCCCCGTCGTCTGTGAGGACGTGGATAATTTCTTCAACCTTATCAGCCTCGCTAGCTTCCCTCTCTCGGCTGGCTTTTCCTCTTCTTCCTCCTCGGCTGCGGCCGCGGCGGCCGCCTCTCCCTCTTTGAGATACCGATTTCTTCCTCTTTGATCGTTCAACGCCAGCGGGACCGTGTTCTACACCGGGCTAGTGCCAATCCACCGTAAAAAGATACCTAACTGGGCCACAACCCATACTTTGAAGCCTGTATCAGTAGGCTTGCCGAGCACATATGCGACCTCTGAGTTCCTCCCTGTATAGCGGATCATGCCCTCATCTACAGCAAGATGAGAGCCCGGCTGACAGAGCTGCGTTGTGGCATATTGTATGTGCTTAGACCACGGTTGTGCGCATCGAAAGACCTCAGGGAAGCTCTCATCGTCAGTAAATTTGGTATAATCGAAGGGGCGAAGGTGACGATGAAGGAGTTGAAACCGGTCATGTGTGTGGTTTATATTGCGCAGTAGTGCTGGGTGAAAAAAAAAAAAAAAAGATTTATGAAACTTGATTGCTTATTATTGAGATGAGAGTTCTTCTCAGGTTTATATCTCTAGATGATCTCGTCTAGGACTTTGAACACTAAATCTAGGACTTTCAGACTAACAGTCTAAATCCTGAAAGGAAGGGGGATTCCCGGATTTTCCAATAATATGTCATGAACTTGATGATACATTGTTCAGGACGTTGCTCCCCCGGCTTAGGAGTCTTCCAATGGTCTTAAACCGCGATTTCCTTATGGATTCCTGTATAAATTAGGACCCTAAGCCAGATATATACTTCTGCGGCGCATGTAGGCTCCCAGCTTTACAGCCGTGACCGGTCTTTCAATTGATGGTTCCGGCTATCAATAACGCCCCTTCCCAGCAAGCAATTAACCCAGCTATTAGTATATTGAACCCAGCTGTTGACTAGGGAAAGAGGCACAAAGTGTTGTAAGAGGTGTAGCGGCTCTTGGGGCAGCTGGTTGACCCTAAGATCGCGTCTTTCCATATTGAATGGTTGGAAATTGAACCCTCAGTCTTCTGCGGGAAGAAAGTCGGGTCGCCGGGTGCTATCATACTCATGCTCCCGGCTGCTGTTATCCTCCCTGATGAAGCTTTGGTCGTCATATGCATTGAGGGCCTCCGCAGGTATTGATTGAGAGCTCATTGATAAATTCAGAATGATTTGTATGATGCTTTTGGTGGGAATGATTGATGATGTATCGTTAGGTTCCCCGCATGTACCTATCATGTGACAGGGGTGATGTGGGACGGAATACCTTCTGGAGCCTTAACACAATCGAGGGGATACACTTCTTGCAGCAAGAAAGAAGTCTTTCATTAGACCATTAGAGGTATTCCTAGTTTAATAATAATAGAAATATATAAGACTCTCTCTTATTAGGGGCCTATACAAATGGCAGCATCCATGGATACGCTTGGATGATGCTGCGTAGCTTAGTGTCATAACTTAGCAACCCGTCGGGATCGAGATCATTGTAATTCCACAACGTCTCTATCAGCTCCCGAACCATATTTATGTGGTTTGTTTTGGACCCCTCCTGCGTTCGATGAATGATACTTAGTATGATCTGTCGTTGTTCATCTATCCGCGTTTCACCAGCAATGATGAATAACGGCCAAGGCAGATCGCATGTCTTCATTTGGACAAGGATCGTCACCCCTTGTGTCACTAGATTTTGGTGAGTTGCCTCTGTTCCGCAATAACCCCTAACAGAACGGTTGATCCATAGTACTGTTGTGAGACAATGTAGCATCGTGACAGCGTGCATCCAAGACGTGGTTCCCGGTACTATGTCTGACTCTAGTGGTTCTAGGATCCTCATCCGAAGTTGGCCCTCCAGTTCTAGAAAATATGTTTGCCACGACGGAGGCAATCCTCCTTCTCCCATGAGTGTGTCGAATATCTTTGAGATAGTGTCCAGGATGTTTGGGTCACAGCCTGTCACATCTGCTTCCTGCAAGAAAACGTACTCAGTGAATGAGCTCGATAGGGCTTTGAGTCCACTTACAATCCCCTTGCCAAGTCCGGAGCGCCTCCGAAATATAGTAGAGATCCTTCTACGGCAGAATGGTTTAGAGCCCTTTCTTGTCCAGTACAATTGGCTGAATAGGAACATTGTCTCATGATAGATAATCCAGTCAAATATTACCTCATAACTTTGCGATAAAGCACTTCGTTCTGCCGAAGACTGGAGAACGTGCTTGGCGCCGCAGAGGTATACTGTCCAATCTATGGGAGATGACATATGAAGTGTCTATACCTCAATTAGTAACGGTTCGACCCCAGCGTCTCAGGACAGAGGAGGCTCACTCACTTCATATAGGTAGAGAAGCATACTTGCAGCTAAGTTACTTATCACTACCGAGTCTGGGTTGTTTGGGCTCAATGATACCCTAGTCATAGCGATTGCTTTGCTTTTAAATGATATTGCCCTTGCCTCGCCCGAAACATGCAAGGCCGAAATCGCCAGGAGGCCATTCAGCACTGCGACGGAAGATGGCGACGAATCAGTGAGACCAATTTGCAGAAGTAAATGTGCCAAAGACCCCAGTGGGTTTAGCAAGAAGCATCCTGCATTTTGCATATCTAAACCTTTAGCATGGCTTGCACATTGGAGTACTTCAGATAACATACAATAATGAAGCAGACTGGTATCATCCTTGTCTACTAATGATAGAGAGATGGTTTTTGGTGTCTGGTATTGAAGTACTCTTTGTTGCATCATTTCTGCGCGAGAGTGATCAAAATGGTTAATGTGATGCAGCGAATAGGATCCTGTATTAAGGAGGGGATGCGGTGCTGACATATGCACACTACCTGAGGAGACGGCATCGTTCCAAGCAGCGACATGCCCTTGCTGCATGTTGATAAAGAATCTCGTGTGAGGAACATTAGGTTGTGATGCATTGCAGGAGCCAGGGGTTGAAAGAGCTCTTCTTCCACCGCCATCTCTGGGCCAAGATAGACGAAGGCCGTAACCTTGACATTCTAGTCTCGCCCGTCCACAGTTTGCACATGTTGGAGCTCCGCGATCGCATCGGATCCGCCGATCTAAGTGTCAGTAAGCAGTCGTCCGAGATATGATTGTTCCTTGATTTGTCGGTGAGATAGTATACCTCTGCAGGTCCCGCAAGATCTGCCTGTTTTGGGCTTGCGTAGCTCTTCCATGCTGTAGCTGTAGCTGCTGATGCTGAGGCCAAGCTAGATGCTGGCATTAGGAATGATTATAATACAGTGTCAGGGTAAGGGCACGGAATGGAGCGGCGGAAAGCTTCTACGGGCACCCCGAAGTGGCCATTGTTGGAATGAGCATGTTGAGCTTGATTGAAAGAGAAAATGACTAGCGAGCGCTAACAGCGAAAGCTGTTTAACAAGATGACATCCACATCCCAGCCACAACGGATCGGAATAGTCATTGATCCGTTGAACCATCTCAGCCTATTCCCAGATCACTGCCTGAGGCACCCAAACATGCATGTAATTAGCAGAATCTAGTAGTTACATAAGGGACACCCTTATCCCCCGGTAGCTACATAGGATCGGATTAGTTCAATAATAGCTCTTGCCCCCCGCCTTCTTGACTGTCACGCCCCCTACTAAGCAGAAATTACTAATCCAAACTAGAGTTGCGCTTCCTTATTAGCCTAGCCTCGCGAATAGTTGCTACCTTCTTGTAACCCACCTATCATATCGTATGCCGGGCCCGAAAAGTGGCCCGCAGCCCCCCCTCCGCTCCTTAGTCTGCAAACAAGCTGATGGCTGCGCTCCAAGGTCATCCTCGCGGATTCTTGCCAACAAAACGACGTGAGCCAACCATATTAATTCTAAGCCATACATACTGGGATCATTAGTTGAGGCCAAACCTGGTTGAATGACTTAATCTCGGACGGAAGAGAGCATATTTGCGTGACAAAATGTACTTTCGTATCCCTCAAGTCTGGTTTTGTTGAGACACAGAGGCCCAAGAGCATAATACATGGATGTTACGTTCGTATTCGTACTGCTCTATTTGGATATATATACTCTGCACTTGGCCCATTACTTAACTATAGGCTTTCACTGGCTAATAAACCAAAACATCATCGTTCTTTGAGAACCACCAGTCCTTCTACTCTTTTAACCAATCGCGCATCATGGTCCACTCCCTCGGTCCCAATATGGCTGCCGTTCTTCCTGCCAGGCAAGGGCTACTCACCGTCCAAGAACGCCCCGTCCCCACACCTGGTCAGGGTGACTTGTTGGTGCGCAATGAAGCAGTTGCTGCAAATCCCGCAGATTGGAAAATACAAAGTCTTGGTATCAACATCGACAAGTTCCCCGCCATACTTGGTAGCGATCTTTCCGGGACCGTTGTATCTGTGGGACCCGGCGTAACACGCTTCCAAGCTGGCGACCGTGTAATGGGATTTGCACTAGGGATGGTTACTGGAAACAACGACGCGTCAGCTTTACAAACGTATACCCTTCTCAATGAGACGGCGACTTCGCATCTGCCCAAGAACCTGACATTTGAACAAGGGGCCGCACTTCCGGTCGGTATGACTACCGCGTCGATAGCGCTGTTTGCAGATCTCGAGCTGCCAATGCGTGAAAGACATGTTGACGAAGCGGGCGCTATTCTTGTCTGGAGCGGAGCTTCGGCGGTTGGTGTTGCTGCAGTCCAGATAGCACATGCGCTGGGATGGCCTGTTTATGCGACAGCAAGTCCAAAGCACCATGAGTGGTTGAAGAGACTGGGTGCAACGGGTGTATGGGACTATCGTGACCCACAGGTCGCACAGCACATAGGTCAAGCTGCCCAAACTGCAGGACTCAAGATTCGCGGCACGATTGATGCCAGATCCGAGGACTCGTCTTTTGATCAGGTCGCGGCGACGCTCGTCGCAGCTAACTCTATACCTGGGGCCAAGATCAGCACGGTACTGCCATGGCCAGCAGATAAGCCAACACCAGAAGGAGTTGAAGCTTGCGCCATAAACTGTTTTCGCTTTATGAAGGACCGCCAGGATATCGGGCGTTGGCTTTTCAGCTACTGGTTACAGAAAGCACTCGAGGATGGAAGTATCGAGCCTGCGCCAAAGCCTTGTATTATTGAAGGAGGTTTAAGGGAAGCGCAGAAGATGCTGGACACTCTTAAAGCTGGGGCAAGTGGTGAAAAGTTTATAGTGAAGATTTAGGCTTGAGACATGTTATTCGGAGTATCGTGGATAGCTATGATTCTCTTGAATGGCACCACAAACAATGTTAACTTGAGATCAAAGTTTCACTCCAAAACAACGCAACCAAACAGTGTCTGACCAGAGTAGCGGTGAGAAAAAGACCGTTATGACGCGTTGGAAACGTGCAGAGGAGAGCGTAGGATGTACACATCAGTATCTGAGCGGCGAGGATGTTCTATGTGACTGGCTTACATTCTCCTTCCGCGGGAATTGAGCAAGTGGGTAACAGTCATCTTGGTGATAGTTTCTCTGCTATTGTTGTTTAGGTATTCAATTCCATGCAATTATTAAGACAACCGACATTCTCTCATGAAAATTTCTTTTCTTTTGACAAAGTACTGTGTAAATGAAATTGGGCATTTTGTATGGGGAAATATTTTTTTTGCTTACCGGTAGGTGGGTACTGCATGGTATAAGGTGGGTGGTTAGTAAGGATGAGTAGGTATACTTTTACAACCTGGCTTCAATAGTGTGTGTCGAGTCGTCCTGTGGCTATTGCGAATCGTATAGTTGCGTGGACTGCTTGCATATTTGGCATCCATTTCGCGTCATTTGTTGGCGACTTCCCTCCTAGATAGAATGAAAGATTTCCTCTCAGTGTCTCGGTGCACTGTAGCATTTCAGCTCTGTGCGCTGTCCATATTCTGCATCGGAAGAGAAAATGCTCGACCGTCTCTGTCCCTGTCCACATGCGCATTGCTGCGATACTGCTACTCTAATCCAAAAAAGGTATCCCTTCAATCTGGCCATGCCTGTCCTAAGCTGCGCTAGCACACTGGCTTCTCTCCGTGATAAGCCATCGTAGAGTAGTCGAATATGCTTGCCTGGGAGTGCTGCATCAACTCTCGTCGAAAACTTCCCGACATTGTCTGGTAGCTGTTTCCTAGTACACTGACCTGATCGGGCTATGTTCAGGGTCGTCGATCGCATTCTGGGAAACTTCTGGGCCCGGACGACACCGTCTCGGCTTGCAGCTCGCGCTTCTTTCTTAGCCATCTCCAGGAGCCTGTGTTCAGGACTGGTGGACATCCATATGACAGCCACCACGCTTCCTTTGGCCCTTAATGCATTAATGGAATCGTATATGCACCCAACATACTCTTGAACGGACTGCTGGCGAGGGTTTCGGACCATGAGCACGACAGCTTTATTACTCACCAATAGTGCCATACTTCGGTTCTCGAGGTCGGGCAGGTGTCTCAATGCGTATGCCATCGCTGCCACTTCCCCAGTGAACGGGTTTTGCTCCGTTCTCATGCCGAGTGTGAAGGAGAAGCACTCAAGCTTCGGCCCTCCTCGAACCGATGCAGGAGTCTCGATGACCCCGCCGACTCCGACCACCCCGTTCCGCGCCGAACTGCTCATTGCGGTGCGTACCGCCCATCCTAGATCTGCTTGCATTGTCCCTAAACTATCCTCTTCATCCACTATAGTCTGCACCCGTTCTGCCCAAGGTGCCAACGTGAAAGGATTGATTGTTTCTAGTTCCTCCATCGGAATCTCATTGAGGGTCACTGCCACCTCGTAGAATGGCGAGCTATTGTACCTTCTGAATTTCCGGATGCGAGATGTAGCGTTTGGAAGTGGGTTGGTTGCTGACAGGGTGTGAAGATCAGTCCACATCTTGATTGCCCGTCTCCAGAACCGTTCATATGCGCTGGCGATGTGCACCTCTGCTTCTGCTACGCTTGTTGCCACCGTGAGGAATGTCCCCACGATTGAATTTGCTCCAATCCTCTAAATCCGATTGATAGGGCTGGCCCTTCTATTCTTGCACGCATGCATTCAGACGTTTAGAGGCATAATCCACGACCGGGGCCACCGTGGCTGTAAATAGCTGTCTTGCTGTCTTTGGGGTAAGACCCCTGAGCCTTTGTAGGTCCATCACAGCTTTCAAGCCCTTGGACGCTGCCCGCGCAATGTGCCTTTGCGTTTGAGGCCAGCTGCCAGCACCCATGATCACCCTGAGAACCTTGATCTTGGTCTTGGGCCGAACAAGCTGTCCCCTGATTGCAAAAGGCGCTGCGTCGGACTTGTATGCTTTCAGTGTGAAATGCATAATTGCCGTCTTTTCTGCCACAAAAGTCGCGCCACTTCTTGCTTCCCAGTCTAGAGCTTTCTTGATGATCTCTTTGATCCCATCACGATTGCTTTCTGCTGTTGGACCTGTTACCCAGGCTGTAAAGTCATCCACGAATGCTACCGCTCCCTCGTAACAATCGATTCGTTGCTGTACGAGGCCTGCATTAAAGAAAAGAAACAGAATCGGAGACAGACGGGAGCCTTGTGGCAACCCAGCTCGTGCTAGTCTTCGTATCTCGGATGTCTGTCCGTTAACCTGAATAGTCGCTGTGCGATCCGAGCAAAAGTGTTGAATGTTGGAGGGTTCACCCTCAACTTCAGGATTAAGGTTCAGGATTAAAGTTTGAAGTCCTAAACTTAGATCGTAGGACTTTCATCTAGGACTTTCTAGGACTCAAGTCCTAGAAGGAACCAGTCGAAGATATAAGGTCTCAATAGTCCTTCGATTGCGACAGAATCAAGAAATATACACGATTCACCTTAATATCTGACAAAAAGGCTTCGATCCAGCGAAGCAAGTCCTCTGGTATGCCTCTTGCTCTAAGTCTTTATGAGTCTCTCCTTCCACACTCCGTTGTAGGCTCCTTTGACGTCGAAACTCACCAGACTAAGGATCCGTCGGCCTCGCCAGGTAGCGTAGATTTGCTCCTCTAGCAACATCAAGGCTTGCTCCACGTCTTCGTTCCTCTCGGGATCCGCTCCGCCTCCACATCCTTATTCACCCACAACATGCTTCGGATCGGCCATCTACCCCCCCAAACTGTAGGGACCATGTTGACCCATTTAGGGTGTCCCATAGGTATCGTCAGTAACTTGCTGTCCTTTTGGTGTGCCTGGGGCTCTTGGATCGCTATCGCTGTGTATTCTTGAAGTTTCCTATCATTCATGAGGCTCTCGTGTACCGTATCCTGCTTTCTCACATTCAGTTGAATCACCTGGAGCGACCTACTCATACAGCCTGGGGTGAAGTTTCAGGCAATTTTTACTGAATGACTCATGCGGCCGCTGCAGAGAGCGCAGTTGCGTATCTGTGTCTGGCACTCACTGTGATGGTGGCCCTCGACGGCGCACCTGGCACATACTCGATTCTTGCTGCACGATAATGCCTTGTGACCGAGCTCTTGGCAGTTATAACATTGTTTCGGTCCAGTGATCTGTTCGAAAAGGCTTCTATATGCTGATTCACCTGCGATGAGAAAGTAGTGTTCCTGCAGAAGTCTCCTGGCATCGCTGCTCTTAGTGAGGTACACCACCATGGATCCATATGCCTTAGAGTTGACCTTTCGGCTCAGTCAGGCCACCTTAGCAATCTAGACTTCATTCTCCTGGTTCAAGAGGACGTTAAACTCCTGGTCGAAAACGGCCGTACGGTTCATGCTATCAACTTTGGTAGGGTATAATTGGTCTCGAAGAACTCTCACACCTGGAGCTTTCCAGATATCGAGGATGGTCTTGATCTTTTGCATTTCTTCTTCGTTCCTACCTATGATCCTAAGGCGGTTGGCATTCCTTCCATCTCTGGTCACTGCGACGCATCGCCAGTGAGGTTAGTCACTTGACTTTCGCATTTCCTGCTCAACGATCTTGCGGATCATCGTTTGTGTAGCGTTTCCAATGTGGACTTCAGACACTTTGGACGTATCTACCGTGTAGAACACCGATTCTGGAGCTGCTGGTCGGACCGCAGATGAAGATTGGGTGGGCATGCTGGCAGATGTCATCCTGGCTGCGTCTGCATACGTCCGAACCAATGATCGTGATGTCTCGGTCTCGTTCAGTATATCTAGCTGCAGTCGAGTCTGCTCCAGCTCATACATGGGCACTTTCGTTCGTTCGTTCATTCGTTCGTTCCGTTTAAAACGTTTATGCATGTTAAATCGTTTAACCGTTTAAGGGCATCCTAAAACCATTTGAACAGTTAAACGATTTTTCAGCCCCGGCGCTCGAAAAATCTTTCAAAATGTCAAGCTCTGGAGACCTTCGCTTAGGTCAAGGGCAAGGATCGCGACCATTGTGAATAGCTTCACGGTCAGCGTGAACGCTACACCATACCTAGCGTCAGGTAACAGCCTGCTGCCTATGAGATAGGCAAACTGAACACAGGTATAAGCAGGCTTTCTATCCATACTCCATACTCCATACGGCGCCTTATGGAATATGGAACATGGAATGCAACCCATATGGAACTTAATCCATACATATGGAAACTAAGAAATGACGTCATTTACATTATCAACTAAACCGAATCTGGGTTGGAGCTCTGCCAGCCAGCCGAATCATCTAACCCCTCTACGTTGTTGTCCTCAATAGCTTCCGCCTCAAGTAAATCTACCGGATAACCTTGTGTTATCCCGCTTTTGATCCAACTCTTCATGCATTCGCCTCTTTCAATTGTACGACTACCCAATTGGCACCGGTCCCACGAAATTGTGCGTCGTGCCCCGGAGAAGACGCGCTCCGGCTCGGCAGACATGGCTGGTATCGAGAGGATATCAACAGCCATTCGAGAGAGACGAGGGTATGTCTGCTGTTGTTCTTCTCTGAGCCACCAAGATAGTGGAGAGCAGTCAATGATAATGGGCGGTTGCGTCGTGAAAGCATCGTACTCGTCCAGCTCACACATAGATGGGCTGACAACGTCAAGTTCCCGAGCGAGTAGGTCATACTCATCAAGGCGCCGTATTTCGTCTCTCAGCTGTGGTGTCGTAGTGGGGAGCGGGAGCTCGTGGTAGTAGTCTTTCCAATGCTTTCGCACGCCGTCAAGAACTGGTTTATGCCAGGACTTTGGCCAGTTCTTCTTTATATGGGCTAAACGTCGTGACGGATGAAGTGTTATTGCCGCACCGTACGCAGGGCTCTCATCTGTAAGCTGATAATACTTATCGAATACAGCCCAAGAAGCTGCAACGCAGCTCCGTAGTGTGACGTTGCCAGAGTGTTTCTGGAAAGCTTGTGTATAATGTTTGTGAAGAACATCCATTGTAAAAAGTGAACGGTCTAGAGTGGCGTAACGACCTTCTGTAAGCTGAGTGATCTTCCAGAACGGTTGAAGGAATGCGCGCGTCTCCCCTAGAGCACTCCACTCATCAGGCGTGAGGTAGTCATCTCGCAAATCCTGGTAATACTTCTTCTGGTACCACTCAACATAGCTCTGAAGATTGAGAGTGGTGTCTAGCAGGAGAAACCATGAGTTCCACCGTGTATCGTTGTCGAGCCCCAGCGATCTTCCAGCGCGCTTCTTGAATTCATTCCATCGATAGTCGTTTTCGTGCATGTGAATCGATATGTTGTGCACCTTTCCAAGAGGCCCAAGCCGCCGCCATCCTTGCGCCCTTTGTGGTTTGATCCTTTCAGAAAAATCAGTGCCAAAAGCCGATTCATCGGTGTCTTCGATATGCTCCAAAGCCGCTCGAGCAGCCACTTTTGAGTCTATGAAAAGGAAAGCCTGAACTGCCAGGTTCACTATATGGCCGTGGCACCGGATTCTACGGGTCTTGGCTTCCCAGTCGACGCCCTTCTCCTGGAGATAATTGGCGAGTAAGCGGCATAATTTGTCGTTTGATCCATGGTTATCACCAGTGTAGAATCCCACCTTATTCCAGATATTATAATCCTCGAGCACGTGCTAAAGTAGCTTCCATTGTTCGGCACCACCGTGACTACCCGGCCCGTCAAGACCTGGCAACTCCGACAAAGCTAATAGTGCCTGCAGCGCTTCCTTTGTATCCGGATCTACAAATTTGACGCATATCCCAAGGAAAGCTTTGTGATTTGGAGCAGACCACACGTCAGCAGAGAGATGAAGTTTCCATGGTGTAGACTGCAATTTTCATCTCAACATATCTTTGTGTACACAAAAGGAATTGGAGACAAGCTTCTGTATGGAGCCGTGAGAAAGGCTGATGAGGTCATCTGCCGCAGGATTGACTGCAGAAATGAGCGCATGGAGCTCTGGCCAAGAACTGCAGTTGTAAGAGAGACTACGGACAGTCACGAGCTGAATAAGTGCCTCCAACGCTGCTTTGTGATTGATGGCATGTCTCAGAGTTTCTTCTCGTTTTGCCAGTTGCTTTGCAGCATGCACCTCGCCGGCTTTGGCGAAAGCATCCTGAATAAGACGGTCACGCCGTTTTTTAATCGGATGTTCATGGGCTTCCAGCTCAATGCCATGTATCTTGAGCAGATGATTCCGAAAGGTCGTTGAAACGGTCGTAGAGTAAGTCGGACTTACACAATGCATGCAGTAGTAAATCTTCTCATTTTTGCGACCGCAACGAGATGGCTTCGAATTGAGGGGCTCACGGGCGTGTGCCCAAGTATTTGCAGTCGTTTTGCGCTTTCGAGCCATGCGCTCTTGGACATCGCCACTTGAGAATTGATGGTTCGTGCTAAAGATTGAGGAAGAGCACAATTCGCTTGTGGACACTGGAAACCCCGCAGGGTTAGTAGAAGTGGACGTCATTAGCGAGGACATACACAGCGTCCCTATACAGTGATGTTAGAATTAAAGAAAGAGTGGAGAGTTGGAAAATCGCCCCTGAACGAGATTACTACAGGGATCAAATTTTTTCCGCGGTATTGCCATACTTATGGAATACGACATCCCCGTATGGAATATGGATTAACGTGTATGGATTATTCCATATGGATTAATTAATCCATACGCGTATGGATAGAAAGCCTGGGTATAAGGGACCGACTCTCGTCGCTCTTTAGATAGAAGAGATGGTGCTCAATCTACACTGATCTTTTGTTCAATGTCTGCATTCGTGTATCGGTGCTAGGCCGACAAAAAAACCCGTTGATATTGGGTCTCAATCCATGATACCAAGTTCAAAATCTCGCCTTTTACCTATCAATATGTCATCTGACACATCGTCTATTATTGATGCTACAGAAAACCCCCCAGATGTCAATGGATTGCCGTCAAACTTCCTCTCAATTATGGACATCACGAAGGACCCTTCAAATACACGCGGACGCAAGACTGGAGGTAAAACCATCTACACCTGCACTGCGTGAGGAGATAAACGATACGACCATAAGGCAAATGCTGCCAATCACGTCAGAAACAACCACCCCGTCGCATCCAGATCCACCAGGTCTGTATCGGGCACCCAGCGCTCAATCTCCGCACATTTTCGCCCTGTAGCAAGCGAGGACGCATTTCGAAATGCCTTCCACCCGCCAGCATATCAGGAAGCATTGATCAGCATACTCACGCGTCGGAGAGTGCCCTTTTCGGTTATTGAATGGGACGAGTTTAAACAACTCGCTCTCGCTTGTAACCCATACATCAAAGACTCCCTCATTACCTCACGGCGTACGATGGTCCGATATATTGCAGCAAACTATGATTTTTACAGCAGCGAGATCAAGGACAGTCTCACCACCGCGTCAAGTCCGATTCATATCTCAACAGACCTCTGGACATCACCGCAGAGACATTCTCTACTTGCTGTGTGTGCACAATGGGTAGGCAAAGACTGCAAGCTTCGTAAGGCACTACTATCTCTACCAGAATGTGCAGAGAGTCATTCTGGAGAAGCTCAAGCGCAGGCTGTTATCGATACTTTAGAGAAGTACGAGATACAGTCAAAACTTGGTTGGCACACGGGTGACAACGCGACTTCAAACGACACATGTCTTGAATCTATACAACGCAAGCTAATGAGTAGACATAATGTTAGTTAACTACGCAGTTTAGGCTATAGGCTGACATTGAGTAGATTAAATTCAACGCAAAAGGACGTCGTATACACTGTATCGCGCATCATTAATCTATCCCTTCAAGCCTTCCTTCTCACATCTTCTAAAGAGGCTCTAGTCGCAGCACTCGAGTCAGCATCCGGTGTCACTGGAGAGGAGCTTCTCTCCCAGTTTTCCGAGGTCCTAGCCTCTCATCGAAAGATGGCTGCCGCCGAACGAAATATAGCGAAGAGAAAGAACGGAGAGCCGGCCAGAAAGCACAAGCGCAAGGGCAGCACGGCTAGCAATGCGTCCGTGATATCGGCTGACGACTTTAGCGGCGTTGAGAATGTCCCTGCATTACGCAAGCTTCATGGCTTAGCTGTGTGGCTAAGTTCATAAAGCCTCCACCAGAATGTGTGGGATAAGGCAGTGGGACTGCGTTTAGGGATGGATAATCGTACCCGCTGGTCGTCCTGGTATCAGGTCATTGATCATGCGATTAGAAAGAAGGACAAAATCCAGACCTTCATATCTGATCACGAAGAGGCCATCGGAGACAATCGGCTATTAGTTGGAGATTGGGAGTTGCTAGGCAAAGCACATACGTTTCTTCTGCCATCCGCTTCAGCAACATTGTATGCAGAGGGAGATGAGTCGTCTATCTCACAATCGTTGACGCTGATGGATATGTTGTTACACCATTACGAAGAACAACAGGTACTATTCAATCTATCCACTTCAAGTCGATTACTAACATTGTATCAGAAGATATATCAGTCGGATGAACACTCCGGCGACCGGATGGTTCGAGCCATCGATATGGGATGGGTTATCCTCTCTAAATACTACCGCCTAGCTGACGAGGTTCCCGTATACGCCGCCGCTCTCCTCCTTGATCCCCCGTAAACGCATCGCGTATATCAAGCAGAACTGGCCAAAGGAATGGCATGAAGATACTATTGCCTCGGCCACAGCATTCTGGCAAAAGGAATTTAATTACGAGCAACCCAGCGACCATCCCTCCACCCCGACGTCGATGCCACCACCGCTGGCAAAGAAGCCAAATCAACTCGCGATACCATCAAAGAAGCTGGAGGTTAGGACTATTAACGCGAGTGTTAGGGATGATTTCACTAGCTTCATCAACGATGATGCAATAGATATCCCTCTGGATTATACGCCTCTGGAGTGGTGGTGTTAACCACAGCAGAGAAAGCAGTATCCGAAACATAGCCGCATGGCTATTTGCATTCTTTCTATCCCAGCAGAGTCATCGGGGCCGGAGAGGACGTTTTCTGGGGCAAGAAGAACATGTTCATGGGGTAAATTACGAATCACATACAAAACTATCGAGATGATTGAATGTACGGGCAATTGGTTGCGTCAAGGATTCATACAGCCTCTGCATGAGAACGGGTTGGGTTTAATCGGAATCCCACGGCCGGAGGGTAACTCTCAGGACGTTGACGATGATAGTGGGCATTATTTCGACTGGTATTAGAGCAGGCGCGGTGGATATTTCTCACCGTCATAAATCATTCATTCGTTCGTTTAACCGTTTGCAATATTTTTGAACCGTTCAAACGTTTGAGGAAATATTCGACCATTTAAACGGTTTGCCCATGTATGCTACTGCCCACCGCAAACCTGGGTAAGCTGGTCTCGGACTTGCGATAATTCTTGTGCCATCTAGGCCGTGGCCCTGGTGACTTCCTCGGCCATGCGATCTCTGAGATTGGTGAACTCGAGCTGAAACTCAACTTTCATCGCTTCGATTTTCTTGTTGAAGTCCTGCTCCAGGAGTTGCTCCAAGCTCTGGACTGCCTCGACCATGCCCCCGGATGACCTGGGGGCAGTCTGCTTCCGAGCTCGGTTTGGTCCCAGAGCTCCCTCACTGGTCTCACCTTCCTCCTGCCATTCCTTATCGCCATTTTGCTGCTCCATCTCCAATACCTTCGTCGTCCTGACCCTCTTCCGCTGAGGGCGATGATATCCCCAGCCCGAATGTATGTATGTATGTATATTTTTCGTCCGGGGGGCCATTGGCCCCGAAAAGTCTCCTCCTGGAGCACAGGACGTGCTGAGCTAAACTATCTACAATTTGCTGTCGCATCCGAATCTACCTAGAACACCCGCAATGTCCACTTGCATCAACGGAGAGCACCGGGCGCCCTTTCCCCCAAGTGGCACCTGCCCTACTCGTAGCCAGCCCTACGGTAGTTTCAAGCACATCGTCTTGGACGTCAAAGCAGGTGGTCCTGGCAAAGTTGCATGCAACCGCTATTCCATCTAGTTCATCCAGCATATCATCGGCACAATGGCGCATTACTTTCAAGAGGTCATCCCGTCAGCGGGAACTCATCCCTCTCCAGCCTAGAATTCTCTTGCACAGATAGGTCAAGTAGCTTTCCACACCCTAAGGCAGGAAATCCATGACCTCCAAGATTGCCAGTAGCTGCAACCTAGAACCGTGCATCCTTGGGGAAAACCCTCGCAGGAGAAAAACCCAAGGCGGCCAGAACGCTGCTCTGTGGATGAGGTAGTCGCCTCGTACCACGGTCTCTAGATAAGCTCTGTACCATTTCGACCCAGCGGTTTTGTCAAGTGGTCTCAGCCAGTGAGACAAATTGTCGAAGCCCGGTTGTGTTCCAGGCAGCAGCCGGGGCTGCAAAGAAGAAGAGGGTCTCTGGGCAGTATGCGACTGCAGAGATCGGTCAAGCAGCTTCCGAGCTGCAAAAAGGGCAGCGAGCCATGTGGGGCTCGTGCGTTCGAGGTCGGGGCAACAGAGGGCCCAGAAAGTCGAGCAGCTGAGGGCTGCCAGTGTTGTTCGGGCAGCCGAGGCTGCCGAGGTCGGTCGTACGGGGGGAAATCGAGGGCGCAGAGCCCGAAATGTCGTAGGCTCGCGAAGCCGAAATGTCGAGGCAGAAAGAAGTCGCAGATATCACATAGGAAATGGCGCCCGGAGGCGATGTCAAGAGCTCGCGAAGCTCAGTGTCGTTAAAGACACTCGTCACGAAGAAAGGTCAACACTCTGAATCCCTTTCTTCCAGCAGCTGCTAGGGCCCCGTTAGCCCCACTTGCTTTTGCTGCCATTTTAGCCTGCAAAAATTCTGTGCCCTAGCAAAACGCTAACAGCGGGTGCCAAGGAAAAACCTTTACAGGAGAGAGTTGATCCCCAGCCCGAAGCATCCGGTTTGCGTCCCATGACGATGATGACGTCTGAAGCGGGGTTCAGCGTTCGACATAAGTAAAGTAATTGCAAGTAAGTAACCAAGTAAGTAAGTAATAAGTAAGTAAGTAAGCCCGGCAGCCAAGTAAGTAAGTAAAGCCTCCAAGAAGCAAGTAAGTAAGTAAGATCCAAGTAAGTGGGGCAAAACCGCAAGCGCCGTGCGACCGGATGTGAAACGCGGCCCATACGTTGGGGTCATGTATCAGGTTTCACATCCGGTTTGTCGCATCAAGGGCTCCAATCCTAACGACATGAGCTTAAATAGCCATACCTGAACACATGGCTATTCAAATTTCTTTTATTCATAAGATATTTCTCATCAATTAACTGGTGCCATCTCTGATCCCTGTAGAGCCAATTGTCTGACAGGATTCCTTCCCACAGTTGGTCCTTATCGCGCAACAATCTGCTGCAGCAACGCGACAGTGCATTGACGCAGCTGATATCCCCGAACCTGGATACCGTACTTCGCTCTATCTTCGAGATGCCTGACAAAGAATCCATTGCGGGAACTTCCTCTTCCTCCTCCTTCGAGACGACCCAGTCCGTGGCTGGCAATAGTGCCCTTTCGAACCTTCGGCGCACGAGAAGCGTAGTGTCAGATATTAAGGTGGATCGTGTATATTTCTTGATTCTGTCGCAATCGAAGGACTATTGAGACCTTATATCTTCGACTGGTTCCTTCTAGGACTTGAGTCCTAGAAAGTCCTAGATGAAAGTCCTACGATTTAAGTTTAGGACTTCAAACTTTAATCCTGAACCTTAATCCTGAAGTTGAGGGTGAACCCTCCAACATTCAACACGATGCATGGTGTCGCAGGCTGGACATTGTCTCAACGAGCCTCAGGAACAAAAGCCCTTAGTAATCAAGCTGGGTGATTTAAAGTAAAACCTGTGGGATGGAATACCTCACACAGAAGATAGAACCAATCAACTCACTAATTACTGCTGCTCATTATGAATGACCCGACCTTCAATCCATTTTAAGCACATCCAGTGCGACACATGGAAATAGGTCGGAGATAGACGCATACGTGAGAATGAACAGGGGGTACACGACAATTAAGAATAGAAGAGTAGGTGTAAAGCAAATGAAATCAGATTAGAGCAGATGTTCGTATTGGACCATAGTCAGGTATTCAGTGATGGCTAATTATTGCCTACCCTGGGGTAGGTGCTGATGAAATTGCGGGGCTCATTTTATCTGTTACATTGGGCGCAGCCACTAATTCCTGGAATGAACCCCAGTCCGACGTTGCCCCACCGACCACAAAATACGAGGCTCTAAACAAAAATATTCACGACTCCGCGCCATCCCTTGACATTTTATACCGCCTGCACCTTCCCATCTATCGCCCTGAACCACAACAACCTTGCGCAAACCCGCTCTTCTCAACTGTTTACAACCTATGTGGTATCTTGAAGGGGATTCCGTGGCTGATCCTACAACCACGTTCATCGAGGGTTGGATACGCCAAATCGAGGAAGGCAACCCCCCCAGTGGATGGGAGGACGGTAGCTTCGACATCGGAATCATGTCGCGCTCAGGAAGCCCCAAGAAGCCAAGGACGAGGAATACAGCACCAGATCCGGATGCCACGCCGCGTCAAAAAGGTTCGATCTATTGAATGCCGATCTCGGGCTTACCACTGACCGTTCTCTTAGGAGCGGCGAGTCTCTCAGACGCCAGTTTAGGTTATGCATCATCCGAGAGCGGGTCTAACAGATCAATTCCGATTAGTTCTGGATCCTCGAGCCCCAGGAAGCGGGAACTAGAGCTGCGCAATGCAAAGCAATATCCGCTGCAGCGGAAGAGGATTACGGCGGGTATAGCTCAGATCACGCCGCTCATGCAAGACCTTGCACATTTGATCAATGGTCCTACTATTCCCTACAACATGAAGGTAAGTAAAATATATCTTCAATGAAAGGCCCTTTCAATGGCTGACGGTGGAGTGTGCAAGGCTCGAATCACGACGCAAGAGAGCTTCCCTAATCCTCCACTAGAGAGCTGGTTCATGCCGCCCACCACGGACCAAAGCGTTATAGCCAATGACGAGTATATCTACAGACGGCTTCGCATGATTTGTCGCCGGACGGCCGAGTGCGAGGACCGGCTCTCTCATGAGTCGACCTGGAATGATTGCGTTCATTCTCCGCTGCTCGAGGTTGCCCTTTACGAGAGTGGGCAAGATGGCGTCTCATATGAGAACATGTATGTTTCTCCAACAACAGACTGAGACTGGGTTAACAATTGTTCTCACGACCAGCACGCAATGTCGAATTTACCCGGACCTCCGCGACCCCGACCCCTTCATCACGGACGCAAGGATCGACTATGGCATATTTTTTGAGCCGCGAGAAGACTCATCGCTTTACTCAGCCATCAAGACATTCAAAGCCCGCAACGAGAACAACCGAGTGGCCCATGTTCAGCTGACCGACGAGCGAGACACGCCGCTGGCCATCAGCATCGAGACCAAGAATCCGAAGTCGACTGGTGGCGGAGTTGCTGGTCCTGCTCAACTTGGGACCTGGGTGCGAGCTCACTTTCGACACCTGGAGTCTTTGCCTCGTGCTGATCCCAATAACCTTCCTATGCTTCCTATCATCTTTGTAAATGGGGCTGACTGGCGTGTTGATTTTGCTCAGCGCACACCTGATAAGCTGGTTGGATTTCTCACCTTTTTTCACCATATGCGTGCTAACTGTGTCGCAGATTATCTGGGAGAGTATTCAGATTGGTTCCACAGACTCTTCGCACGGATGTTATGCTATCATCGCTGCTCTACAACGACTCGCTGGGTGGTGCCGAGATGAGTACGCACCCTGGTGGGAGAAGGCTCTGGCTGGACTGGAAGGACCTGTCTAGAGAGATGCACCGAGTTAACCTCTGGAAAAACTGTGCAGCTGCGACTAGCGAGATTGAAGGTACCCTTGGTAAGCCGGGCTTCCAGAGACCATCGTGTAAAGGAATGACCCTGTTCTGTCTTGAGAAGACCCATGCCATTGTGGAAAATGTTAATTGGTTTAAAACCTGGAATGGGCCTAGCCTGACTAGAATACTTAAGTAGGTGGTAGTGCGGTTCTGGTTGGTAGGAGAAGTCAAATCGATCCTACAAGAGCAGGTGTTTTACACAGGGGTTAAGGCAGAACAGCGGCATTTGAATCTCGCAAGATTAATATAACCTTTAGATCCGGAAGGACTGAGAGTGAGCTATTTCTATATGTGTCCGGGGATGGGGGCAGGAACTTGAGATTTTAAAAAGATGCCACACATGCACGGGCCAGAAAAATGGTATTTGGACGAAACACCTGCGCAACTGTGTACAGTAGGGACAAGGCATCTGGATCTGGAAGGTTCAACGATGATAGGAGGGGCTTGAGGCCAGGGTTCAAATCCACGACACTCCACGACACATTTGTGAATATGGCGTGGATATGGATGCTGACTAATAATTTCGATGTGGAATGGGTGGAAATGGATCCATTATGGAAATGGATCCATATTGTGGAATTCGTGGAATGGAAACCTACTTCGTCCAACAAATGGTAATTAATGGGTCCCGCCCGCCCTCGGTGACGTCAATGTTTTTGTCATTGGTCCATTAGAATCCGCCGTTGCTTGACGCAAAGGCAACACACCCACCGACGTTCCTGTTTCTTGTTATGCTGGATATTCGTAGCCGAACCGATATACCTATAGACGCGCCTTGCCGTCTCTCTCCGTCAAGATCCAGCTTTTGTAGAGCTGAAAGAGCCGTTGATTGTCCTCTTCTGTTCGTTCTGGAACGGATGTGGTTGACTTGGTAGGATGGGGAGTGGCCATTTCGATTTGGGGTAGTAACGCGAGTAACAGTGAAGCCCCCAGAATGGACTCATTGTGTACGGAGGAAAATGGGGTGGCAAATCGATGTTGTGTTGTTGTGGGTGATAGAAAGTACTTAGGATATGCGGGATTTCACAAGGAAATCAAGGTATTTTCGAACCCCACCTAAAATATTCCACGATTTCCACATGTGGAACATGTGGAAGGGGCTTCGTGGCGTGGATATGGAAATGCTGAAGCCCACGTGGAATGGAATGGAATGGATATGGATCCACATTATGGATCCATATGTGGATTTCGTGGTATGGATTTGAACCCTGCTTGAGGCCATGCCGAGCAGATCTGGCAATGCCGTGCTTTTTGCCCGGATGCTCCGATGCAAGTTTAGGACTCAGAGCAAAACCGCATTCGATACATATAATAGCTGCTTTCGACAAGCTGTAATAAAGGCTGAGCTTCTGCAGCTTTGCTAGGGGTAAAATAGGATGGCTATGTTGTTCATGAACACAGGAGCTGGCCATTATGACTAAGCAAATATAAATATAATAGACAGGATGGAATGGCGGAGATGGAGTAGATATTATACGATGATAAACATGTGAGTTTCAGTAGACAATGGTAATGAATGTTGTTTAGATTTGGAGTAGTCAAGTTCAACAATTTGACAAGGGTCAGCCGACAGAAACGCGACGCGTTTCGTGTTTTAGGTTTTCTGATTTCGTTAGTGCGGTACGAGAAACGCAGTGCGTTTCCATCGGGGGAAATATGGTGCGAAAATACTAGACGGTGATTAGTCAAAAACAGGAAACGCAATGCGTTTCTGCTGATAATTCTTGAGTAGATCGTTGCTGACTTGTAGTTAGGAAAAGTGGTTCACATACTTGGATGATTCACATGCTTATCATGTACGTTTCTACTATTTATAGCTTTTAACCCCACCTTTTCTTTATAAACAAGTAGATTTTAGGAATCACATTACCAACTTCCCCGCTTCTCCTCCACCTGCGTCATTTATTCAAGTCCTGCTCCATCTTATCAGCTTGTGTCAGTCTTTCCTTGAGGACGCTGACTATGGCCAGCGGCAGATTGCAAACAACAGTGGAGCCAGCGCTTCCAGCATCTGTGCCATCTTTGTCCTTTCACTGCTTTCCCAACCTGCCTGTTGAGCTACGGCTAAGAATCTGGCGCTACTCTTTCGTTCCCCGTTGCGTCGAAATTCACGCCCGCAGATCGCATTACGCCGATGACTTTCAACATGGCGGTGTGCCAAAATGGCAAAGCCGTTGTAACAACCCTGTTGCACTGTCAGTCAGTTCCGAGGCGAGATCTGCCGCATTGGACTTTTATCCTGTCAAGTTTCCCCTTGCGACTGTTGCGCCATATGAGCATGCTGGCGATAGTATAAACGACTTGAATCGTGTGTTATACATTAAACCTACGGTCGATACCGTCGTTGTACTAGGCGATCTGGATTATCGCAGAATATCACGACTATTCACTGATTTGCGTCTTGGTGATCCGGAGGGAAAAGGTTTGCAGAAATTGGCTGTCAGCGCCAGCTGGACGTATCATCAAGGAGCTGGCGACACGATCAGAATGCTTATTAAACATATGTTCCCCGAGCTGGTTGAGATGACTGTGTTTATGTATGATGAAAAAATGCCCCCTACCGATTGGACTGGCGGAGTGTGCGCGCTGGAAGATTGCAGCCAGACAGACTACTATAAACGGTATGCAATGGGAAGAGGCCAACAGATGAGGGATGGTGATAAATGGATGGTGATTGGGAAGAAAGAGTTAAGAGTGATGGAGCTCACTTTCAGACATGGATGGTAGTTGAATTATTCTTCGAGGTAACTTCAGTTAGAGGGTTAAATATATAATAAATCTAACTTGGTAACAACCTAGGCTTCATTAGCTTTAAGGGATGAGATAGGACAGGTCTACTTACTTTTCCAATATATCGAACACCCACCAGGATGCCATCTTCGTCCACAAACTCAGACTCATCCCCAAAATCTATATTGTCATCATCAAGACATGTCAAGCATGTCTCTACGATCTCGGCGTAATTGGTTCCAGTCCGCCGAGGTAGCTTGGTCCGCGTTAGCATCACTAAATGCTGCTTCAGAGATTCTAATGGTTTATGGTGGCGCAAGAAACGGAATGGGTTCAATCGTATCCGATGGGTACCGTAAATCACGTAGTTCGTCCTGATCACGGAGAATATTCGGGATTTGTTTTATCTTCTCTACCAGATCTTGTCGATGCTCTGGCTGTATATCGCGATGTCGTGTCTTCAAGTGCGTAGCAACCTCATCAGTTACAGAGGCAAACCCACAAACCTGGTACACAAGAAGGTGGTATGTAGAGAGAAGAATGTAGGGCTAAATCGCACTTCATGGTTCAGATTGCAAGTTTGAAGCCGTCATAGTGATCTTCATAGTGACTTAGTCACTGATAGTAAGATTTAAATAACAATTGTGCTTCGATTAATAAGAAAATAATTTAGTAGTATGTTATACCCATAGCACTTTACGCGAAATGACGCGTCGCGTTTTGGGGTAAACCCCTGTTCTGATCAGCACTACTATTCCTGTAAATGGAAGATGTCAAATCAACTCTACACCCTGGCAGTAATCAACCCTACTAGGGTTAAAATGGGTCAATAAAATCAACTCTACTAGAGTTGATTTGGTCATTAATTACTAGGGTTATTTCTGGAAGCGATTGGCTTGGAAGATGGGGCTCGTTGGGCTGTATCTGCTTGGTCTGGCGGGTTACTAAGCGTTGCTGTCGTTCTCGGTCCCGTCTACGAGCGGCCTTTTCTGCCTTTTCCTCTGTTGTTAATGCACGACGGCCCAATCTGGCGTGCGCTGATAGAGTTGCCTCTGTGGAACGAGGAGAAAGGTGATGAATAGTGGAACACTCTACCCAATTTGTTTGCTTGCTTTAACCATGCAACTATATACAAATCGTTGGCTACATGATTCATCTCGAATAGGGTGTTAGTATCTATCCAGAGTCACTGTCTTCCGAGAAAATATTGTCGTCTCCATGTGATCGCCCTCCATCTTCATCCGTAACTTCCCCTTCCCTCATCACTTCATATTCATTTCCTTCTTGAACGACCACGACGTCAAGTATATTTCAGACGTGGCTTCTGTCTCTGGAGGTTCCGTCTGGCGTAAGAACTGCTCCAAAAGCATCTGGCGTCGATCAGAAGGTTCTGCAACCTGTTTCTTGACCCCCAGATGACTACGAAGGGCGTATTGATCTCCACCATTGTCCATCCTGCACTTAGTCCAACTAAGTCGTGCTATAAACGACGCTGAGTGACCAGGTAATGACTCTATGGTCTCAAGTAAGCCGAGAACATTATCTCGAGTTGGTAAGAAAAACGTTGGCTGGCTGACTATGGATTCAAGCATATGTTTTGGTATAGATTTGTGCACGACAGGAACCCGGAAAACGTCCTCTTCTACACAATCTTGGATATCTTGTGGCTTAATAGACCAAGGCAGCATGAAGCTTACGCCTCCATCCTGACCCCAGGTTGGGCCAGAAAGGAACCGAACGTAGAGCAGTGCCGATCGACAATGGCGCCGGATATAAGAGTGACTAGCAGAACACAAAACGTCTACGTCATCCACAATCTCAATCCAGTGCTCCCGAATTAACTCATCAAGAGCCTGAAAGTCTCGAGCAGTTGGGACACTTGACGTAATAGAAGGAGATAGGCCATCGGGGTATCGAAGGCAATGGTATACAGAAGATAGAGGTATGCCCTTTTGTCTCTGAGGTGGTGAAAAGTAAGGTGCCCAAAGCTGAATCTGGAAGAAAGGTGGTTTACCATGATACCACGTCCCCTCACCATGACTTGTGCCAACTTCTTTACTGCGGTCAGTGTTAAACATGACTCGAATATAATGGCCGATCCTGATGCCAAAGTGCTTATCAAACTGGCCGGCCCATACGCTCACATCACCCCACAGCTCTCTGAAGCTCCGGTACAGCTGCAGAAAATACAATTGAGACCACTTCGGCTGGGCATGGGGATGGTGAAACAAGACGCCAAATACAAAATCTGACCAGCTGTCTTTGGGCGGTAGGCGCTGACGTGTAGCCATCCAACAAGGTAATTCATCGGGCATATTGCCCAGCGCTCATCATAAATCAATCAAATCAACTTTGAGGTAAAAGTTGATTTGTTTGATGGGGCTTCGGTCCAAAGTTGATTTGTTTGATTTGATTGGCTCGTCTCAATCAATTGTATGGGAGGCCTATATATTGAGTATGTGAAGGTATTACGCCGGATTCAAAGCCTCAATTACCGACCCAACTGCCCAGCTTTACCCCGCCGTGTCGGACCCAGTTCCTCAGACAATGAACTCGCTCCAGCGTGTCGGCGCCCATTGCGAGCCTTTGCGATGTTAGTGTCAGCTTGGCTAGGCTGAACTGCCTCTCGCAGTCGGTTGCCATAGCCGGAATGGCAAAGACATCCAAGGCAAAGCTGCTTAGCACCGGGAATGAAGGCTTGTGGTCCCTCCACCATTGGATTGGCTCTTGCGTATCTTGTGGCTCAAGGCGGAGGTATTTGTCCATCTCGCTAACACTGCTGCTCGTTGCAAATGCCTTTTTCGTTCTGCTGTTGATCCATTGCGTGTAGTGATCATCCTCTTTACCCCTGTTCGTTAATGATGAAGCAGACTTCGACTGTAAGTCGTCCGTCCGCTGGTTCCATTGATACCACCGCGCGAAGTAGTCCTTTATGCCCGCCTTCGCATCGCGAACCCAGGCCAATTGCTCCTCAGTGGCCCAAGTAGCCTCCAACCAGCTGATGCCGAATCTCGGATGAAGGATGACTGCTGCCGCAAACAAGGGAGATTCTCCGAGCTTGCAGTAGTATTCATCCAGCTTCTTCCAGCCGTTGTTGATCGATGCCCGAATATATGCTCGGTGGTCTGCTGGTAATGAGCTCTTCTGGGAAATCTTAGACGCCGGTGGCTTGTCAAGCGCCGCATACTCAGCCTGAGAATGCTCCGGCAAGGCAGCTACCGTGAAAGTTGGCGCTTGACTTCGCTGTTGGGATACATAGACCTCTTCCCCATCGAAGCGAGCAGGGCGACGGCGGGAACGGGCCGGCCGGATGTTAGTCCCCCTCAGAGGCGCAGACGCTCTTCCAATTAGTTCGGGATCATTTAGATTCGTCGCCCTTATTGTTTCGGTCGTGAACTCATTGTAGAAGCCTTTCCAGTCTTCAAAATGCTCGAGCAGGTATTCCATTCCTACCAGAGCTTCCCACAGGCGCCCATGGCTGTCGCCTTTACCCCAGCCTTGGGTTCGCATTGTCTGATGATATAGAGGCGTAAGTATCTCATTGACCTCACCAAGCACGCGCCAATCCTCGTTGGATAAGATGTCATCAGCAGGGATACGTTTTTCTTCGTCTTTCTCGCCTTCGAGTGCAAAGATGTAGGCCCTGATGTCAGTCTGCTTCCGCAAAGCCCTCTCTATCATCATATAAGTAGAATTCCACCGCGTCTCATTGTTCAAGATGACCTCAAGCTCGGCGGTTGATTCCTCGCAAAGATGGTACCCTTCGTCCTCCTGCTCGTGAGCGATGCGCTTGAAATATTCGCTGCGCTGAGGTGAGGATCTGATGAACTTGACGATATTGTGCAGCTTCCCAATTGGGCCCTTCGAACGCCAATGGCGAAGATCTTGCTCCTGAAGACCTCTCATGCCGTTGATATCTGACTCTAGCTCGAAAGATTCGGCGTCTTTACCGAAAAGAAACGCGCGGGCAACAAGGTTAAGAACGTGGCCGTAGCAACGCATGCGACGGGCCTTGATATCAGCCGGCCGGATCGAAAGGTCGAGCTGCCGGTAGAAGTAAGAGAGACAGGTATCGTTCGTAGTCACGTTATCAGAAATGACCGTGCCAACCTGTCCTCGGATATCCCACAGTTGAACGATTTCGAACAATGTCTCGGCAAGATTCTCACCACTGTGGATACCTAGCTGACGGCGTAGAGCGAGCAGCCTGGATTGTTGGTTCCCGAATTTGTCGATGAAGTGTGCAAAAACTGCCATTATCGCAAGACGGTTCGGTGATGTCCAGAGATCAAAGCTGATGTGTATTTTTGTTAAGGCGCTGCCCAGCTCCGCTTTGATGATATCCGCCTTAGACTCGAAGATCTTCTGTAGCTCTCTGGTAATAGAACTGCTACTCCAAGGAATTTCGAGTGCTAGTTCATGGTCGAACTGATAGAAGAGCTCCTTTAGAAACTTGTGCTCGAATATTGTGAAGGGCACATCACTGTCAATGACGAACCCAACACTAAGTTCTTGTACAGCTTTAACCTTTGCCTTTGGTATTATGCTCTGGTCAAGCCGTGGTCGTTTGGGGGTTGCATGGGACTGGAAATCGATCGCGCTATCGTCGCTGGGGCTTGATTGACTCGCTGGGGTGATCCGCTGGGGTGATCCGATGGGCTCTGTGCAAGTCAGTATATGGGATATGTTGGTATAGAGGACGGATCCATACTTGCGAAGATGATCTGCTGCAGAAGATGTCGCTTGTACTGAGAAGAATTCTGGCCGACCCTTCGTGTCGCATCGGCTGCAGCACCACACATGACCGATGGGCTGATCCTGGTGATTCAATTCAATGAAGAACATGCCGTGCGATCTGATCCAACTTTTTCTGCCTTTTGCACCTTTCCGAGCTAGCGAATCTTCTTGAACGAAGCGGCGGTTCTTCCAGACGACCTTCGGTAGATCCTCAATAGTCGGGTTAGGGGGCAGCTCCCCGACCGAAGCCTCCTCGAGCTGCTTGGCCACGGTCCTTGGTTGAGACAGTCGCGAGAACGCAGAGGGAAAAAGTGGCGTGGGGCAAGGCGTCGAAATCACCGGCGAGCCTTTCGCCGGTGTAGAGGGTGGTGGCAAGTCTGACATCTTGTACAGGGTAGGACTGGGCGGAGGGCACGTCCAGGTTTAATCTTTTTGGGCAGTTCAGATGCAGCATGGCATATATCAACTTTATCAAATCATGTCAACTTACAAATCACTGGAATTGATTTGATTGAGGCAAGGAATTGACTAAGTTGATTGATTTGATTGGGGTGATTGATTGATTGAGTTGATTTATGATGAGCGCTGCCTGATACGTCCAGAACATCATCGATAGTTGAAAAATGGCTTCGGATAAGTGCAACCAAAGACCCGATGGAAGAGAGAATGTCGAATTTACAGACAACTCATTTTCATCACTCATATCGTTATATTTACTGTTTTCGTTGAAATGATTCTCAGTCTCGACTCGGTCGTACTCGCGGATATATTCATCATCAGCTTCAACACCATCGTCATCTTCATCTTCATCTCCATCATCATCATCACTAGGTTCACCCTCATTCCCCTCACGTCCTTCGTCCAGATTCCAGTTAGAGCTTTCTGCCTCCCGCTGAAGAAGAGCAACCAGATATAGTATATGACGCATCATGGCAGTTTCATCGCGTCCGAGTCGTAAGTTGTAGATGTCCTGCTGCTGATGTGTTTCAAAATGTTGAACTCTAAACACATAACAAATGAACCTTTTCCATACATCAACATATCTCTTCAAGCAGTTCACAGCTTTGAATACGTGGGGCCAAAAGGTATCTTTCCAGTAGGTATTCAACCAGCATCGAGATCTGTATGAGGTCTTGGCTAATGTGAAATAGGCTCGATCAACCATGATGTCAACACCACGGAGTATAACTCGTAGCTGGGCTTCTACGACGGCCGGACTTCGCAGTGCTGTATCGTGCCATTGGCCCAACAGATAATCTTCATTCCATGCTGGCTTGGGCTTCCTTGCCGTGGCCGCAATAATCCCAAGCGGTCGGTTATGAAATAAGCGAGGCCATCCTGTATGCTGTAGCCATGGAGTTGTTTCATTCTGCTCAACATCATAACCATCAGCCTGGTGGGTGCCGTGCTGATTCTCGATCGGACCATCTGCAAGGCCTCTTGGATCGGAGCCGTATACATGCTCGAGCGTTTTCTGTACTCATTACCCCCAAGAGGCACCTCTCTACTCATAGCTCGCCCTACAGTAGTTGTCGGTGAAGCACGTCCCATTGGACATCAATACAGTTGATCCTCGCAGAGCTTCCCTCCAGCAGCGTCTCCCATCTAGTTCATCCAGCATATCATCGGCACAAAGGCGCATTTACTTTCAAGAGGTCATCCCGTCAGCGGGATCTATTCCTCTCCAGCCTAGAATTCTCTTGCACGGATAAATCAAGTAGCTTTCCATACCCTGAGGCAGGAAGTCCATGATCCCCTAAGATCGCCAGTAGCTGCAACCTAGGACCGTACATCCTTGGGGAAACCCCTCGCAGGGAAAAACCCAAGGCGGCTAGAATGCTGCTCTGTGGACAAGGCAGTCGCCTCGTTCCACGGTCTCCGGGTAAGCTCTGTACCGTTTCGACCCAACGGTTTGGTCTAGAGGTCTCAGCCAGTGAGACAGATTGTCAAAGCCTGGTGGTGTTCCAGGCAGCAGCCGAGGCTGCAAAGAAGAAGAAGGTCTCTGGGCAGTACGCGACTGCAGAGATCGGTCAAGCAGCTTCCGAGCTGAAAAAAGGGCAACGAACCATGTGGGATCCGTGCGTCAAGGTCGAGGGCACCAGAGGGCCCAGAAAGTCGAGCAGCCGAAGGCTGTTTGTGTTGTTCGGGCAGCTAAAGCTGCTGTAGTCGGTCGAGGTAGCGTTAAACTGCAGGCGAAGGTGAGAGTGAGAGTGAGGGTGCGATGACCCTCAATTCCAAGCAGCAAGATGCTGCGAATGTGGTCTGGGCAGCCGAAGCTGCAGAAGTCGGTGTTACGGGAAGTCGAGGGGCACAGAGGCCGGAATGTCGCAGGCTCGCGAAGCCGAAATGTCGAGGTGAGAAGAAGTCGTAGATAAGACAAATGAAATGGTGCCCGGAGGCGATGTCAAGAGCTCGCGAAGCTCAGTGCCGTTGAAAACACTTGTCACGAAGAAAGGTCAACTCTCTGAATCCCTTTCTTCCAGCAGCTGTTAGGGTCCCGCTAGTCCCGCAGCTGCTTTTGTTGCCATTTTGGCCTGTAAAAATTTTCTGCCCTAGCAGAACGCTAACAGCGGGTGCCAAGGAAAAATTTTTACAGGAGAGAATTGACGGAGCTTTGGAGGCCACATGTTTAAAGATAGTTAGGGTAGTCGATACTTCATCGTAAAAGTGGACAACTGATAAGATCAAGAGTCAATTGAGGAGGGGGAAATCTTTGTTCTACATACTGGCGTCGGTAGAGCCCTCCTAAATTACTACGACGCGGTCACGAAACACGCGCGGTCAAGATATTAATTTACACGTAGGCGCTCAGGAGGTAATATCGCTTGGCGCCGCCAAAGTAAAGCTATCTGCGAAGGTTGCGACGAATGAACGAACCAGCCAATGAGAAGGTTTATCAGGCACTTTTAATCAAAAAAACGGGCGGGGGATTGAAAACATTGTCCCTCTTTCAGTGAAAGAGGAACTAGCAGGGGTATAAGCCAATGAGAGATGTAGAATTTCCTCTTTCAGTGAAATTGGGACGAACAATAAGGATGTAGCGATCGCTTTCGGGGCGTACCAAGGGCTAGCCACCAGCCGCTCCAGGTCGAAAGGATGGCTGACACAAAACACTCTCTCCCCATGTCTTTTAGGATTATCCGTGAGTGTTCTATATCTTGGGTATTCACGACCATTATCATCACGCCAATAGGCTCTATAGCAAGACAGCCGCCTGGTTTTCAGTCTGGTTGTGGTTCAGCGTAAACCGGAGCGGGACTGGAGACCAGGTTTAAAGTGGGTCGATAAAATCAACTCTACTAGAGTTGATTTTGGACTGTAGTACTAGGGGTGAGCTGATAGCGCCGCGCTAAAGTGCCATACAAAATAAACGTGGGTTGGTCAACCCACGATTACAATAAGTGGTAGGGGAAATCGTCACGGTCGAACGATGCCGGTATTATTTCTTGAATTTTTTGACAAGTAGGTACAACAGAAATATGAATGTAAACAGTGTATTTTTTTTTATCTTCCTACTTTCCAATGGCTACGCTTCTGGGAGAAGTTACACCGAATAAGAAATCTTGGTTGTGCCCTTGAAAACCTAAGTGCCGATTCCCTCCTAGGATAGGCAAGCCGACCTAATCTATCAAATGGTAATCCGGTATCTCCCTATGTGACTTGTCTAACGCAATTGCTTTTTCCATCTGCTTTGCTAATTTTTCCTTGCCCATGGCCCTCGCAAAGTCGGGATAGGACCAAAAAAGAGCGATAGTGGCAACGCCCACTCGCGCTTGCGTGTTAGCTCCTAGCGGAAACAAAAGCTTTATTGTATTCCAATCATGTGGGTTATCCAGATGCATCGCACATATGACTGGTGTCCCTCCTGATCCGTCGAAGACGTCGGGGTCGACTCGGTGCCTTATGATATAATTGCGGATCTCTTTTCGGAGTCCCCGGCTTGCGGCACCATGTATACCACTGTGTGATATCTGCGCTCCTGGCTTTGCACCACGGCGAAGAAGAAGTTTAGCCACCTTTCTGTGCCCGTAAAAGAGAGCCAGAAATAAAGCTTCATCAAGAGCTTCATCAAGAGCCGCGTAGAACGTATCATCGTAAGCTTCCCCGGGCTGCTTGTTTGCTTCCGATGCAAGCAGGAGTACCATAACTTCCTCATATTTGCCTTGGCTAGCAGCGTATGCCAGAAGTGAAAGTTCAAGTTTTGTGCTAGTCAGGGGAGTGTATCTGAGTTTGCCGTCGGCAACCTGGAAGGCGTCGAATGCATGTACGTTCCCGGGAAGTGTGACAAGCCCTTTCTTGGTAACCCAATGCGAGAGGGAGCACAGCTGAGAGCCTACTCCATCTAGAGTAGACTGAACATCGAAATTACTGGAAGAAGCAGCGTCCACCATTGTGCTGGTGTCTATGAAGCAGTGTTGATGTTTGGTGAAAATCAAGGAAAGAAGGAAGAATGCTTCAGGAATGGCTGAGATTTTGTACGTCAGAGGTGTAGGAAACTGAATTAGCTTCGTATACAGTGCATTCGCTGTGAATGATGGCTGACAAGTAGTAAAGAAGGAAGTTAGGGTGAGGGACCGTAAGTGGGATATTATCACCTTAAGTACTCCATCGTCCCACAAGTGTTCCCTGAGCTCCAGCAGAGGAAAGGAAATATCCCAGGCGCAGTGTTCTAGTGACGGCAGTGTGAGTCAGCATCATCCTAGAACGTGTTCAAGGTTACTATTGACGAATATCAGGGCCAGCAACCCCGAATTGATGTGGAAACAATATAGGCAACAGAGCGGCGAGGTGAGTCAGGGGCGGGTCTACAATCTTTCACCAGACCATTGTAGCCGCCAGGCCTTCATAACGATAATTTTCCTTTCAGCTAACTAGGAAATGAATGTTTTGGTCAAAGACCTTGTCTTTTACAGAATGCATGCAGATGTCGCGAATCCGAAGGTTGCGAGACTTTGCAGACTTTACTATGTTTTAGCTACGAGCCGTTACTACAGCGCGGTGGCCTAGATACAGTTGGAGTCTACCGGGAAGAGGTAAACAGTAGAATATTAAATTTGTGGATCATGATTTACGAATAGAGCATATCTTGGTTGCCGGACGATGACGTGCGCTTGATGCCTGGTATTGAAGAAATCCACATCCCCTATATTTTTCCACGTCTACGTTATTCGAGACCTAGCCCCCTAGCCACGAACCGCTCATCTCTCGGTTCCTCAAGAACGGACTCCCCCCCCCACGACCTATTTCCGTCATAGCAAGGAGGGTTGTCCCCCGTTGAGTTGAGTTTCAGGTCTCAATCGTACTCGACCCTTACTTCCAGTCCGAAGCTTTTCCAAAGAGCCGGAGATGTAACGCGTCACTGATGAAACATGAAAATAGGGTCTATTTATCGAAATACGCCTTGTTTTTCCTACCCTAAACAATTTATCTTAGTACCAATCCATCTTCACGTCATCGTCCGCATGCTCTTGGCTCAATTCATGGATCGAAAGTAAATAGCTGATAGAGATAATTCAATCCCAGGTAGCATGAATGAAAGAAGGGCTTTTCTAGAACTACTATATAACGTACATGATAAGCGGGTGCAACAGACAAGCAAGTGCAACAAAAAATCCCGCAATGTACATCTTCTCAACTTAACCAATTAATTTTCAACCACCAAATATGTCAGACCCAAATATTGAGGCTAGGATCCTTCTTGCACTTCGTGCCCTTCAAAATGACCCAAAATTAAGTCTCCGACGCGCCGCAGGCATTTACCAGGTCCGTTATTGGACTTTACATCGCCGACAGAAGGGTATCCTTTCTACGCATGATTCCATCCCAAAATCACGTAAACTATCTGATCTAGAGGAACAGATCATAGTTCAGTTCATTCTCGATCTGGATTCGCCAGGGTTCCCCCCGCGACTGCATTGTGTTGAGGAGATGGCTAACCGATTGCTCGCCGACCGCGAGATGCCGCCTGTCGGCAAGCGCTGGGCCTCTAACTTCGTCAAGCGACACAAAGACCTCAAGACGCATTTTTTCCGTAAATATGACTACCAGAGAGCCAAATGTGAAGATCCGACCATTATTCGCAACTGGTTTAGGCTCGTAGCGAATGTAATCGCCAAGTATGGCATCCGACCTGATGAAATCTATAACTTTGACGAGACTGGCTTTATGATGGGCGTCATTGCGAGCGGGATGGTCGTCACAGGTGCTGAAAGGCGTGGAAGACCAAAAGCAGTGCAGCCTGGAAACCGGGAATGGATTACAGTCATTCAGGCGATCAATGCCGAGGGCCAAGCGATCCCGCCGTTTATCATAGGTGCGGGCCAATATCACCTCGCCAACTAGTACCGAGAAAGCAACCTCCCGGGCGATTGGGCTATCGCGACGAGTCCTAATGGCTGGACAGATAACGAGATAGGCCTCGAGTGGCTAAAGCACTTCGACCGGTGTACTACCAAGCAATCAAAGAATCGCTATCGTCTGCTGATCCTCTACGGACACGAAAGTCACCACTCAGTCGACTTTGAGAGATATTGCAAGGCAAATAAAATCATCACGCTTTGTATGCCGCCTCATTCGTCTCATCTGCTGCAGCCTCTTGATGTCGGGTGCTTTGGCCTGCTTAAGAAGGCTTACGGGCGAGAAATCGAGCTTTTGATCAGATGCTCTGTAACCCACATTTCCAAAACCGAGTTCTTCCTGGCTTTTTACACCGCCTACCAGGCCACAATGACAGAGAAAAATATTAAAGCAGCCTTTAGAGGAGCCGGACTTGCTCCTCTTGACCCAGAAAGTGTAATCTCGAAGCTCGATGTGCAGCTGCGGACTCCGACGCCTGCGGAGGAGGTAGTTAGCCCCTCGGCCCCTTGGGTCTCAAAGACCCCAAAGGCTATCCTTGAAGCCGACTCTCAGCTTGAATATCTTGAAAGGAGAATCAAAAGGCATAAAAGTAGCTCTCCAGAGTCGATTCTAGAAGCATTGAGGTCTTCTTCCAAGGGAACAAAGATAGTTATGCATAAGGTTGCCTTATTAGAGACCAGGGTCCAAGATCTTGAACAGGCAAATGAGACACTAAGCCGGCGCCGGAGGGCAAAAAGGACCCGCCTACAGAAAAGAGGGGCGATGACTCTAGAGGAAGGTAGGAAAGCAATTGGCCAGAAGGATGTTGATGCGCAGGGGGTGGCCGAATCGTCGAGAAGTGGTGGTCAAGGAGGGTCGGTACGAGTGAAGGAAAGGCGTTGTGGAACATGCGGCAAAACAGGTCATAATACAAGAACATGTCAGATAGTTGTCGTTATGTCTGGGGAAGAGCATAGCGATTAGTTTTAATTGATTGGATAATTTGTTGTGTTTTTATGGCGATTTTTATCTTAAAGGGTTAAGATTTTTGTAACACTCGCTTGTTTGTAACACTCGCTTATCACGTACGTTAAATAATTTCTCAATTTGCATAACGTACACGATAAGCGGGCGGCACAGACAAGCGAGCGGCACAAAAATCCCTCACCTTACATCAACTCTATCAAATCAATTAATTCTCAACCACAAAGTATGTCACAATCTACTTCTGAAGCTGATATTATTCTTGCACTTCAGGCCTATGAGGCCGACCCAAAATTAAGTCTACGACGAGCTGCAAAGATCTATGACGTTCCCTTCCGTACCCTCCACTATCGCTCTCAGGGCAGGCAGGCTCGCAACGATTGTATCCCTAACTCACGGAAACTAAGTGATCTAGAGGAACAGGTTATAGTCCAGTATATCCTTGACCTAGATTCGCGAGGATTCCCTCCCCGGCATCATGATATTGAACAAATGGCAAATCGACTACTTGCTGATCGCAATACATCACCAGTTGGCAAGCGCTGGGTTATCAATTTTGTTAAGCGGCAACCAGAGCTTAAGACACGTTTTCAGAGGAAATATGACTATCGTAGGGCTAAATGCGAAGATCCGACTGTTATTCGCAATTGGTTCAGGCTTATAGAGAATACAATTGTGAAATACGGCATTCGATCAGATGATATCTGGAACTTTGATGAGACCGGCTTTATGATGGGCAAGATATCAAGCGGTATAGTTATTACCAGCTCAGAAAGGTATGGAAACCCAAAATCGGTCCAGCCTGGAGATCGGGAATGGGCTACAGTGATTCAAGCGATCAATGCAGAAGGTCAGGCGATTGATCCATTTATCGTGGTTGCAGGCGAATATCACCTTCAGAATTGGTATGAAGAAAGCAACCTCCCGGCCACTTGGGTTATCGCCACAACCGAAAATGGCTGGACAAATAACGAGACGGGCCTCGACTGGCTAAAGCACTTTGATCGGGCTACAACTAACCGATCAACTGGTCCCTATCGCCTCCTGATCCTTGATGGTCATGAAAGTCACCAGTCAGCCGATTTCCAGATATATTGTGAGGAAAACAATATTATTACACTCTGTATGCCGCCTCATTCATCACACCTACTTCAGCCTCTTGATATCGGCTGCTTTGGGCCACTGAAAAGGGCATATGGTCGAGAAATAGAGCGACTGATCAGAAGGTCCGTAACTCACGTTGAGAAGACTGACTTCTTCCTGGCATTTTATGTTGCCTTCCAAGCTACTATAACCGAAAAAAATATCAAGGGAGGTTTTAGAGGAGCCGGGCTTGCTCCCTTTAACCCTGAATATGTTATCTCGAAGCTTGATGTGCAAATACGGACCCCGACGCCTCCCCAGGAGGTTATTGAACCTTCGACCCCTTGGACTTCAAGGACCCCAAAGACAATACTAGAGACACAATCTCACTCGAAGTATCTGCAAGGAAGGATCAGAAATCATAAAAGCAGCTCCCCTGAGTCAATAATTGAAGCTGTGAAGTATTTTGAGAAAGGACAGAGCATTCTTCTACATAGGATAGCCTTGCAAGAGGCTGAGATCCGGGAACTTCGACAGGCGAATGATATGCTTAGCCGGCGGCGTAGGGCAAAACGAACACGCCTACAGAAAAGAGGGAATATGACTATAGGGAATGCCCAGGATTCAATTGATCAGATAGATATAAATACGCAGGTAGTAGCCGAATCATCGAGAAGTGGTGGTCGCGAAAGGTCACAAGGACCGAAGGTTCGGCAATGCAGTATTTGCGGCAAGACCGGTCATAATGCAAGAACCTGTCAGGAGGGTATTTAGGCTATAGAGAATTAATGTAGAATTTAATTTTAATTGATCAGATAATCTGTCGTGTTTTTATTGCGATTTATCTTATAAAGGTTAAGACCTTTGTGCCGCTCGCTTGTTTGTGCCGCCCGCTTATCGTGTACGTTATCCAAATTACTACATACTGCTATAATTACTTCCTTAGTCTCATTTATCTAAACTGCCAACTAGCAAACTGCACTATTCCTAGGATCATTAGCTCCATTGTCTTTCAAAACCCTAATAAGTTCTTCGTGACCTTGGCTCGATGCAATTTCCAAAGGGGTAGATCCTTTCAAATCCATATTAACGTCCGCTCCATTTTCAAGCAATAGCCGGGCAAATTCTGTGTTCCCAGAAAAGCATGCCATTGCCATCATGGTGCTCTTATCAAGGATCCCATTCGCGGTTTGGAAGCAGGCACTCATTGTCTGGGTATCTTCATTGTGTAAGGCTGTCCAGAGTGCAAATTGGGTCTCAGAAATTGTCGGATCCGGTCCGCTGCATTTGGCGAGGAGGAAGATAATATTGTAGTTTCCGAAAGCAGAAGCAATCATGAATGGTGTCCAGAGACCGATACTGAAATCCTCCAGAAATGTAGTAGCGGCATCCATCTTGGAAGCTCTCTCTCCGTTTGGAGAATGTTCGGTTAAATCGTCAAAAATGGACTTTACCATATCATGAACGAAGTGGCCAGAGCAGAGGTCAAACCGGCTCAGGGCAGTTGTGGCCATTGAGACATTCCCCATGATACAGGAGAGTATGAGGGCTCTTATTGTAGCTCCTTCTATCAGGTTTTGTTCGAGATAATCGTGGCTGTGATTGAATAGCTCTTTAACAACCTCGGAGTGCCCCTTTATCATCGCAGCCTCAAGACCCAGAAAGAATGACCTTTGAGATATAGATCCAAGTGTGGTGCTATAGAGCAAGTGTTCGACCACCGCAGTCCTGCCAGCCGATGCGGCTACATGAAAAGCATCTGCTGTTGCCGAAGGAGCATACGTCAATGTCGTGTTGACGATTTCTTTGAGTCCTATTCGTGACAGAATATGAGATATGCCGACCGGTAGTTCAAGAGGCATGGTCCAGTCTGGAGGATATTCTCTCCAGTTTATATCCATGTTCGGTGAGTTGGTACCAAGTCTAGCGAGCATACTTGCAAATGAACAGTGTCGTCTGAGTTGATGGCCACGTGACGTCTTATTTTAATCGTGGTGTAGTCCTTGGGTAAGCCAGTCTAAAAAGCTCAGAATTCTTTGTGGGTAGCGCAATGGTTTTGCGTTGAAGTTCGCTCCACGATATCGGAGCTTCTTGACTATGACGGAATGTTTTTTTGTTTTGCAGCGGATATTAGTTACATGTTTAGAGTATACATGTCTTGTTGGAAAATCCGGGAATCCCCCTTATCTTCAGGATTCCGACTGTTAGTCTGAAAGTCCTAGATTTAAAGTTCAAAGTCCTAGATGAAACCATCTAGAGATATAAACCCGAGAAGAACTCTCATCTCAATAATGAACAATCAAGTTTTACAAAATATATTTTTTTCACCCAGCACTACTGCGCAATATAAACAACATGTCTCCGACTTTCACGCAAAGAAAGAATGATAGGAATAACGACATAGCCTATCGTTTTTGGTCCGAGCCTAACTCAGTCAACGTCAGGTACTGGTAGCATACAGGCGTATTGTAGTGTTATATGAGTACAACTGTTGTATAGTTGTACAACACTACTTTTGTTGAAGCTGTACAACACTACCGGACTTCCCAAACAACTGTTGTACCACAGTAAGTCGCTACATCTAATTGGTCAAGTTGGTGTCAGCTGATCAGATATTGATTTTATCGAATACACCAGAATCGTGACGTGTCACGATGGCCTTGTTACGTCGTGAAGCTATCCACCACCGGCTAAGTAGTCAGCGACCTCACTGATGGCTCTTAGACGTTTACCGTTAGTGTTGTTTATATTGCGCAATAACGTCGGATACGGGGAAACCGGCCACCCCCAGAAACCGGCCACCCTCAGCAAAACACCAAAAATGAGATCGCGATTGTAACTCAATTAAAAACACACCACCATATTTTTTATATTAAATAAAATATCTATCAGTGAATATTCAGATGGAACTGAGTACAAAGATCCTCGAGTTTTAATTTTTTAATGCGATATGATGTTCTTTGTGGCTGTAATACTTTTCGCATCTGTTCACGAGCTTTTAAAATCGCTGGAACCTTTGCGAACTCGGCATTTCCATTATATATGACTTTCTTCCTCTTTTTCGGCAGATATTCCTCCTTTTCTAATTGCATTATCGTGATTTCTCTTCTTTGGCGTTCAATCTCAAAGTTATGACTGTCTAATTGACTGCCAATCTTACGGAAAAGCAGCCTGACAGCAGGGTCTTCAGAGACAACGCCTGGGACAGCCTGGAGGGCCCGACGAAGCTGTACAGATGATCGGGGCGTCATAAGAAGACGGGAATTCTTTCCTTTGGCCGGGGAAATAGCTGTAACAACGGGAGCTGGTGTCTTAGGAGGCTGAGTGACCATCGGGTTCATCAGGACCTTCGCCAGATTAACTGGCCACAGTCCGGTTGCTTTCCAGCCGGCTAGGGCGTTCAACTTCGTGATAGCTTCTTTCCGAGCTTTGTCGTAAGTGTATAGGAAGGTGATCTTGCCGATATGACTGGAATCTGCGACAGAAGCAAGATCTGAGAGGAATTTTCGATATGCCCTCTTCAACGGTCCAAAGACTGCAACATCTAGCGGCTGTAGGACATGAGAAGCATGTGCTGGAAGGAAAAGCACGAATATGTTATTATTATAACACTCAAACAAGAAGTCTTCAGTCATATGACTTCCGTGACCGTCGAGAATTAGAAGACGCGGTTCTTTTGGATTCTCGGGCTTTGTCGACGGAATAAACACCGTTTTCAGCCAAATCAACGCAATATGATTATTTGTCCAGCCCTTCTCACTGCAGGTGAATTCCCAGTCTTCCAGGAAGTCCAATTTCTCAGGAAAATGTTGTTGTTGGACCGTTTTCCCTTTGAAGATCACCAAAGGTCTCAGGACTTTCCCCGTTGCCGAGATACACTCGAGAATTGTGATCCAAGACCTTGAACCAGGCTGACGAATAAGTACTGACTTCTTGTCCTTGCAACCAAGGAATAAACCGTTCAGTCCTATCCCTTCCATCATTCCAACTTCGTCGACGTTGTATCTGTTCTTCTGCTTGACTATTCGAACTGCCGGCATCGACAATAACATGAAGAAGGCCTTGATAAGTTCAGTAGAAGCTCCGTTATAACGGTCAGAATCCATACTCTTGCCCGGTAAAGTCTTCACTTCTTTGTTCCTGTCCATAAAAGACTGTAACCAGCGTTTTCCGACGCCTTCTGGGAAGCCGTTGCGTATTGCGATCTGGTTTGCAAAGTGTCGGACCTGTTGGTGCGAAACAGGGCACCCTAGGTCAGCTTGGACCATAATCCAGTCTCGTAATCTTCTTTCCTGAACAGCTGAGAGCTTTTGTTCAGGTTCATGAGCTTGTCTTGGTGTTGTGGCACCTTTAATTCTATCTTGGAGCGTTGAACGGTTGATGCCATAAGCCGCTGCAGCTTTGTTTATGGAAACTCCTTCTGAAACCATCTGAAGAGCAGCGCTCATGTCTTCTTCAGTGAATTTCGTCATTCTGAATTGATTAGTATACTTTACAAGTTCATACGATTAAAATTGGTGGAGTTGTGAATTTTTTAAGATATCATTAATTGGGAGGTTGGGTCAAAAAGCGGGTGGCCGGTTTCTGGGGGTGGCCGGTTTCCCCGTATCCGACGTTAGTGCTGGGTGAAAATATATTTATGAAAACTTGATTGTTCTATTATTGAGATGAGAGTTCTTCTCGGGTTTATATCTCTAGATGATTTCATCTAGGACTTTGAACTCTAAATCTAGGACTTTCAGTCTAACAGTCTAAACCCTGAAAGGAAGGGGGATCCCCGGATTTTCCAACAGTTAGCAGACAGACATATAAGTCTATCTTCTCTTTACTCTTCGGATAGGTTCTGTCACGACCAAGAATAACGGTCGTGAATAGTTTAGACTGGCATTGATGAGGAATATACTGGGTGGCAGGGCATTCCTGCTCTCTAGAAGCTCCATAACCTTGCTGTCTGGCTACGTAGCTCATCGCTCCACAGTGATAGCTGGCGTGATGCTGTCGGCCTCAGCCTTGGGATTGATAATGCCACACGATGGTCCTCCTGGTATAAAGTGATCGACAATGCCATTAGGAAGAAAGTTCAGATCAATCAGTTTCTACTTGAGCATGACGGAGAGCTTAAAGATACTGTTCTCAGTGGTTCTGACTGGGATTGCTAGCCAAAACCCATGCATTCCTTAAGCCCTTTGCATCAGCAACTCTATATGCCGAGGGAAAATGCTCTTCTGTCTCCCAGTCCCTTTTCTTGATGGATGCTCTACTCTTTCACTATGAGAATGCAAAGGTTCAGCACTCACAGCCTGGCTCAATGGATACTCGGATGCTCCATGCCATTGAGATGGGCTGGTTCGTCTTAGACAAATACTATACTATGACTGAAGATGTCCCGGTCTATGCTGCCGCCTTACTACTTGATCCTTCCAAGCGACTAGCATATATTCAGCAAAACTGGCCCCGAGACTTGCACGAGACAGCTATTGTTGGTGCTCGGGATATCTGGATGACAGAGTATCAAGGACTTGCCATCTCAAAGGAACCAGAACGTCGTCCTGCACCGCTACCCTCGAAGAAAGATGGTCAGTTATCGTTTCTTTTCAGGTCAATTGAGGTGAAGAGAAGGCTATTTCTATAGATTTAGACAATCTGGATTCCTTTATTAACGCCCTACCTCCTGAAATCGACTGTACTCCCGTTGAGTGGTGGTCTCGTCTTTTGCAACGGGTACAGTATCCACGGCTCAGTCGGATGACCATTGATATCCTTTCCATCCCATCTGAATCAGCTGAGCCAGAGAGAGCATTCTCAGGTGCTCGACGTACTGCTTCGTGGGACCGGCTTCGAATCACTTGCAAGAATCTTGAGAAGGTGGAATGTATCGGCAACTGGCTACGAGAAGGACTAATTGTCCCCTCCGGAGAGGATGGATTGGGTCTAGTATGCAATCCACTGGCTGGAGATGATGGGGCACCTATTGATGTAGGTCTACAAGATGACTAGAGTGCTATAGATGAAGATATAGAGCCATGGCGCCTTATTTCTACCCGTTTGGTTGTTGCACGTGGCCTTATTGTTGTACAACTGTTGTAAAGTTGTACAACACTACCTTTCCTCTACTAAAGTTGTACAACACTACATCACAACATACAACTGTTGTACAACAATACGCATCTATGACTGGTAGCCCATCTACAAACTTGACAGACATGTTAAGCTTCTTCAGCGCCTCAACACTCCTTTGGCCCCTCAGATTCGCTGTCTCCTCCTCAGTCACAAGCACAAAATCATATTGCAGCAACTTCATCCCCTCATGTGCCCCGGGGTATTTGCTCGCCATCTCTGCATCAACTTGTCCGAGCTCCACAATCAAAGACTCCTTGATGCCGAATACCGCATCTGATGTCTCGTATGGATCGCCTATAAGATACAGCGCTGTAACCAACTTATCCCAGCCTTCCTTCTCGAACATGAAATGCATATGACTAGGCCTCATAGGATGCCTGTTCAATTTCATTAGGAGTTTGCCAACCGGTCCGTCATGAGGTATTGGATAAGGGACTGGCACAATGCCCTTGAACCAAAAGTTGCCTTCTTCATCGCTCGTCAGGATGCAACGTCCGTCCGGCCTATCTCTCCCTGCATGTTGTACATCATACATTCCGGACGAATCAGTCCCCCAGATATCAATCTTGACACCAGCAATTGGATTGCCTTCGATATCCTTGACCGTACAGACTGCTAACAAGGGTTCCCCATTTTGGCCATGAGACATAAGACTACCGTTGTCGAGGTGCTCGGCATCATGTGTGTGGAATGGTCCTAGAATAGTGCCTTCGGTTGAGCTGGTGGGCTTTGGATGATCGATACTGTCGACTAATAAACTCAGGCCCAGGATGTCGCTAAGCAAGATAAATTCCTGCCGAGTGCAGATTTGGCCAGTAGCAGTACCATCCAGGACCACCTAATGCATAACCAAAATTTCGCTCCTCCCATACAAAATCCAAATTTTGATGTCCACAAAAACAGGCCCGATTCTCAATTAATAAATGAGGCTTTGGAGAAAGTTTCTAGGAATTTGCTCAATTTTTACTGTCTGCGTGGTTTTTTGACCTCCCGACCGCTCCGTGTGCGCTGGCAGTGCTTTGTTACGACCATAAAGTCATCACTTTCGTCCTCTGACCTGACACCCACCTCAATCACCGACTCGACCTCCTCATCCACATCCACCTCTATTTCTGCCTCTTTTGAGTCAGGGAGAGCTTCTCCAGCCGCTAGGTTCTCCGACAGAGCCATGAATCGTCGGTTCGGGTTTGGTACCGCTTTTCTTTTCTTCCCTCGCCGCACCTGGGCCATCTGCTCCTCGAGGCCAGTAATCCGCGCATTCTGAACGGCCACCTTCATCTCTAAAGCTTCCAATCCCTTTGCGATCTTACTGTACTTCCGCCTGGTCGGACGGCTTCGGTGTTTGGCCATTTCCCTCACTTGCCGACTCGTTTTCGGCGTATCATCTGAGTGCAGTTGAGGAGGGCTCAGCGTCTTTAACTCTTCCAGCAGTTTTTCTTTGTCTGGCTGAATTTCAGGATTTGCTAGAGCTTTATACCGATTTATTGGCCAATTTCCAGTAAACCTCCAGCCGGATAAGATAATATCTTTCCTCATGCCCGCCTCCCTGGCTTTCGCATATGCCCGGATAAAGTTGACTTTGTCAACCGGCGCAGAATCGGTCAAACTAGCCAGCTTTTGGAGTTCTTTCCGGTACGCACCTTTGATGGCATTAAAAATCCCATTATCTAATGGCTGCAGACCATGGGAACAATGTGCTGGCAAGTAACAGCAGTAGACGTTGTTCAGAAAGCACATAGCCATCCACTGATCCTGGATGCTCGTCAGCGATCTTATAGCAGGAGACTTTGCGGTGAAAACCCCGAAAGACTCACCTGCGCATGGCTCCCGTGACCATCAAGGATAATGAGTCTCGCATCTGATGCATCACGAGGCTCCGTTTGTGGTAGATAAACGTCCTTCAACCACTCGAGAGCAATATGGTTGTCTGTCCAGCCGTTTGGCGATGTGATGTAGTGCCAGTCCGCTATCAATTCGAATTCGTTAAGAAACCACTGCTTCTGCAGCTCTTTTCCTTTAAAGATAATTCCCGGTTTCAAAGCACGGCCAGTTGCTGTGACAGCCTCAATAAACGAAGTCCAGGTGCGCGACTGAACGCCTTTCAACATCGCCTTCTTCTTCGGGTCAGAGCTCCCGATCACGAGGCTGTCCAGGCCTCATGGACAACCAATTAGCTATGCCCTATAAAAGCCCATAGAGTACTTGTAGAAGACTTACCGAAACCCACCATTATGCCGCCCTCGTCCACGTTAACCGTGTTCTCAGGCTTGATCCAGCCGTACTCGTTCTCCCTGATATCGAAGTACCAATTGACCGCCTTCGGAGTAAAGCCGTCAAATCTGGCGGCTTCTTGACGTTTTCCAATCTTGGTAGATAGTTTTGGGTGACGTTTGACGAACCTGGTGGTCCAGTGCTTGCCTAAAGGTTTGTTATCGCCTTGTTGTTGGAGGATGGCCTCGACACAGGCGCGGAGCTGGCTGTGCGAGGGAGCATAGCCTAGAGACTCTTGTCGCAGCACCCAACGAATAAGCGTCTCCTCCTGGCTCTTTGGAATACGCTGGTGGGCCTGGATACGTTCATTCCTGCTTGATTGACCGGAAAGTCGTCTCGAAATGGTCCACTGAGGTACTCCACGTTTCTGGGCCGCCTTATTCTGTGAGAGGCCTCTATCGGTGGTATCGAAGATAGCCTCAGCTACGTCATCTTCGGTATAATTACGGCGAACCATTACTGAAGGAGTTGTGGCGAGTAAATTAGGTGAAAGTTCGGCTTGAGTGGATGGAGTCGCCTAGGGTACATGAGGTGAAATGCGACAAAATTCAAAGGGCTAGAGAACCAGGCTACGGGGCGGAACGGGAAAAATTCAAGCCGATATGAAAATTCGACGAAAAAAGCAATATAGTGCAGGTCTTCGTTCGCGAGTATCTTCATGCCTGGCCGAATACAATGCAATTGAAAATTTGGATTTTGTATGGGAGGAGCGAAATTTTGGTTATGCATTAGGTGGGGTTATGCATTAGGTGGTCCTGGATGGTAAGGAATTGTATCGCCTGGAACCATTCATCTTGTGATAAACGCGTTTCACGCGCGTAATCATGAAGATGGACGACAAGGCGTTCGAGAAGGAATTTGAAGCGTGGTGATGGGTTTGTCGAGTTCACCAACTTCACGTTCTCCGTGATGTTGCCAATAGTCAGATCCTTGAGTGGGGGAATTGTGACCTTTTTAGGATCCATTTTGAAGTCTCGAGATTGACTTGTCTTGACTTGAGTTTGATGCCAATACAGATGAATGTTGCCGGCCTCTCATTTCGAGCCACTACATGCTTTATGACACAATCAGTCTCCGCTGCGCTTACTGCTGAGAAATGCCTTACTCATCACAGGTTTCTTAGTGAGGGGTCGAGGTTTTGTGATACCACGGTCCATTAGCCGGCTTCTCCGCGGCAGTGGGAATACACGAGCGGAGTTCCCGCATCTTAGCGATTTCATCGTTCGGATCACCCGAGGCATAATACTAATGGGGAAAGAAAAAAAAATCATGTTTTGTTTTACTATCGTGATTGGCCTGTGCTATATGGATCCATCGAGTCATTGATCGTATAAAGACCAGCAGCCGTCCGCTGTACCATTTGTGCCCAGTTCCAATGGGAAAGCACCAAAGCCTTCAACACCAACAAAAGAGGGCTGCTGGGCGAAATTAAAGTCATCGTTCAGGTTGCTATAGAAAGCGTCATGAAGTTCTGCCTGGAGCCCACTTAAGGAGACATGTGGCGATGTAGAGTCACTCCAGTCGACACTCTCAACACTCTCTGAACTCTCATTCTCATTGTTCAAGGGTACATGATATTCCACGGGTAATGGGAAATCTCCAGCTGGTGACGGCGCTTGTTGCATTCCACAATCATCAAGCCCGCCGCTACTAGTTCGCCGAGCGTCTGGGTCATTCATTGTCCCCTCTGGCCTCCATTTGTCAAGGAAATGACGCACGACGTCAGCACAACGCTGAGAAGCTTTCAATCTGATCAAGTCAAAGACTTCGACAGCAAGATTGCAGAGATTTCTATCGTCTTCAACCGTCTCATGGTCGACTTGCCCCAAGCCCCTCGAATCATTAGACTTCTTACGTTGACGACGTCGAGAGCAATGCTGATCGTCTGCAACCTTGAGCAGAATGACAAGGGTGGCTTGGAGACAATAGAAGCAATAGTACGTCCAACGTCTTAGGTGCGGTGCTAGTGCTAACAGCTCATGAATATGCCGGATCATGTTCCTCGCAGCATTCAGATAAGATGACTGATGACGTTGAGACAGCGGTCGACTGCTTGAGGCATGGCGTTCGGAGGTGTTTCTTGGAATGGAGCCTTGGAGCAGAATTATGATGGCGAGATAATAGTCTTCTCAAGTGTGAGCAAGCGGTTGAAAACAATGTTACAAAGTAATGTAAGCAGATATAGACTCGAGGGGTAAACTTACGTATCCGGAGGCTACTCTGTTGTCTTGATTCCCATGTATACAGGGAGTTCGGGGTATCTTTGTCACTGACATGCTGAACCGCGTCCTGATTCTCGTCCTCGAAAGTAAGGTATTGGGGAAGCGAAGCCCTCCAACGGTGCAACTCGCTAAGTAGTTCTTCTGTCTGCTCTAACTTAAAGTTGCTCTGCTCGGCAGACTCGGCAGACTATAAGGTGTAAACGTTAGTGGGACAACGAGGCGGATAGGGTTCCATACAAGATCGATGATTTTCCTAATTATCTTGATAATATCTGCCAACAACGGGATGAACATGACCTGGCTAGACTCCGAAACAATCTCACCACCGGGTGGGAGCTTTCGAACGTCAGCGTCGACATGGCTAGATCAGCCTCAGCTGCGCTTACCTGTGCTTTTGGATAATTCATGTTCATCTCTGACGATCCAAGACACATAGGTCGTCCGGAATCAAGGCTTAGTTCCACTTCCTGGATATAAATGATCCACCAGGTACGCCTGGCTTCTTGGGTATCGATTCCAAGCGAGCTATGCAATGATTCGATGTTTAATCCATTGGAAAATGCTAATCGCGTCGCAAGACCATTGAGGATATATGCCACTGGTTCGACTTGTTAGAATTCGATGACATGTTGCATGGATGCCGACATACAGTTGGGCTTGATTGCATGCTGAGCATAAGCGCCCTGTGACACGAGGACTGTCAGGTCCAAACTATACTTCAAGCCCTATGCGCACCAGTACGAACCAAAAGTGTCGATGCCTGAACTAATTCAAGGTTACTAGCATTGAGTAGGCGCCCGAGCATGTCTTGAGCTTCCGCGAAATACCATGAAGCCCATGATGAGCTATCCTCTTGCTCATCCTCATACAACGCACCAAGAGCAAGCACGGCATACATGAGACAAACAAATTGTGGCCGCGTAGGATCGTCCAAAGTGGCGAGGGAAAGTCGTCGATCGCCAAAGAGCTGTCGTAATGCTTTATACCGGGTTTCGAAAGCGACAGGACTCAGAATAGGCAGGAGGAAATGAATAGTTCTGAAAAAACTGTTGGTATGTCGATCGGCGACTTTCTCAAGGAGGTAACGATCGCTACGTAGAGCATTAAGCGGGACGACATAGTCGCAAAAGCCTGGTAATTCATCCAGAACAAGACCCTTGGAGCTTTTGTCGCGTGATGTCTGGTGTTCAGGGTCGGAATTGTTTCGGCGTCGGGTAGTTGGTCGGATACTACTATCATCATCTGGGACGTCTTCCAGTTGCCTCAGTCTCTTGCCTAGACAAGATGCGATGGTGAATGTCGATGTTTGACCTGGAACCGATGAGATGACAAGAATGACGTTGGAAGGTTTTGTATTGAACTGACCATAGTACTCGAAACACCCAGTCTGTTGGTTCAACTGTGCAACGCCACTGGACCGTCGTTGTCGGGGGTAGGGGGGCTGTTTCGCGTCTGATGGTAAAGATGTTAGCTATGATCCATGATTAAATTCGATATGGGAGCTGGATTCTGCGAACTTGGTCCCGAGTAACTAGCAAGAACATGGGCTTGGCGAGATTGTTCTTCTTCGATCCTGTCGAGACGCGACAGTATGTGATCCAATTTTCTGTAGAGACTGTCAAAATTTGCGAGATGCCCGGTGAATTATAAGACTCACTCTACGATTGCCTCGGTTCCGCAAGCCTGAGCTGATGGTGCAAAGGCAAAAACACATTGCACGTCTTTCTTGATACATTGCTCACAGGGTTGGAAGCCATTGCACTAGCAGGCACAATGATATTAGCCGAGTGTATGAACCTTGGGATGTTTAATCTATAGTACTCAGGTTCAAGAGGTTGCTTACCTTGATGCGCTTCTCACGACATCTTTCGCACGCTTCGGAAGTCTTTCTGCGAACCACTCTTGCTCCCCCATTCGTGGTATTAGTAGGGTCAGAGCTAGCCATCTTGGTGAACAAGTTTGCCGTGCTATCTGGATGTGAGGCTAAGAGCGTTTTAACTACGATAAAGAATATATTTGGACAGGAGGAGTAATGAAGAAAGAGGCGAAGAGTCATGATCAGGGAATCTGCGGTGACACAAGGGTCTTTTTCCTACGGTGGCTAGCAAGTCAGATTGTCCACAAAGCTTCCCCGCATTCTTGTTTTCGCTCTAGCTTGTCTGGAAAATATGGAAAATATGGTACATGGCACAAGATTCTAGGAAGATTCTCATTGGCTACACTGGATATGCATTAGTGTAGACCCCCATGTCTGATTTAATACATGGATCTCTCCATTTAGTAGATGCTTGAAACTTGTGCATACGTCGAGTTGGCTTCATGCCGCGTCTGAAAATCTCCCAATAGAGGGCATAGCGAAGTTTGATCTTGAATTTGTACCTGATGGATCATGACCGTATAAAACCTGAGGTTTTGGCGCTGCGTGACGACTCTCAAGTCCCGTCAAGCGGAGCTAATCGGGCACTGCCGAGTTGAGCTCCCGTGCCAGGGCAGATGCGGGGTGAGAAAGACGGACCCCGGAAGCTCCGCATACCAGTCATTACTTCCGCTTAGTCAATTATAGTTAATCACTACAAATCAACCAGCAATGGCAAGACGTCACCGCAACTGAAATTGTCTATTTTAGACTAAATAGGCAACTCCCGATCTGCGGGAACCACGGAGCTCCGCATCAACTTGGATTGGTTCCCTAGAAGAATCACCGGCGGTACCTTGAAAAATAAGAGCAAAGTCAACAATACTATGGTGCTGATCTTCTCAAAACCGACTCAGTGACTTACACTTTTCCTCTTTCTTAGATCAATTTCACTTTGACGTCGCTAAGATGAGCTCGCAGGACGTTTCCAAGGTTGACGTGCTGATAATCGGAGCCGGACCGTCAGGGTAATTAATTCCTTATTCCCCCTTCAACATTGTAGCTAACTCTCACATCTAGTCTCATGCTGGCGACATGGATGGCTCGCATGGGGGTCTCAACTCGTATAGTCGATAAGCGCTTTGACAGGGTGAACAGCGGGTATGACCACTTACAGTATGCGTGGTACCCTCGCTGACACACTAACAGGCAGGCCGATGGACTGCAGAGCAGAACTTTCGAAGTAAGATATCAGTCGCATTATTGGTTCAGTGTAGCTTACATGCTGGGGCATAGATTTTTGACTCTCTTGGCTTTGGCCAGGATATTTGGCACGAGGCTAACCACATGCTAGAGATTCGATTCTGGGTAAGCTTCCCGAAACTGTTTGTATATAGCTTCAAATCTTGCTAACTACAGTGAAGAACCCTGACGAGAATCAGAATTTGTATCGCTCAGACAAGATAGTCGACACAAAGCCTGGCCTTAGCCGTTTCCAACAGGCAACTCTCCATCAAGGTAACCAATGCCTCTTGTGGTAGCTCTGCTCACTACTAACCGACCATTTCGCTTGGTAGCACGCATCGAAGACTACCTTCTCAAGTATATTGAGAAGTACAGCGATATTAAAGTCGAATATGGTATCATGCCAGAGTCTCTCACCATTGACCCTGAAATGGTGGAAGACGACGACTACCCTATTTCAGTCACCCTTCAATCCCGACCCAAACCCACTTCAGAATCTTCAGTTTCGAGCGATAGCGGAGTCGCGGATATTCCCAACGGCCTCCATAGAAGTAATCTAACGGCTGATACCACGGACGCATTGTTACAAGACGCCCAGAAGGCTCAGGATACTAGCACAGAGAAGATCCTGGCCAAATACGTGGTCGGCTGTGACGGTGCACACTCGTGGACACGGAGACAGATTGGATCCGTAATGGAAGGCGATCACACAGACTACATTTGGTCAGTAAACTCACCGCTGATGATACCCGGTTCCTCTACTAACTGAAACCTCAGGGGTGTTCTCGATATCATTCCCATCACAGACTTCCGTAAGCCTCAGCCTAGCTGGACCTGGTGGAGATGATGCTAACTTCCAACCACAGCCGACATCAGATATCGCTGCGCCATCCACTCCACATCTGGTAGTATGATGGTTATTCCTCGTGAGAATAAGTACGTCAGACTGTATATCCAAGTCACAGAGGCGGACGAAAACGGCAAAGCGGTACACACGCCTAACAATTCAAACATGAAGTTTTCAATTACTAAAGTTTTCTTCAGATCGACCGCTTCAAGATCACTCCGGAGAACTTGGCCCAAGCAGCGAATAAGATTCTCCATCCGTACAAGCTCTCCTACAAGCATTGCCATTGGTGGACAGCGTATCGTATTGGACAACGGGTGGGCTCGAAATTCAGTGCAAACGAGCGTGTCTTCCTCGCTGGGGATGCGGTTCACACGCATAGCCCCAAGGCAGGTCAAGGCATGAACATCAGTATGCATGACAGTAAGTGGAGACGTCTCATCTCGCAAGAGTCCAGATTTTCTAACCATATGTACTACCTCAGCATACAACCTCGGGTGGAAGCTTGCTTCTGTCGTCAAAGGATGGACGAATCGGTCACTCCTCAAGACATACGACACCGAACGAAAACAGATCGCACAGGAACTGATAGAGTTTGATCAGAAATTCTCTCGACTCTTCTCAGGCCGGCCCGCCAAGGATATCTTGGACAAAGAGGGTATCGATCTCAAGACATTCAAGGAAGTTTTTGAGAAAGGAAACCTATTTGCCAGTGGCTGTGCCGTCGACTACGCTTCGAGTCTCATCGTCGCCAAGCCCGGACTAGCAACGGAAAACAGAATGCCTCCTATCGTCGGCAAACAAGCTCTTGCTCCGAATATTCCCATTGGCATGCGGATTCCAAGTCATAATGTTTTGAATCAGTCAGACGCCAGACCTTGGCACCTTCAAGAGCTTTTGCCTAGCGATGGTAAATGGAGAATCATCGTTTTCGCCGGAGACGTCCTGGACAAATCTCAATTCGCCAGACTCTCAGCCCTTGCAGAGAAGTTGAGCTCACGTGATTCGTTCATGAATCGACATATAATCAAAGACGATGGGGCGGTGAGCTCTTTCCTCGAAGTCTTGACGATCCATTCATCTTCACGCGACGAAGTGGAGCTACTCTCTTTGCCGGACATCTTTCATCCGTTCTCTGAGGAATATGGTTGGGATTATAATAAGGCCTACGTGGATGATGAATCGTACCATGAGGGACATGGCCAGGCTTATAAGAACTACGGCATTGATGCCAAGAGAGGCTGCGTAATTGTTATTCGGCCTGATCAATATGTCAGTTGGATTGGGGAGCTGGAAGATATTGATGATATGAATCGGTTCTTTGGAGGAATATTTCGGTCTGGTTAATTAAGGGCAAGTCTAATGCATCTACTATAAAGTAGAAGGCCTTGGTTGTAGAAGCCGCATAAATACTAAACAATACCCTACTCAGTTTCAGGCAATTGTCGAACCTTTGTCGTATGGTACCTGAACAGTGAATAAGATGGGCTATTTTTAGCTATTGACACAGCTAACAGCTAGGCCTTATGGAGAAGAAATTTGTCTTGGTATGCTTTTCAGCTTTAGATTTGGCATAGGCTTTGAAAATAGAAAGTCAAGGAGGTATAATTCTTTATTGAATGGCAACTATGGAAATCTATGTGGGCTATCTTGTAGTGCCTCTCAACACCCAAATAATAAAACTCCAGTTGAAGTTCAACAGCATATGAAGGACTCTTATAAACGGAGATGACGAGCAGGGTCAAACTGTGAGGAATTAGCATGTGCTATAAGACTTGGAGGGCTTTTCAAAGCATACCTTGATATCCTTATCCTGATCAAACACCAGCGCGCGTTGGCCAAACGCAATCCAAGTATTCTCAAGATTGATCTGTGAAGCATACGCTTCCTCAAAATGGCTTTGCGCTTTTCTCAAGTCCTGCACACCTTCTTTACCACCAAGATGGATTGAAAAGACAAGATCAAAAACAGGTCGTCCAGGGACACTTCCGAAGTGGGCACTCGCATCGAAGGGAAGGTCCGCTGGGGTGTTGGTTACAAGAGCACGAACTTGGCTTGCGGCGAATTGTTACAGATTACTGGCGAATCCAGACACCAAACCGTCGACGCCGCCGTTTTTCGTAGTTATGAAATACATGGCTACCGGCGAACTCACAGGAGAGTCGAAATCTTCAGACAAAACGCCCTCTTGAAGTGGGACGAGTGTTTCCTGGACTGTGACAGGCAATGACGCACCAAAATCCGAGAATTTGGCACCATCCGGCCCTACCTTTTCTTTAACCCAGGGTGACTTGAAGACGCGATCGATGTGATCCGCTGATTCAAAGTAAAGCTCGGTAATGTCGTCAGAAAAGGCCCACGCGGGATTGGCGTTCGGCCCGCGGCTTGGATCTTGCTGATGGTACGCTGCATCTTCAATATGAATTTGAAAGTACTTTCTACGCCAGGAAACATAAGCATGCTGTTCCATGGTACATCGGAAATGAAGTGGACCTACGAAGGATTCTCTGCTGGGGATGGGCCTGTACTAATCCTGCCATGGACTTGGAAGTGATAGTCGAAAAATTCTTGTCTGGTTAGACCTGGGCTGCGGCGAACGGCCACGATCTGCTTGATGTAAGGCATGGCTTTAAGTGATATCACTGACATGTGTAAAATAATGTGTGGTGAGACCAGGAATCTAGGAAGTACGAAGGCACAGGTAATGGACAGTAAATAAGTGGATTACGATTTATACCACCACTATATTCTCTATACGCAGCGAACATCATGAGGTATACGGATTTTTAGAATAGCCTGCTGATCCGAGCCCTCGGTTTGTCGGTTTGATTTCTAATGATGATGGGTTCGATGTTGGAGCGGGGTCAACCGCGGGTCTTCCGCGTGAGGGCGAAAGCGGAGCTTCCGAGCCAAGTGCCGAGTCTAATGCCACTTCCCCAGAGTAAGTAGCATAATTGCGAATTACTTTAAACATTGCTATATCTTCAATTTCAATCTTATCTATTATCTATCAAATCTCATCACTTTCCCATCCAAAATCTTCATCGTTTCATCATGGCCACAAAATATCAGAGAACATCAACCGACGTTGACGGTTACACTCGTATCAAACACGAATTCATTCCAATGCGCGATGGTGTCAAGTTATGCGCCGATCTTTTTCTTCCCTTTTCTTCCTCCAAATATGGCGAAAAAGTCCCAGTGCTTTGCAGTATGGGACCATACGGCAAGGATATCCATGCCTCCACGTTTGGGCTACCCAAAACTCCCATCTACGCCGAAATGTACAAGAAAATCAAGCCACTTGGACCAGATGCATGCTTTGAGCAAGCCGAACCACTCATCTGGGTAAGTCTGACCTATAAGAGTATTGCTATCCTATACTAATATCAGCCTCGGACATATAGTGCAAAGAATATGGATACGCCCTTCTCCGAGTCGATACGCGCGGCATTGGCGGTAGTGAAGGGAAACTGGATCCTTTTGGCTTAGAAAGGTCGAACCAGATCAAAGCCGACGCTGAAGGCCAGGGTAAGTCATCAACTGTCTTGATTATAAACGCCACAATAAGCTCATCGCATCTCAAGATCTCTATGATGTGGTTGAATGGGCTGCTGCTCAAAGCTGGTCATCTGGTAAAGTAGCATTCACTGGCATCAGCTACCTCGGCATGGTAGGCTATTGGGCAGCCATGCAAAAGCCACCACATCTGACTTGTGTCATATCGTATGAATCGGCCTGTAGCATTTATCAAGCCACTCGCCGTGGAGGCATCTACAGCGATAACTTCCAGTCTCATTGGTACCACAACATTGTCTTGCCCCAGCAAAGCGGAGCGCAAGATGGGTCGCGCACTGCAAAGGAGCTCGAGGCCAACCGGGTAGATTTTCCCCGCATGCTGACGACGGACGAGTATCCTGATCAAGGTTGTTTTGAATTCTTGGAGAAGGCTCGCGTGCTGTCTGATATTGATGTGCCATTTTATATTGCGGGTAACTGGACCGACCCAGAACTTCATCTTCCGGGCAACATTCGAGCTTTCAACGGGATTTCTTCAGAGTACAAGTGGCTCGAGATGCATACTGGAAATCACTTAGGTGCATACTATGAGCCAGAGCATATCGCATTACAGAGAAAGTTTCTGGATTACTTTCTTTTTGATAAGCAGGATAATGGAATGCTCGAAGTTCCCCGGATTCGACTGCTTCAACACCACGGGACCAAGACTTTATACCGTCAAGACGAGGCTGCTTTCCCAACCCCAGATGCGCAAGATACGTCTTTCTATCTGACGACCCAGAAGAAACTCTCGTTGAGTTATCCTGAAGGAGAAAAGCAACCATTCTCTTACCGAGGCTATCGGGAAAACCTATCCTTTACACTTGAATCATCTTTTGATGAGTCGTTCGAGATACTCGGATCTCCATACCTCGAGCTTGAAGTTATTACCAAGGCAGAGGATTTAGATCTTTTCATCTACCTTCGGGCGATCGATGAGAATGGCAACACTTTCATATTGGAGGGCAATCACGGTGAGCCTATGGATAATTTTGCCAGAGGCTACTTCCGTCTGTCTCATCGCGACGAAGTTGCCAAAGACTTTGATACACGAAAAGTCATCACCCAGCCACCAACTCCCAAATCTGAAGTCGTTCCGGGTCAGGTGTATAGAGTCGTGGTACCTATTTATCCGGCAGCATTTCTCTTTGACAAGGGCCAAACGCTTTCGCTTGAGATTGGCTCGGTTGACACCCCGAGCACGATCCCGCCTATGCGTCATGAAGGGGGTGATAGGGTTGCGGAGAGGTTTGAAGGAGAGAATGTCATCTTTTCTCATGGACGATTGGTGTTGCCACGCGTCAGACGTTAGGTGAGTGGCTAGATTATGGCGTGTATAAATCACACATTTTAGAGATATATACCAATTATTGAATGAAGCGAGAAGATCATGCTCCTTTTTCGCCTCCGATCTCATCCTAACCGTAATGCGCACCTGTACTGAAGTCTCTAGACGCGCACCTTGTTGCTTTTCTCTTCCGCTGACTACTGAAAGTATGGTCCTTAGTGTCAGGCACATAGGATAACGAAGGCTGACTTTCGAGATGCTGAAGCACAAAGTCGTGAATCATGATACCAAGAGGGTACAGCATACATGGGCACTTTCGTTCGTTCGTTCGTTCGTTCGTTCCGTTTAAAACGTTTATGCATGTTAAATCGTTTAACCGTTTAAGGGCATCCTAAAACCGTTTGAACGGTTAAACGATTTTCTAGCCCTGTCCTGGTAACAGGTCATTGATCGTGCGATTAGAAAGAAGGACAAAATCCAGTCCTTCATGTCTGATCACGAAGAGGCCATCGGAGACAATCGGCTATTAGTTGGAGATTGGGAGTTGCTAGGCAAAGCACATACGTTTCTTCAGCCATTTGCTTCAGCAGCATTGTATGCAGAGGGAGATGAGTCGTCTATCTCACAATCGTTGATGCTGATGGATATGTTGTTACTCCATTACGAAGAACAACAGGTACCCTTCAATCTATCCACATCAAGTCGATTACTAACATTGTATCAGAAGATATATCAGTCGGATGAACACTCCGACGAACGGATGGTTCGAGCCATCGATATGGGATGGTTTATCCTCTCTAAATACTACCGCCTAACTGACGAGGTTCCCGTATACGCCGCCGCTCTCCTCCTTGATCCCCGTAAACGCATCGCGTATATCAAGCAGAACTGGCCAAAGGAATGGCATGAAGATACTATTGCCTCGGCCACAGCATTCTGGCAAAAGGAATTTAATTACGAGCAACCCAGCGACCATCCCTCCACCCCCACGTCGATGCCACCACCGCTAGCAAAGAAGCTAAATCAACTCGCGATACTATCAAAGAAGCTGGAGGTTAGGACTATTAACGCGAGTGTTAGGGATGATTTCACTAGCTTCATCAACGTTGATGCAACAGATATCCCTCCGGATTGTACGCCTTTGGAGTGGTGGTGTCAACCACAGCAGAGAAAGCAGTATCCGAAACTTAACCGCACGGCTATTTGCATTCTTTCTATCCTAGCAGAGTCATCGGAGCCGGAGAGGACGTTTTCTGGGGCAAGAAGAACATGTTCATGGGATAGATTACGAGCCACATGCAAAACCGTCGAGATGATTGAATGTACGGGCAATTGTTTGCGTCAAGGACTCATACGGCCTCTGCATGAGAATGAGATGGGTCTAATCGGAATCCCACGGCCGGAGGGTGACTCTCAGGACGTTGACGATGACAGTGGGCACTACTTTGACTGGTATTAGAGCAGGCGCGGTGGATATTTCTCACCGTCATAAATCGTTCATTCGTTCGTTTAAATCGTTTATTCGTTCGTTTAACCGTTTGCAATATTTTTGAACCGTTCAAACGTTTGAGGAAATATTCGGCCGTTTAAACGGTTTGCCCATGTATGGGGTACAGCAAAGATACGTGACGGGGATGATACAAAATGATGATAGAGGGAGTTGTATTGGCCGACCCACAAAAGCCTTTCCCCCTCCAATGCATTTCAAATCTCTCAGGCGTCGTCCTCGATATACCGGTATGGTGTAGGAAGAGTGGTTCACATACTTGGATGGTTCACATGCTTATCATGTACGTTATATCTATTAAACTGGACCTTTTAAGACACTGGTGACATTTGCTCCCACTGAAGCCAGATTGACAGGTCTAGTCCCTTCATCCCTCAAACGGCTTTGCAGAGCTTTCCATCGGGTTGCTCAAACCATGACTCACTACCCACACAGCGCATACACCATTGTAGCGAATCTGGATCATACTTCTCTTTGATAGACCGAAGCCGCTTGTAGTTTTTGCCAAAGAAAGATTTCTGCCAGTCTGGCTCATAGGGATCCGCCTGTCAGATATGAAGTTATGAGCGATTGAACCAATGCAGTCCAGGAGTTATGCTACGTACCTCGTTCATATAGGCGCCACCATTAGGTTCAAGTCTGCGCAGGGCAGCTCCCTTGACATTGGTCATGTCATCAACTGCACGCTCGGCCTGTTGATATGGCATATTATCCTTCCAACCGCTAGAGACAGCCATGTGAACAACAGTATCTCGCCATACTGGATTCAACGCGCTGTTAACCTTGACAGAGCTAATCGCCATGCTGCCTGAAATGCTGGGGTTGGAGAAGCCATTCTGGATGGACATTAGTGACGCTCAATAACTGACAGAAAGAAGGGGGGGTGAGGGTTTCCATACTTGAGGCCCCTCGGCACTAGGCCCGATAATTTCCAAAGTTTGAGCCAGCGCATCAACATCCTTGGTAAGAGCCTTGGCGGACAACAGTCTCGACGTCGTTGCTCCGCCCCCAGTAGCGGCTGAAGACCCAAGGTCAGGGAACTTCTTGTACACACTGATCCAAGATGGCGCCCATATGATATTCGAGGTAAACTCTGTCGTCTCATTTGCAGCCTCAAGGTGCGAGATGAACGGCTGAATTAGTCTCTCTGCTGTCCCGTTCGGCTTGTTGTACAGAAAGAAAAGCCCATAGAAAGTGAGGTTCTCATAGGAGGGCGGTCCACCCAGGACATAGTTCCCTTGGAAGCCTCCTTTCTTCAATTCGGGAAGGTATGCGTGCAGTTCGGCAACGAATCGGTACCAGCAGGCCGTGCAACTCGTATTTTTGGTCGACACGTCAATCGTCCAAACAGTTGCCTGTGGCATAGGATAGGCCTGGATCGTCGCCTCAACGATAACTCCGAAGGTTCCTCCACCACCACCTCGGATAGCCCAGAATAGATCCGAGTGTTGATGTTCGTTAGCCGTCACGAGATCTCCCGAAGGGGTCACGATTGATGCCTCGAGGATATTGTCGGCACCTTGGCCAAACTCGCTTGTGAGCCAGCCGTGACCACCAGCAGTGGCCCATCCCATAAAGCCGACATTCTAATTGTGTTAGTGCCGGGTCCAGTAAAACGGCTGCCTTGCTGCCTCATACCTGATTTGTTCCACCGACTACGGCTGCGCCCTCAGTGGCTGCAGCATCGAAAAGATCAATATCTTGCATTCCGGCACCAATAGTCGCGGCCATTTGGGGCTTCGAATGCTTGCAGGGCTTGGAGTCTCGACAGGTTGGGACCCATTTCTTGTCGAGTTTGAAGCCACGAAGGTGATGCGTCCATACACTGGCCGACAAGTTAACAACATACATGAAAACTAGGTCGAAGTGTTTTACTTACGATAAACTGCCGAAGGCGGTGCTCCTATTTTATTATCCCTCGTCAGCCGCATGATGTGTCGTCCCCAGGGTGGAGCTCACCACTTACCTGCCTGCACCATTATGACCTGTATTCTTCACGTTGAGGCGAATGTTGTGTTTGTGCACGAACCTAACGGCTGCTTGGACATGCGACGCTTCTGTGGCATTGACCACGTAAGGTGGATAGCGACCGATTGTACATCCCCGACTTCCAGCTAAAGTATCGCCGGTCAAGCTTGTGCCATTCGAGTAGATGGCATTGCAGCTGTTGTTCGCCCACTGTGGTGAATGAATACTAGCGGGATTGTTTGAGTGAAAGCCGTTTAAGGCCCAGTTGGCTTGAACAATTTCACATTGGGTTTCGTCGTAGTTGGTATCCGACTTGTAGCAGACTGAGGCAGGCAGTACCGTCTTGATAAGACGACCCGAGATGGTGCTATTCAATGTGTCCCACTCGGATTCGGCAGGCCAGCATGAGTCTCCAGGAACCTAAAGCTGTTTAGCAAACCCCTGGGCAGCAAATTTTGTGATATAAAGTCCAGCATACGCATTTGCACTTTAATGCCGCCGAGGCTTGGATGAGAAGGCCGATGTGTGCTAGTGAAAAGAGCCGCATCCTTGATGTGATAGATAGTGTTGGCAAAAAGACGAGGATAAAATCAGCAAGATGCATTGCACGACGTTCCGAGAGGGAAATATATATAAACGTAGACAATGAATGATCATCATGTCTCCAAGTGTCAGGTTTCGTACATGATGTGGGACCGTCGATCATATTGTCGACTAAGAATACGCGTACTTGCTATTTCGGTGTGGCAACTGGAGAACCTTACCTTCAACCGCGTCATAAGGCGTCGCAGCGCTCCAGAGCATTGGCATACCCAACCCTACGCCACAATTCTATTGTGCATCGAAACGGGGTTGGCGTCATTTTGATTCCTGTACATGTGGCTGAGTGTTTTGGTCCAGTCTTAGGGTTCCAGTTATTATTTTCTTCAACCTGCTATTCATTTTCTTGAAACGGTAACGCTGTTTGGGAACGATTGATGGGATAATTGACTGTTGACTCGGAGCATCATGCGAGTTGACCTATGAATGCAGTTACTGCGCAATGGAAGGGCGAAAAAAAGGGGGATAATTTGAAGCGATTCGAATAGAGAGATTGGCAGGTCTAACATTGAATCAGTTCCTGGTCATCACGGATAACCTGTTTATGCATTGACTTGATCTCGTACCCTTCCATCGGAACGTTGTCACGAATGAGGGTTTCTGGGAGCTTGTGTCATGTATTAGTCGTCGAAACAAGTCTCGCCACAGCCCTCCGAAAAAATCACATGAAACTCACATTCTGGGGATCAACTGGCGCCGGACTTAGAAAGTCTTGAGGTAACATTGCCCAAGAATCAGGTTCATTCCACGTTTTCCTTCTCTCTTGATTCATGCGACCAGTTGAAACGCAGCGAGTCTACATCCGCACGACGTAGGATACCTCTGCATGGGCACAATCTTGCGATGCTAATAAATTACAAACATAGTAGTAGGTTAGCCAAGTATCACAGGGAGACTCCATACCTTGTTACAGGAAAAATTGAACTGAAATCATCCTTGGCTACTTCTGACACGGCTTCTCCGTGACCCAACCTCGTATACTACTACGCAGTACGATGGCATACGCGTATTTGTAGCGGATACCCTGCCACTGGATCTGATACGTGTATAGCGCTCCATTATATTGTATACCAGTGTTCCTAACCGCTTTGGCGAATAACTAAGTGGGTCAAAGCGCTTCGGCGTGACTAGCGTGCTTCCCGCTATGGGACATCAAGAAGCGGGGTTGGTTGAGTAAACGGGATTAGAATTGTTGAACGGATCGCGTGCGCCTTGATGTCCTTAATTGTATGTGTATTGTCCGAACTCCATCCCCGCCTTCCTCGGAGAGGGGTCTGCTTATTATGCTTTCCTGAATGGGTCTAGGGTTGCCGACAGCTGACTATTAGGTCACATGATACCCCGTGCGGCCATCCTACTGTTCAACAAGAATACTCCATAAACGTCCTGCGAAATATCTGGTGCTCTCGTGACAAAGAAAAAAGTTATTAAACCAAGATATTCCCACTGATGTGCCATATGAAATCCTACATGCGACTGCAAGTTTATCGACATAGCTACTAGGTTGTCGATGCACGATACTACATACATCGACCGATGTTCGCACAAAAAAATCAACAAAAAAAAAGAATTAAAGGAAAAAAAGAAAAAAAGAAACAAGTCTTGAGGGATTGCCTTGGGGACTGTCAAAAAAGCACGCTAATTTACATGGGCATTACAGTACAGTGGGGGGCAATAAGTTTGAATACCAGGCGTGTATCTTTTAAGCTGCTAGCTTCTTTAGGAATATTACCACGTGCATATTAGCTTTTACACGCTGATTTAAAGTATACTGATTGGCCTTCCTAAACCTTATACCAGAATGAGAAATATAGTAATCTTTAGAAAGGCTAGACAGGATGTGCCAGTACATCAAAAGGTATTCAAACTTCTTGCCCCCACTGTACATGCGTTCCCAGGCCGTGCGTTTTATGCAAGTCAACTGGGGCTACAGGCGCAAGGATGATATCTTGTTAGCGCACTGAGGACAGAAGAGTCGGCCCAAGTTCTACAGATATGGGCCCACATAACACAGACAAGAAACGGACCGATAGCACATTTAAGTAGTACAGAGTTTGCGGGGTAGAACTAAAGGGACTAGGCAAACACGGGGCCCCGGCTTTGCAGGGCTTGAGATGGTCCGGGGCAGGACCGGTGGGTTGTTTCCATGATCATGCTCTCCGAACTCTATGAACTGAGTATCTCACATTCTCCCAACCCTTGGCCCGTTTTTGTATAGGTTTCACTGCCACATGTGAAAGTCTCTTCGTTCAGATGTCCTCAAGGAAATAAGTAGACCTGGTCCGCGCCTCGTTCCAGATCTCTTATAGCTACGCAGTGTCCGATGACGTGACTGTCTGGCCAAACAAAACCCAACTGTGGCTAATAATGCATGGGATCATATTATCGGGCCGTCTCAATCAGAACTACCCGAGGCCTAGACCGGATTGAGTGTCTATGATAAATTGTACAGAAAAAACTCTTGTCCCTCTCGGCCCCAAAATTACTATATATTGATGTATGAATCGTCTCGACACAGCTTCTCTACACAGCAGCAGCTATTGATACTCGCCAATCCATCATTATGGGTGCCAAAAGCTTGTTTATTCTTCTTTTAGGCCACCAATGCTTAACCAGTGGCTTTGTTGGCCTGGATCCCAAGGCTCCCAAGAGTCAATATATCCCGAAAGTTCAAGGTACGGTTCCTCAACAACAACAAAACTGCATCATGGGCGTCTGCTAAGACTTCAATGAACTAGACTGGGACAAAGCTGCGGCTAAGGCTGCTGAGCTTGTAGCTAAGCTCAATATCACTGAGAAGGCTGACACAGTTACGGGAAGTCTATCAGATGGTTCAGGCACTGGCTGTGTGGGCAGAATCCGCCCGGTTGAGAGAGTGGGATTCCACGGAATATGCCTTCTGGATGGACCCAACGCAGTCAATCGGGCAGACCTTGTCAGCATCTTTCCGTCTGGAATATCCGCAGCGGCGAGTTGGGATCGCCAGGCGCTTTTAGAGCGTGGTATTGCCCTCGCTGAAGAGTTCAAGGCCAAAGGAGGACACGTGATTCTTGGGTACATATTGATTTTCTTTGAGTCCCAACCTACTCTTGATGAGCTTGGAAACCTATTTCTCATAACACGAGGTGCTGACACTGAAAAAGGCCCACCACTGGTCCCCTTGGACGTCACCCCCTTGGAGGTAGGAACTGGGAAGGGTTCTCTCCTGACCCGTTCCTATCTGGTGAAGCCATCAAATACACTGTCATGGGTCACCAGTCCGTTGGTGTGCAGACGTCATCGAAGCATTTCGTGGCCAATGAGCAAGAAACCCAGAGGTCCGACACAGTTCAAGATGATGGCTCCATTGTTCATGGTATCTCATCGAACATAGACGATCGCACTCTGCATGAGCTCTATCTGTGGCCATTTGCGGATGCTCTGAAAGTTGGAACAACCTCGATTATGTGCAGCTACAACCGCTTGAACGGTACTTATGCTTGCGAACACCCGCGACTGCTCAACGAGATTCTACGCAAAGAGCTCGGGTTCCGCGGCTATGTCGTTTCTGACTGGTTCGCGACCCATTCGACAAGCGTGGCTGCCAACGCTGGCCTCGACGTGGAGCAGCCGGGAGACTTGCCTCCGGGAGTCACCGTTTCACACGGCGGTGGCGGCTACTATGGATCTAGCCTGGTGGAGGCGGTGCAAGCTGGTAATATCACTGAGGAGCGTCTTGACGAGATGGTTACCAATCTCTTGACCCCGTACTTCCTTCTCGGTCAAGACAGCGAGGACTATCCCACAGTGGACCCAAGCATGCGTTTCCTTCTCACCCTCAGCAACTCCGGATGGACTTCAAAGTTTCTCCAAGGACTCGGTCCATCTATTGCGGGTCGTGATGTCCGAGGTGACCATCACAAGTTGATTCGCAAGCATGGCGCTTCCGCGTCTGTTCTTCTCAAGAACAAGAATGAGTTTCTTCCCCTCGAGCTCGCAAAGACGAGAAATATTGGTGTCTTTGGAAATGCTGCTATTGACCCTACCGAGGGCTTGTTCTATACAGAGACAAGCGATCCGTTATATGGGCCCGAGTATGGCCCAATCACGGTTGGGGGTGGCGCAGGCTCCGGTCGAAACTCGTACCTGGTGTCTCCCCTTCAGGCAATCCGATCCCACGCCAGCAAGACAAACGCCATTGTACAGCACCTTGCCTCCCATGACTTGATATCTAAGAACGATTTCCGGTCTATCTACCCTGTTCCGGACGTCTGCGTCGTCTTCCTCAAATCTTGGGCAGCCGAGACTCATGACAGGCTATCATTCGAACTGGATTGGAACTCGACCGCCGTCGTCAGGAACGTTGCTAACTTTTGCGGCGCCAACAAGACGGTTGTTGTCACGAACTCGGCTGGTGTCAACACCCTGCCTTGGGCCAATAATGACAATGTAACAGCAATTCTTGCTACACATTTCCCAGGCCAGGAGATTGGAAACTCTATCATCGATGTCCTCTGGGGTCAGATTGAGCCAAGCGGAAGGCTACCTTACACTATCCCCAAAACCGAGGAAGACTATGATTTCCCTGTTGTCAATATTACCGATGCCGAAGGTAACCCATCGCGAGACTCATCAAGGTGGCAAGCCGACTTTACCGAAAAACAACTGATCGACTATCGGCACTTTGATGCGAAGGGTATCGAGCCTCTTTATGAGTTCGGATTTGGGTTGGGCTATACGACCTTTGAGCTGGACCGTCGGGCCATGGCCTCCAAGTTTACGAAGAAGGCCATTTCAGAGCTCCCCAATGCCCTGGCTAAGATTGAACCAGGCGGCAACACTGATCTCTGGACAGAGCTGATCCGAGTTTCGACCAAAGTCAAGAACACTGGAGCCCGAAAGGGTAGTACCGTGGTGCAGCTGTACCTCTCATTCCCCGAAGGCGTCGAGGATGCGCCAGTCAGAGTTCTCAGGGGATTTGAGAAGGTCGAGTTGAGCTCCAAGAAGTCCAAGAAGATCGAATTTGCACTTAAGCGGCGTGATGTGAGCTACTGGGACGTTGCGGCGCAGCAGTGGAGGATCCCTAAGGGCGAGTTCAAGTTATCTGTTGGGTTTAGTTCTCGAGACCTTGTCGCGGAGACAACGACCAATGTCCTCGGATAGTCTAACTATCCTCTGCAGTATATAGTGTACCTCTCTACTACATAGATAACAGCTTAAGATGACAGTTTTGATGGCCACTTATATCTGCCACATTGTATCACTAAGGCTGCTCCTACACACGGGCTATGTGACCCACAGGATGAACGAAGACCAAACTTAGATGTAACGGATCGCCAGGAGAACATCGCCACAGCTGACGCATACGACTATATCCAAGGAAGGATAAACAGACTAACTTCAGTCATTCATTTAGATGGAAGTCAAGAGCTTCAACACAGCCCAAATCCCCTGTTGAGTATGACGAAGTCTATAAGTGTATGTTGAAAGTGAAGTTGACAATTGTAACTGCCACGCCTGTCATAATTGCACCAACAAAAACAAAGGATTACCTGGGGCGAAAAGAATCTCCAACCCTAATTACACCGAGGGAGATATTCAAAACGCCCTCAACAATGTCACAGACAGCATTCTTTGCCGTACAGCCGCAGCGCGACATGGCGTTCTAGAGTCAACCCTCATAGGCCGCGTTTCTGGCCGGCAAAGTCGCCAGAAGGGTCAGAATATAAGTAAAATCCCTCAGAGTGGTAGGAGAAGCACTTTGTTTCATGGGCCATAGCCCAGGACGAGTTGGGCTTCCCGCCGGGGCACGCCCAGGTCATCGCCTTCGCTGGCCGGATCGCCCTGATGAACAGCAACAATGAGTCCATTGGGGCGCATTGGATGGAGGCTTTTTTACTCCAAAATCCCTAGGCTAAGACTCTAAGAGGTCAGAAACTTGATTTTTTTACGTTTCGACAATGCAACGACTGAGAACATCAAGGTTTTCTTCGATCATCTTACCGTCCCGGCAGTGCAAGAGATTAAGCCAGAGAACTTGCGAAATTAATAGATGGGGAGGTGGCTGCTGATGCCGTAGGAACCGGTACTTCGGATGATCCATGGCCGGTTACACAACTAAGTGTCGCGCTGAGCCGTTCTTTCAGACTTGCGTTTGGAATAGAGACAAATATCCCGACGTGGCGCTATGCAGCTATTCTAATCTCACGCCGGCACTTGCAGCAAGCCAAATTTAAGCGAGACTTCATTAAGGCAGTTTCATGGGCTTGGATCGACGAAATGGCAGCCCACTCGATTAAGTTGGCCGGGTTAATATACGCACAAGGGCTACAAGAAGCACCCGGGCATATCGCTGGCGCAAAGACTGAATATCGCCGAGTCAGCCGTGACTGGCATGCGCGGCTCGGTTTTGGGAGGATTTCGGAATTCTGCTACTTGGCATCCTTGAGAAAGCCGTAAATGAGGATTAATGTAAGTTAGGAAGAGTATTACCAAAATGAAGCTCTATCGCCAAAGCTCTACAGGCCATCAGTTTTGTTACGCTCAGCTCGAACTGTCGATGTGGAACAAAAAGGTTTTGGGAAGGTAACAATGCCGCGTAGTGTCTAACAGAGTTTAGAGAGCGAAGTTGAACCTTTGTTTTCTTAGAATCATTCGCACTGGAGTACTTTACATACGATTCGGAACTCCGGGCTCTGGTAACGATGGCAGTTCCTCTCTTCATCTTTGCCGCTACCGTATGCCGCTTTGTCGCTGATCGCAGGTGTGTGAGTCCCGACGAACAACTAAACGATGTCCTGCACAACGTTGAGACTTAGTTATAAATGATTGCATAACGCAAAAGTTTGGAATACGGCTCTCGAGACAATTTTCGTACCGTATATGCTCAACAAGAGTTGCCAAGTATTCGCAGTAGAGAGTTCTTTATACGCGTAATGCTCGCCTCAGACACTTGACACAAATACGCGTAAAGAATGTTGGCCGCGTCACACCTAAAATTACACAGTATTCTATTTGCCGATCCGAAAATCTTGATATTTAAAAATTTGTTTCAACTCTAATTCTACGCTTTTTTTTTTCTCTGCAAAGTTCCACTCCTTATTTTACCCTTCATTCTTTTTATACACTGCCGACTTACAAAGCTTCACACCGAGATGATGCCAATAAGAGACTTTTTCCAGAGCCGCTTCTTCGAGCAACAGTGGAAGAACAAAGTATCCATAGCCCAAATCAGCATGATTACTATTGCTTTCTGTTTGGGCATCGCCAAGCTAGCCACAAAACCGGGACACATACCAACGAACAGATCCGACATTATGGTCATCACAATGGTCAGTCAACGAAACAACAGAGCCAGATCCCATATTGCGGCTGAGTCACAACCTTGTGGCCATTACTCACATGTGGACAGAGCATCAAGTCATATGTGTTTCTTGCCTATGAGTTTGCAACCCAGAAGATGGACAAGTTCAGGAGATTCGGAAGCCATAAAGCCAACGCGGTCCTCAACACAGTCGACATAGTGTTTTGGATGGTAGTAATGGGTTTAGCATTCACCGTTGTCAGCCAGATATGCGTTGGCGTAAATTGCGGGATTGGCATTCTGGTGGGACTGGCAGCATTGTTGGTTGCGTATGTCATCTTTCATATTATATTCACGGAGAAGATGACTGACATACTCTCTAGATTCGTTAACTTCTGGGCTGCTGTCATTGCCTGGAAAGACCACAGATACTTCAAGAGCTATGGCGTGCGACGTGGTCAGAGTGCTCCACAGATAAAGCGCACTTACACTTCCAGCAACGGGCTTCACCATCACCAAAGATATCACAGTCGAGGGCAGAACCACTGAATGATGCAAGACGATTGAAGAACCTTCTGCCAATCTTTTTTTTTTTTTTTTTTTTTTTTTTGGGTATACAATGACCTCAAAATGCGAGTCATTGTTGGAAAGTCCGGGAATCCCCCTTCCCTTCAGGATTCAGACTAATAGTCTGAAAGTCCTAGAATTAGAGCTCAAAGTCCGAGATGAGATTATCTAGAGACATAAGCCCAAGAAGAACTCTTATCTCAATAATTAACAATTAAGTTTCACAAAAATATTTTTTCACCTAACGTTAGTACTACTACGCAATATAAATACTACTTCTTACCCATGACCAACCCGGCATAATGATAATCTAGGTCCGTCAGTCGATCGAGATGGAGAAATTGACTGTCCATGATGTTGATGACAGCGATCGGAACTTAATAGTAGGTCGAAGGTTTTCAGCACAAAAGTGCCCGGCATAAGAGGGCAATATCTATCGGATATACTATTTACGTTGGGGAATGGAAAGAAAAAGGGTTACTAATCTGGATATAGAGATACATAGCAATCTACTATTATTATCATTGCTCAATGTCAGTGAAGGGTCTCACGTAGCTGGCAAAGTCCAACGGAACAAGGCCCTGTGCTGCTAATAGTGGCCCATTAGAAACAAAAGCATGGTTGTGTTGTGACAATAGCCAAAGTGGTGCCCGGGAGTCAGCCTAGATCCAATGTCTCCGCCACGGCCATAGCATGCACGGTGCCGGGAAGGCCCTGGCAGTTGGCGTTGTGGAGATCTATTGGTATCCTTAGCGCAAACCTTGTGAGGGCAAACCATGCATTTGGAGGATGGGATTGAAGGGTGAGGGGAAATGTCCCCTGACTGCATCTAGCAGTTGCGGCCTTTTCTAATTTGGCTCAATTTCAAGGGCAATGAACCTCAGATTTATTCCTTATCAGCCAACTTTGCAAGCTCAATCCTGACAGAGCAGCAATCTCGTAACGCAGGACTCTCCCCGTTATTTAGTCTCGGATTAGATAGTAGGTAACGTTCCAAGTCGTCAGCGCGTTGCGTTGGACCTTAAGTAAAGGTTGCATGGAAGCCTCGGATACACCATGGGCTGGTAGGCACTGGGTGGTTGATTGTTGGCGTATGAAGTCAGTAAAATTGGGCCATTGAATCGGCAGAACATACGATTGAACTGGCCTGTTATGTATATATTCGATTATGATTAAGTTCAATTGACGTTAAGATTCACTCCGTTCAATACATTAAGCTACGCCTAGTGGTTTCCCCCTTTGCCGCTGGCCCTCCACTGCCACGTTATTATGTTGGACGTAGGCCTCCTAACCACTGTCTCGCATCGATGTTTGTTGATATTACGATCGAATGAATAAGTTTGGAGAATCTCGTTCCGCTATCTGTCCCTCACATCCTCGCTCGAGACTCTGGGCATCAGCTCCTTGTACACTGGAATTACTGTCAGTATCACGCGTTAGAGAACACATTCTCACAGCTACTCACGCATTCGACATAGCAATTCTGTAAATAGATCAGCAAGGTCTCATAGCACGTTGAATACTCGATTTAATCATGCTCACATTATACCAATTGGCCTTAATCCAGCCATCACATTCCTCAGTATTTCGACAAGTTTGGCCCTATCAAGCCGTTAATAATCCAAAGCCTCAAGAGGACGACGTATGAGACTTACGTTACCGCATGCCCCTAGATTGCAATACTATTTTCATGGTTAGTCTGTAGTAACACGTTATACTCTCTTTTTGAACTTACGTCCGTATTTGGACGGCAATTTTGACCGGGAGCAACAACTCCTCCATCAGGACGACAAGCATTCTGTCTGCGGCACTGTGCGTTGACCGAAAGAGCAAATAAAAAAAGCACGAGACCCTTCATTTTCGCGATTGGATGGCTTTGAGACTAGGAGGGTGCAAAATGTTGTTCTAGGTTAGCTAGGTAGGTCTTAAACACTACTGTACAACAGAACAGCAGAATAACAGAGGACTTTATAACTTTCCCCACCCCTGCCAGACTCAGTCAGTAATCGAGAGGAGGCTTCCAATAGGTCCTCCAGCACAATGCAATAAAACTTTGTCTTGTACGCACGGTTCAACCAGCGACCCCGGACTAGCTAGCGTGTCCTCTCCAACATCCCTACACCACTATCCCAGTGCCTATGCGGCCCCTCTTCACCAGTGTAAGCCTTTTCACTGCTGGAAATAGAAATATCCCTTGCACTAGCTACCCATGTGACACATTCCGGCAAACCTTATATAGCCGGCGTTGCCGACTTGCCTAAGGATATTTCATAAAGATGGAAAAGCTATTTAGACCCTCTTGTACTCTAATCTTATCCCTTTGAGTGCCACAGCCCTTCAGAGGGGTCACGACAGGGGTATAAGACCAATCAAAATAAATGAAACTAACGGTACTTCTCCCCACATACTAATTTGTATGATGGTAAAAGTCCCAGCAGTTTTGATTGCTACAAAGAGCTACCTCACAGACTTGGCAGCCGTACCAGGTCTGCCTACCCGAGCCTCCTCGGTGCCGGCTTTGTGTATTACCTGTTATCGGCTGCAAAACGAACCTATTTTCAACCTTCCTCTTTTTAAAGGGTCTGGGCTGCCCCTGCCTGAAGCCTTTGCAAGCAAGGCAATCCGAGAATATCCCACTATTGACATGATTGATATCTCTTTGCAGGTGATTTTGCCGTGACTGGGTATCGTTCATGTCCTCCTCTTTCCTTGCCCGAGATCTCTTCCTTGCGCCGCTTTCTTGGCCAAATTTGATGAATAGGGCGTTAGAAATGCACCTCTTCCAGCTCTCGAGGGTCTTGTAAGGCGGCCACCACGGCTGTGAGGTCTTGAGCTGCAAAATGAAGCTATTCGCAAGTGCTACATCAAGAAGGAAGGACCAAAGGAGAGCCTGCCACGGGCCACGGCGAAATCGGTGCTCGTAGCTCGTATAGGACCTTATCTGATCTCCTCGGTCCACGTGATTCATTTCATCGTTATAAGAAGCAGATACAGTCGGTATAGGAATAACCTTTATTGCGGCATCACCAAAGGTCTCCTGTATTGGCTTGGATTGTGCCCCTTTGTCGGCAGGCTTCTTCCTTCTCTTTTGCGTGCGTTGGTCATTGGCACCGCTATATACGGTAGAGAGAAATAACACGAGGCTATTATCCTTCCAAGCGATTTGAGCGACCTAAGAAGGACGAATTAGTAAGAGAAATACATATAAATAAGTCCCCGGGGCGTACGAGGTCATCTATTGTAGGGATTGACTTTACTTCGTTATATTTAAAGACTGAGGCACCTGCCTTCTCCCTCCCTTTTGCAAGCTTAAGCTACTTGGTGATGCCATAGTTGGGGCGGGCTGTGCCTGTAGCTCCGTGACCGGCTTCTCGAAGGCACGGAAGAGATTGGGCGAGGAGAAGAGGTTATCCATAACGACGTGATATGTCTGCTTCGGCAGCATATTAACTAGGTGAATAACGACTCCTGCCGTATTGCTGAGGGCCACAGTCTCCTTAGGCTTTCCCTTTCTCTTCTTCCCCTGTTGCGGCTCTGTAGCCGGCTCCTTCTTCTTTGGCAGCTTGACGATAACAGCGGTATATGGTGATGTCTTCACATGCCGCAGCCACCGAATAAAGAGGCCGTTTTGGGCGATAACCCAGACTTTGAACCCTATGGGCGTAGGCTTATTCTTGAATAAGGTTGTATCCTTGCTCCTGCCTGTAAAAGGGACCATACACTCACCTACAGTGACGTTATTCCCTGGTATATAGAGCTGGGCTGACACCTTCTGTATTAGGTCAGACCACAGTTCAGCAGCTTGGAATGCCTTCGGAAGGTCCTCTTCGTTACCTAGGTCAAGCAAGGTGTAGTCAAAAGTCCGTATATAGCGTGAGATTAACTGGAACCTCCATAGGGGTATGAACTTAATAATTGAACGCAGGGGGGCCTGAAAACCTAGGGAAGGGGGGCTCCAATGGCTTGCAATCGTATTTTCCATATGAATTCCTAGGTAAATCAGCACCCCGAGTCATATATACACTGGTTTAGATATTAGCGCCATTACCCCTGCACTCTTCTAGCTTAGAGCCATCGCAGACAACTACATTGTACAGGCATAGCGTGTTAGGCTCGATTGGGATAAAATCCCCAAAGTCATCCGTCACCTGCTTACCACCATTCTTATCGAAACATTTCGTGGGCTCCACTAGAACTTTCTCCTTTGAGAAGCCATACTTGTTGATGATTGTATCGGCGACGTCAGGCTGTGGGTCCATGTTGCCATCCCCGTCGACCTTGACCAGGACGTATCTGGTATAGACCCCGTTTTCGTCGTTCTGGCACAAGTTTGAAGCCCGCTCAGCGTCTTCGCAAGAATCTTTCTCTGGGTCAACACCGGAGAAACGCGCGATGAAGATCTTTTGGGCCTGGAGAGCCAAACCGATGGAGTAGGTCTTGAACGAGTCAATCATCTTGGCCTGGAGTTCGCTTTGAGTGAAGTTTTGAGCGCTGCCAAGGAACCTGCCACCCTCGAGCTGCTCGTAGATGCCACCAGGGTCAGCAACAGGAGTGTCCAAGACCTTCTTGAGTCCATCAGATACAGCTGCTTGGTAAGCCTGGATGATATCGGCCAGGGATGCAGCCACGTTGCTCCATTGCAGGAATGCATCGGTTGTGGGTGCCTTCACAAGTGAGAGCGTGTAACCGACGTAGCCGGTGAATGAGGCCTGCACTACTCCTGCAATCTTGTCTGCAAATGGAACCACGCCAACTGTGGTGGTGATGGCTCGGACGACATTTTGAAGGGGGGTAACGTTGTCGTCGGGAGTTGGGTAGAGATCAGACACAATTCCTGGCAGGGTTTGACCGATGATGCTGGAAGCGAATTGGATGGCCGTATTGATATTGTTCATATAGTTGTTCCAGTTCTGAACTCCCATCAGTGCATACCTGTGGAAGGATTAGGAACAGATTTCTGCTGAAGGATTGCAGGCGTTACTAACCAGGCAGGCAGCTTGACCGGAACACATGGCTGACCAGCATTGCAAAATTGATCGATACCGCTATTAAGTGTTAGCTTGTAGGAAACTATATTCTACCACACGATCTTACCAGAAAAAGTTGGGTGAGCCAAAGGAATCTGCAAGAGCCTGCACGTTGTTGGTCTCAGCCTGAGTGACATTGGAAGTCCAGTCTGTGAGGAACTGATCGATGTTGAGGGACGTCCAGGTTTCCTGAGTCAAAGGATCAGTGTCGCACGAGTCTGCTCCGGTTCCCGATTGGGGCAGAGGGCTCGCAGAAATATGACAAGCCCAAAGGGCCGTCGAGTAGAGAATAGAGAGAGTCAACTGCATTTTCAAAACACAGGTAAAGAAGCGAATGGATAAAAAGCACGATAGTAATGAATGAAAGTATGAAAAGATTGTTGGTTACTAAAAAAGAGAACGAGGCTGTTGGGTGTCAACTCTTCTAGTCGATCTATATTCTTTAAATGTTTTTATAGCCTTAATTCTTCAAAAAGCATAACGAAATCCAGTAGTGTTACTTTGAATAATCCGGTGGGGTCGTATTGTCTCAGACTGATAGGCGGTTGCAGGGTTGACTTTATTGAGACTTGTGAGACAGACCCTTGATTAAAGTTTACCTAGTTATAGGTGCATTTTATAAATAGGAGAATGCTTAAAAGAGTAGCCAAGAAAGGTTATTCGTGATGGATATTATGATGGACGAATTATAATGCTTTCTCATGTGGGGTTTACTGTATCAGATTATCCCACATTCGGGGTCGCCGGAACTCTATCAATCCCACTTGCCCTATTCATGACCGATTCGTGCCTTGTAAGGTCCTAGCTGTATTATATAAGCGGTAGCCGGGAGTATGAGAATGAGGAACACATGTGGATTCTAGAATGCCGGTAGTAAGACCTGCCAACTTTCAAGTGGAATATAAAAAAATTAAAGTTCTAGTTTCCACGCAACATATGTCTGAACTTTTGGTAATCCTTGTAGCAACAACCTGTTTTCACCCCGCCATAACGGTTATAGCGACATCCAACAAAGCTGATAATTCAGGAAAAGATGTTAAAGGCACATAGCTTTAAGGAGACTGGTGTTAAATCTTTTTGGCTAACCTTTGAAACAATGCCCATGCCCCTGTTGGCTGGATCGTATTCTACTGCATTACGGAAGCGTTAGAACAAGGCTCACTTGCTTTAACCACGTTCATAATCGAGAGTAGAAGCATCGGCCTCTTTGGTGCCTTTGTAGAGGAGAGCTTCGATGATGAGGTCGAGTCTTCTTCTCCTCTTATTGACAAGTTCTAGTGGGGAAACAAATCAATGCCTCCATAGGGATGAAGCGAAGGTTGTTTGATAAGGAGTGGGACGATCCATACCCAGAAGTGCACCTGTCATGCACTTTAACCCTTCTGCGCTCGGCCAATCCGCTTTTTGCAGATCTCTAGTATCACAATTTAAAAGAACAGCAAGACTGATGTTGCAAATGGTTGTTGGTCATTGGCGCCGTTGATCTTGGCGCTTCCGGATCGGTCGATTCGTAACGCTGACGACGACTTCATGCAAGGACAGGCGTACAAGCTGACCAACAATAGTCCTCATGGTCTTTGAATGCATCTTTATCAGACTATCCTGGAAGATGGGACAGCATACATTGCCCGAAAGATTTTAGAGTTACTGCTTGCTTGAGATCAGGGTTGCAATCCACTCCACTGGATCCACAATCCATTCCACGAGACTGGTCGGCTGGTGGATTATGTAATCCATCCATTCCACTCGAAGCGCTCGTGGAGTGGATGGAGTGGATTTGAAGTGGAGTGAGTTAGGGGCTCCCTGCAAAGTTAGGTGTGAGAGCTTAGCTTAGCTCTGGCTGATAGCTACCCTAGAACAAAAAAAACAATGAACTCTCTTGACATCGCAGCACCTTCCTTTGTCATCACACTTTCTTGGCATACAAGTGTTAAGAAAGTGGCCCTGTCTACACCTAAATCCTTAACAAGTGCACAACAAACATTCCAATCTGCGCTTTGCGCAGTCGCAAACCGCGGCGATGGCCTCGTCTACGACGATCCCGCCCGCTGCCTTGGATCCCTTCGATCTGGGGATCCACACTCCCGTCAACCTGAACCGGGGAGCCCGTGCAGCCCTCTTGCAGAACAGTCCGGCAGCCGTCAACGGCACCATTGGTGTTTCACCCGGTCCCAGGCGGATGGCTCAGACACCATCCTCACCACTCAACCCCGCCACCATCGCCGCAGTTACGGAAGGAGCTGAGCGTGCCAGTCCCGCATCCATTTTTGAACAACGACCGATCTCTATCGTTGAATCAGCCAACGATCTCGCGCGAGAATACGTGGAAGAGTACAACATCAAGCTGGGGGTTTTCCAGGCCTTTTGTGCCAAATTTGAAGAAGCGGCCCAGCAATTCGTCACCGGACCGCAACGACGTTTCGCTCAGCAATTTGCCGATGATTTCCTCGGCTTTTGGAAACGAGAGCTCTCCTGCTCCGGACCTGCGACCCCAAAGCCTACATACAGCAGCGTCGCTGCTGCCGCGCCTCCCACTGACCATGACCGTCTGACCCACAGACAACAACAACAACATGGACGCCGACAAACAGATCCACCTCATCGCCAAGGGCAACAGACGACTATCGCCCCACCCCGACAAGACCTCCGTGTCTTCATCCGTCTAGAAGCCGGAGCTCCGGCCAGGGCCCACAGTAGCTATGCCATCCGGACTCTGATCCGGGAAAAACTCGGCGCCGTCTCGGACAAAATTCGACAGGTGTTCCCGGTCAGATCGGGATGGGCCGTCCTGGCCGCCGACTCTGTCACACGCGACTTTCTGGTAGATAAACAAGCTGAGTGGGCCGCTGAACTGGGAGCTACAGCAGTAGAAACGAACAAGGAATGGTTCACCTATGTGGTCTCAGACGTTCCCGCAAGGCTGACTGACTTTTACGGTAATGAGGTGGATAGTGACAGCGTCGTTAGCGACGAGATAGAAGTCCAGACTGGGATCAAGCCCATTGATGTACGTACCGGAAGACAATTCTCGGATAACCCCTTGACCAAGGCCCTGCTCGTGTCCTTTCTGAAGCCCACAAAGAGATTCTGGTCTCTTTTCGGCAGCAGCGCAGCCAGGCTTGTTGACAAAACCGACCGACCCAGACAGTGTGAGACGTGCTGGGGCTACCACTTTGCCCGCAACTGTCACAGACAGCCAGTTTGCCGACGCTGTGGTGAGACTGGCCATCTTGTAGACGATTGCATCGCACGAGAACAGTGCATCAACTGCTTAGGCCCCCACCAGGCCAACTTCCGTAGGTGCCCAGCTCGGCCAAAGACAGTGCACGGCGTGCTCCGCCGACTCACTAAAGAGCAACGAAAGCATGTCCGGACCGTAGGTGCGGAGACATACCGACAACGACATCGAGAACGGCATCTGGAATCGCATCAGGAAACGCAGCAGGGCATGGCTGAGCGACGAAGCGTGGATGTCACATCACAAGAACAGCCTAACCATCGTGCTCCCAGCCCAGCTGTATCAGGAGCACCCTCGTGCATCATGGTGGCCACGACCCCTCATGCTGGCTATGAAGCAGAGGAAGAACCCGAACAGCCCAGACCAGGCTCACCGCGAAAGCGCCGAATCGTACTCATCACTCGTCCTCATGACCGGGAATAGATATTCTCAAACACGAAAGAACGACAGGAAGCCGCTCAAGATCTTCCAGGCCAACGTCGGCAAGATCCCTCCGGCCCACGACTGCGCCCTGGCGCTGGCCGACTCGGAACGATATGACATTGTGCTCTTGCAAGAGCCGTGGACGGCTCACACAGAGACCCGCTGTCTAACCAAGACTCACCCTGCATACGACACATTCACGCCGGTCGACATGTGGAATAGCAACGATACTCGGCCTAGAGTGATGACATATGTCCGGCGAGACCCCAGACTCCTTGCCGACCAAATTCGGCCCTTCCAGACCCGAGACATTCTCTGGCTCGCGATCAACGGCATGACCATAGTCAACTTCTATCGTCAGAACGACGAGAGGGACGCCCTAGACACGCTATTTCAATGGTCTGTCCCGGAACGTTGCCTCGTAGCTGGCGATTTCAATGCCAGACATCGTAGCTGGCAAACAGGCCAAACTACGAACCGGGGGCAAGAGATAGCAGGATGGGTGTCTGAGAATGACCTCAGCCTTCTCAACACTTTAGATATCCCAACAAACCCGTACGGCAACACAATCGATCTTGCCTTTACTAACCTACCACTTGCTGAAGCTATCGTCGAGGACCATCTCGCCACCAGCTCTGACCACTTCACGCTCAGCCTGACCTTCCCAGACGTCAGATCGACTCCGGTGCAGCCAGGCAAGATTCGAGTGACGACGGAAGACGAGCTTAAACGATTCGTCGAGATCGTAGAGCTTGGCGCTACAGGAATCCCCCTCACAGATTCGACCCCCGAGGAGCTGGACGAGCTTGCGTCTTCACTCGTGAGTCTACTAACATCAGCAGCAAAAGCGTCTGGGAGGCCCGCGCGGAAAGGCGGACGCCCGGCTCCCTGGTGGACGGAGGAGTGCGCCGACGCCGCGGCTGCTTTTCGAGCCATCAGAAGAAGCTACCCACTCGGCTTCAACCAGGACGTTCAGATCGCCAAAAGAGGCTTTCATCGTGTGGTCCGTCGGGCCAAGAGGCGCTATTGGCGTAACCTCATCGATGGCTTCTCCAGCAGTAGCGACGTTTTCAAAGCTGTCCGGTGGCTAAAGTCCCCAGGAGCCTTCCAGCCGCCACCTCTACAGGTCGATAACGTCGTGTACGAAAGCCAGATGGATAAAGCCAACGCACTCCGACAGGCCACGCTTGAACGAAGAACTGCGGAGGACGACATCGCAAACGCATGGACGCCAGTATTCCCACCTAGATCGATCCCATTCTCTCCCGAAATCTCTCTGGAGGAGGCGCAATATGCGACTTGTCACACAGGCAATACATCCCCAGGGTCAGACAACATCACAGTCAAACTTCTTGAAGCAGTATGGCATACCATCGGTACACACGTCCGGCGTCTCTTCGAAAGATGCCTTACCATAGGCCATCATCCAAAACCATTCAAGGAGGCGGAGGTGGTCATGATCGCGAAACCGGGACGGAGAGACCTTACCGAACCACGAGCATGGCGACCCATCTCACTGCTCTCCTGTCTTGGTAAGGGACTAGAACGACTGATCGCGCGCCGCCTAGCCTGGGCAGCCGTTCACTACAGCGTCCTTCATCCGCAGCAAGCTGGGGCGCTCCCCAAGAGGTCGGCAACAGACTTGGTAACTGCTCTGGTCCATGATATTGAAGAAGCGTTTGCACGCAAGAAGGTGGCGACTCTAGTCACAATGGACGTCCAAGGTGCTTTCGACACCGTCATGCGCAACAGGCTCGTCCTGCGTCTTCGTGAGCAAGGCTGGCCTAATCATCTGGCTCGCTGGGCCGGCTCCTTCATGGGCGGCCGGTCGGCGCGTGTCAGGTACCAAGACACAGTCACGCCCTCTTCTCCCCTTCAGTGCGGCCTCCCTCAGGGGTCGCCGGTATCGCCAATCCTCTTTCTGCTCTACACTGAGCCAATCTATCGATTAGGGAACCCTCAGGGTCGCTTCGGCTATGCAGACGACACGGCCATCCTGTCCATAGGCGACACAGTAGACGAGACTTCTGCCATGGCATCTAGTTCCATCGCCGAGATGGTGCGATGGGGCGCGGAGAATGGCGTGTCCTTCGACACGAAGAAGACCGAAGTCATGCATTTCTCCCGCAGCAAACTCAGGACTGCGCCGGCAGTGCGCCACGGCGATGTCGAGAAATACCCTGAACCAGCTCTACGCTGGCTTGGTATCTGGTTGGATAGCAGACTATCTTTTCGACTTCATGTCGAAAAGTGGGCGGCCAAAGCAAAGGCAGTGGCTTATCATTTGCGGGGGCTCACCAACACGGTACACGGCCCTCTACCGAGCGCCGTGCGAGGCGCCGTCAGAGCATGTGTCGAGCCAGTGCTGCTCCACGGCTCAGAGGCGTGGTACCCGGGCAAGACCAGGCCGCGGTGGACCCATCCTACGAAAGATCTACCATCGAGTAACCAGCATCTCGTGCAAATAATGACAAAAGCCATGAAACAGGCTATGAAGGCCATTCTTCCCGTCTGGAAGACGACACCCATCACCGTCCTCCACAGAGAAAGCGGGATACCACCAGTCGATCAATTGCTTGACGCGAGGCGACTTAGGTTCTCCGCACGACTCAAATCGCTGGATGAGGCTCATCCTCTGGCGATCCGAACGCGCCCGCCCCGACAGCCTACTTACCACGACCTCATCAAACGAAGATATCAAATACAGGCAGAGAGCAGCTTCAGGACGCGCCTTCGACGTGCAAACGAACTCTTTGCACCCTGCACGCGGCCGAAACTCGTCTATCGATGCTTCCATCAAGAACAGTTGCCCCCACTGCAGACAGCGTCTAAAGAGAAATCGGCTGACGCCTTTTCCCGCTGGGTCGAGTCTCTCGACCCGCTCACCTTGGTCGTATACTCGGATGGCTCTCTTTCCTCAGAAGGGGCTGCCAGCTATGGCTTCACCATCCATCAGAACAATATCCCCATCTTTGACGGATCAGGTCGCCTCGGACCTGCTGAGGTTTTCGATGCTGAAGCTACCGGGGCTTTAGAGGGCCTGAAGGCTGCTCTAAACCTGCGAGAATTAGCAACACAGAATATATTCATCTGCCTAGATAACCTGGCAGCCGCCACGTGTCTACGAGGCACTCCTTCTGAATCCTCTCAAAACGTCTTTCTCGAGTTCCAAGCTCTGACGACATCGCATGGAGCCATCCAAGTTCGCTGGGTGCCAGGGCACTCCAACATCCCTGGCAACGAACAGGCCGACAAGCTGGCAAAGGCAGCGTCATCGCTCCCCGAGCCCGAAGGCGCTCAACCGACGCTGGCTTACCTACGAAGAATCGCAAGACAGAAGCCGAAAGAAGCGTTCCAGGCGTGGTGGTCCACCTCCGCTCCTGAGCAGTACAAAAGACTCAATCTCAAGGCGACTACAGGCTGTCCGCCGGAGCTGTCGCTCCCGCGTGCAGCCTTGCACCATCTGCTGGCAGCAAGGTCGCTTCATGGGGACTTCGCCGCATATCACGAGAGATTCGACCATAGTGATGCACGCCTGGTCTGCTCATGCAACCGACGCAAAGCACCGGACCACATCTTCTACTGCAGAAAGGTACCGCCGCGTCATCGGATGAGGTTGGCACCCTCACCGAATGCAGCAGTCAACCTGGCAACAGGAAGAGACTTCACCAAGTTCACCGAACTGTCTAAAGCCAGCGTTTTCTTTGGAAAGATCTGTCCTCGTTATTAGACGAGCACGACCCGGGACGCACTCGCATCCTTCCTCCCCTCTTTTACCCTTATACATTTCCTTTTTCTTACCTTTCTCTCTTACCTGTTCTCGGCCAGATGAAGGGCGCTAGCACGCCCTCTATCTGATCGTGACCACTTGAAGGCAGCCCTGAGGCTACCGCGCCCAGAGGCTCACGATCGCCTAACAACGGGCTTACCTTGCGGCTGTCGTTCATCAGCCGCGCCTGATCATCCCGCTGACGGGTAACAGGCTAGATAAGATGCGCCATTTGTGCCGTTGATATGCTGGATAGTGTGAGGTCTATCGACGCGTCTGCAGAATTGGAATTCGAGAGGAAGTCATAGTATTCTGTAATTAGTGTGTAGATAGGTCCCAATTTCTCTAGCTCAGCACGTCCTGTGCTCCATTAGGAGACTTTCGGGGCCTACGGCCCCCCGGACGAAAAATATACATAACATACATAACATACATAACATATTACATAACTAGACTAATAGCTTCATTGGAGCCCCAGGTCAGCACTTTCATTTCAAGTATATTAATTCAATTCAAGTTAAGTAAGTCCACGGACAATTTTATTTCAAGTAGTCAAGTTGGGCCCCCAAACTTGACTTACTTGAATTGAAGTCAGCGCTGACCGTACATGCTTCACGACGACCGCAACGGCCTTTTCTCTTCCCGATGCCCATGTTCCGGTGCACTCCAAGAAATCATACAATCTTATTCATTCAGTTACGCCGACTAGCTCGGGCTTGTTAAAAACAATCATTGTCGGTGGAGTTGTTTGCTGGTGAGGTGAACGGTGACGGATGTCATAACACCCTCATCCGGCGTGGAAGAGCTCCACGGACGTGCTTGAGACTGTATGGTAGACACATTTAAGCGCCCTCGTCGTCGTCGCCGACACGGATGGTTCCCTCGGCACCGGCGCCGTTGGCCCAGTAGCCGCCGACCTCGGGAGTAGTTTCGCGGTTCTTGCGGGTAGCAGTGATCAACCAGAAACCAAGAACAGCCTTGGTAAGGACATCAAGGACGGCGTAGATGATGACCTCAGTGCCGACCTTAACCTTCCAGGCACCACCGGCAGCACCCCAGACGCTGTTGCCATTATTAGCAGGTTGCCAATTGAAGGTGACGAGAGAAAACTTGCGCAATGTAGACGATCCACAGGATGAGAGCAGCCACGGACAGGGAGCCAAAGAGGCGGGCAACCTTTGTGCCGCGAGCTCGAGAGGTTCGGGAGCCGGGAACAGCGACGTGCCAGATGGTGAAGATGTAGGCGATGATGCTGATGGCGTACCAACCCCACTTCTGAGCCGTGTTGGCATGGCCTATGGCGGAGAAGAGACCAGCAAGGACGAAAATGACGTTGGCGACAATGCCAAAGATGGTGTGAGCACCGTCAATGCCAGCCAGCAAGCTGAGCTCGAGAACCAGGATAGGTGTGGTGATGGCCCAGTCGACGTAGCGAGCCCAGAAAACTTGACGGCAGACGTCGTGGTGGGTGTCGGGGACGTGCTTGTGGTGGTCTCGGACGCTGACACAGTTGTAGGTAGATGCCTGGCCGGATGCCATGGCAAAGTAGGCGAGGGCCGAGATGATGGTGGTCAGAGTCGTGAGAAAGTAGAAGATGCGACGCTGGACGGCGACGTTCCACGACAGAATGGCGAAGATGGCCGATACGATGGTCATGGCGACGAAGAGAACCCATAGAGCGCGGACGCCATTGTGGCCGATGATCAGGTAGTGAGTCGGCTCAGCTGAGGATGGTATATTAGTACGGAATTGTGGCTCCTGACAATGCATTCATCGGGGATCAACATACGAACGACAGTAGGGATGGGCCCGTTGCCAAGAGTCTTGTACGTCTCAATCACGTTCTGCATTGTACCGATCGTGTGCGTATAACTAAAAAGTCAAGTGAAGCTATTCGAAAAGTTCAAGACTCGGTAAAACAATTCTATGTCTTCAGACGATGATGGATGCCAGAGAGATCAAAGCTTGGAGCAATAAGTTAAAGAAGACTTGAGGCGGGAGCTTTCTGCCTGCGCCGCATTAAGCCTGACTGAGGCGTCACAGGCGGGTAAGCAAAGGCAAATAAGAAAACAACGTCATCTATGACATGTCAGAAAAGCAGGTATTGATGCGGGGGAGGCACCAGAGACGCGACATGTCTGGAACGACATCGTGTGTGTGCGGCGTCAACATCACGTAATCTGTGTAGGACGAGACCAAGAACCAGCCCGATGCGATGCGATGCTTTGCGATGGAGCTTGGAGCTTGGAGACCTGATGCGCGTGCCGAATCAGCTGACGCGAATAGAAGCTTTGGAATGGAATTCTCCGCATGACGAAGTTATGATGTACTAAAACCAGTTTCTACATAAAAGCTGACTCCATACTTCATGGGAGCTTCAGATAGGAGAGACATGGCTATTAGAGAGCTTGAGGTGTTTGAACTCCAGTCATGTTTTGGTAGCACGGATGTCATGGGGTCTGAAGGTGCATGAGACCGCAAACACGAACACGAAAGTAAACATTTGATAAAACAGTGTTGTTGTTAGTTCTAAGTTACATGTATCCGAGACGAGCACAGCTCCTTACATAGTACCTACATCCCAGCCACCATCAGATCGGACCACCTTAGTCACACGGTCTCAACACTCCCACTCGAGCTGCTGTTGGACTTGATGTGCACGCCTGTCGAGCCTCGTTAAAACCCCAAAAACAACATCGTGGGTGGAAACCGCAGGGAAAGAGCTGTCTCGACCTAGGCACTTGGAAATTCTTAACAGTCTCATGCAATCTTGGGGCAGCAGGTGTTCTTCTGTCCGCAGAAGATCCCCTGTCTCTACAGTTGCGTGCAAAAGTTCCGACAATTGTGGGGTCAACACCAATCACCTTGATCGTATGCTATTACTTTGTGAGGCAATTGAGATGCCAATTTACATCCAATTGAGATGTATTATATATTTTATTGAAGCCCCGGATCAGAGGACTTTAGTGATATAGCTCATTTCTTGGTGTAATAGCCTTTTGCCTGATGAAGTGCAGCGAGGCGTTTCGGCATCGAATTTATCAGGTTTTCAAGCACTTCAGGTTCAAGGTCATTCCAAACCTCTTGTGCGGCTTTAATCAAGGCCGCGATAGCTTCATCCGTAACGGGCATTGACGCAAGCTCAGGATATCGTTTGCAAATACGCTCTTTTAACAGCTTCCAGAGATTTTCAATAGGGTTTAAATCAGGACTATATGCCGGCCAGTCCACCATGAAGATGCCCTCTAAACGACAGTAGATTCTGAGCCAGTTCTGGACAATTCTAGCTCGATAAGTTGGTCCGTTATCATGCTGTAGCGTCATTCCCTCCTCCAAAACCGCTGGAAGCTGTTGTCGAAGACAGGCCAAGATAATGCGGCCTGTGACGCCTCCACGCTTTGCCAATGGATCGCCGTCAAGGGGGACTAATTCTGATAGTCTGTCTATAGAGAAACCACCATAAAACATCTTGGAATGTCGTAGGGGAGTCCTGCGAGGTGGAATATTATCCCTGTGAAGTCTTTCGCCCTGTATTGCAGTTAGAAACTTCGTCCAAAGAAGCAGCGATAAAACTGACTGCCCGGTGAAAACACCACTTGGTTATATCGCCGTCTGTACGGTCAATTGAGACCTCATCAGAGAAAAACCAAGAATACCAGTAGCTAGCCGGTTCATGACGATATTTCTCAGCGAAATCTCGGCGTTGTTGGACAGCTGTTGGACCAAGAAACGGGCGTCGAAGTGCGTGGTGGTGCTGTATACCTTGTTTTTTAAGCCATCTTGTTATAGTCGATCTATGACAACTAATTCCAGTTCGTTCTTTGATTTCTTGGACTGTGATAAAAGGGAATTGATCAAAAATACGTTCAATATGCCTTTTATCGCGATCAGTTAATATAGTCGGGCGCCCAGAGCGCGGTTTATCTTTAGCTGAAATCTGGCTTCGGTAGCGTCGTACAATCCCAAAGATCGCGTGTTTTGTAACGCCCTCTTTCGCCACGATTTCGTCCAGTGGGACACCCAAATCTTTCATCATTACAATCCTTGTTCTTTTATGAGGGGAATGATGTGTTTTTTGGCGTATGCACGGCATTCTTTACTATAGATAGAACGTGTTAAAGTTATTGAAGGAATTTGGTGGTGTTGACGGATGAGGGGCTGGGGCGGGAAATTGTCGGAACTTTTGCGCACCCACTGTACCCATCTCTGCAGGTCTTGCAATCTTTCTTAGAACCGCAGGTCTCCTGTCCATGGTAGTTCTCCCACTTCAGTCCATCTTTGCACATTGCTCACGCTCAGCACAATCTCGAGATCGTGAGTTTTCTGCTATTTGCATAGAAGATCTCCCACTCTAACTCATCTTTGCGCCTTCCTCACGTTTCGGTCCAATCTTGGATCCGTGGGTCTCCTGTCTGTCCATGGCAGGTCTCCTGCTTTTGGCTCATCTCTGGACCTTCTCACGGTCGTCGTTCTTTGGGATCCAGTGCGTCTCTAAACAGGAGGAAACGATCCTTTGATAAGGCCTTCGTCAGGCCGTCGGCCACTTGTTTGCCTGTTGAAATGTACTGGAACTCAACAGTTCCATCATTGACCTTCTCTCTGCAGTAATGGTGCTGAATATCAATGTGCTTGGTTCTTGTATGGAACTGTGGATTCTTCGACATTGCGATCGCTCCTTGGTTGTCCCCGAAAATTACAGTTGTCTTTAGTTCTGGAACCTCCCTGTATTCTTTCAACAGTTCTTGGAGCAGACCTCGCAGCCAGACTGCTTCCTTTGCGGGTGCGGTTTGCCCCATGTATTCTGCTTCACATGAGGATAAGGCAACAGTTCTTTGTCTCTTCGAACTCCAGCTGATAGCGCCCGTACCAAGGTTGGACACATATCCAGACGTTGATCTTCGAGTCTCCAGGTCTCCCGCCCAATCCGAGTCGGTGTAGCCGAGGAGAGGTTGCAGTCCTCCTTGGTACACCAGTTCCAGATTTTGTGATCCCTTGAGGTATCGAAAGATACGCTTGACAGCTGTCTGATGCTCGTTGGTTGGGTTCGCTAGGTGTCGACTGCATAAGGAGACGGCAAAAGCGATGTCGGGTCTCGTCCCCAGCATGAGATACATCAGGGATCCGATCGCCTTGGCATACCACTCTTTGAGTTCGTCCGCTGCCTTGTAGCCCGAGTCTGGTTCTCCGAACTTGCTTGTCGAAACTGGTGTGGCATTGGGAGCGCACTGGTCCATTCCAAAGTCTCTAAGTACTTTCTCAAGGTAGGTCGTCTGTGACAAGAAGAGCGATCGGGTGGCTCTGTCTCTTCTTACGGACATGCCCAGGTAGTATTTGCATGGGCCCAGGTCCGTCATCTTGAACTTGTTGCACAGAGCTTGCTTGACCGCCACGATCTCGTCCTTGGAGGGCCCGGCAATAAGCAGATCGTCCACATATACCGCAATGAACATGTAGCCTTTCACAAAGACTCCCATATCTGAAAGTAAAGGCTTGAACCCGAGCGTCTCAAGGAAGGCTGACAGAGTCTCGTACCACACTCTTGGTGCTTGCTTCAGTCCATACAAGGCTCTCAAGAGTTTGCAGACTCTCCCACTTCCATCGTCGAATCCTTCGGGTTGCTGGACGTATATCTCCTCATTTACGAGGCCATAGAGGAATGCTGTCTTGACGTCCATTTGTTCCAGTTCCAAATCGAGTGCTGCCGCGATGGCAAATATCATCTTGTAGCTCATCGGCTTGACAACAGAGGCGAAGGTTTCGTTGAAGTCAATTCCTTCCCTTTGCTCGAATCCTCTCACGACAAATCGCGCTTTGTACCGTAGAACTTGCCCATTTTCTCCTCTTTTGAGCTTGAACACCCATTTGCCTCGAAGGGCCTTTCGTCCTGGGGGAAGCGTGACTAAGGTCCAGACACCGTTTTCAACCAGAGATCCGTGTTCATCCTTCAGTCCTCCCCACCAGAGTTTTCCATATACACCCTGCGTGGCTTCCCTGAAGGTTCTTGGTTCGGACTGATCGATGTCGCGAGCGACTAGATACAGTTGTTCTGCAACTGTTGCTAGGAAGGCGAAGTTTGTGCTGGCCAGTATGTATCTCGATGGCAGCTGTCCCCTGGTCGATCTTTCCGGCAGCCGAGACTCTGCATGCCCCTCTGTTTCTTCCGATGACACTTCTCGCTCGTCTGTGGCAACGTGAATACTCGATCTGGTTGACTCTTGGTCTGGATCCCATCCTGTATCTCCCACCAGGGGCTCATCCGGCGTCGTCTCTCCACGGCCCGTTTCTTCGCTTCTGTTCGCCTCTCTCGACGCGATCGGAAGGGGCGACGGCTCTAGAACGATGGCATTTTCCACATCGCTATCCTCTTCTCCGACTACTCGTCGCCGTTGCGATGGTCTCTGGTCACCCATCTGATGCGTGAGATTGTCGAGTGTTGGTTCGACATTTTTGATGTTTTCAGAGAAGACAACATTGTTAGACACAAGGACTCGTCCCCTTTCGTCAAGGAGTATATAGTTTGTACTGCCCTGATAGCCAAGAAGCTGACAGGGAATGCTCTTCGACTGCATCTTCTTTCGTTTAGAGGATAGAAGCAGAGCCCATCCTCGTGAGCCAAGAACTCGCAGATGACTGAGGTCGGGAACATCTCCATACCAGGCTTGGTATGGAGTAGTAGAAATGCTCGCCGTAGGACAGAGATTTCGGATGCGGTTCACTGCCTTGAGGAAGTACGGCCACCACTTCAAAGCGAGTCCGGATTTGAGCAGTGTCGGTGTAAGTTTTTCCAGGATGATTCGATTGAGAACTTCAGCCAATCCATTTTGTTCGTGTTGCTCAGTTCCTGTGTAAGAGAGTTTGATTCCTCTGTCCCGGCATAGTCGAGTCAAGCTGTGGCTTCGATTCTCTCCCCCTCGGTCGAGGTGCAGGAAGTGACATCGTCTTTCCGGTCTCTCGAACTGTTGCAACAGATGATGGAAACACTCTTCAAACTCTGACCGTTCTTTGACTGGGTACACCCAGGACATTTGAGTAAAGTCATCAATAAAGCAAACCCAGTACCGGCTGCCGTCTACTCCCACTTCTGGGAATGGTCCGGCAATATCTGCATGAATACACTCCAGAGGGTAAGTGCCTTTCTTGATCGGTCGGACATGGGGACATTCCCTGAGTTTGCCCTGTACGCAGGCTCCACATGGGTTTGATGTAGAATCATCCGGTCGAATTCCAGTAGACATATTCATCAGTCTCTTGATATTCCTCTCTCCCAAATGTGCGAGTCGCTCGTGCCAAAGGTGCAGTCGAGGATCTCCCACCGAAAAAGATGCCAAAGCGGTTTGAAAAGGACGGTCCTCAACTTCATCGACCACATATACGCCTGATATTCTTGTCGCAGTGAGGACGACTTTTCCCTTGTTTGTAACCACTGCCTTCCCATTCCGAAAGACAACTTCTGCTCCCTTCTTCTCTAGTGCTGGCACAGACAAGAGGTTCGAATGTCCTTCTGGAACATAAAGAGCGTTATCGAGAGTAACATTCTGTGATCCCTTAGGCCCTTGAACGCGGAGGCAGTACGTTCCGCACCCTCCTGGCATGACCTTTACGTCCGCAATACCATTGATGGGGAGACCGTGGTACCTGTGAAGTGATGTAAAGTTCTCATGTCGACAAAAGATATGCGAGGAGGCGCCACTATCCAAGACGTGGATACGTTCGAGGGCCCGAGTTTGAAGAGATGCTTGAAGACCGGAAGGTCCGAGTGATGAGCCAATCAATCCAAGGTGGCTTTGGAAGTCATTTTGCCAGAGTGCCAGTCGAGCTTGGTCAGGTTGGAGGTGTGCAGGAGTTGTATACGTGGCAGATTCCAGTTCATCATTCGTCTTCTCCCTTTCCTTCTCCCGAACCTGCATTTTACGTTGTCGTCTCTCGTAACCAGCTTTGATACGATCTCTTCTAAGTTCTGGGTGGAGCCTCCAACAAGTGGACCTGTCATGCCCTTTTCTTCCACAGTATCCACAACATGATGTATCCTGGGCCATCATGGCTCTATGTGCCATCTTGGCCGTGGCGCTTCTTTGTCTGTCCTCCTCCTGAGATGCGGCAAAGATGGCCGTTTCGAACGTAACGGCCTCTTTGAGAATAATGTTACGATTGCTCGGATCTCGGATAGGAAGGATGTTGTGATTCTGATTGAAGGCAGTGAGAAACACTTCATAGTCCGGACCAAGTCCACAAAGGAACTTATTGACAAAATGCGGTTCCCCGATCTGGCAGGTGTCATCCATCTCCAAGAGTTCAGCCCTGACTTGACGTAGCTTATTTGCGTATTCCATGACCGAATCGCAAGATTCAAGCGTGAGTTCTTGATATCTGCGGTCGAGCTCTTGGAAGATGGCGCTTCCGACGGGCCGATATCGGGTCTCAAGGTGGTTGATCATGCCCTGAGCCGTCGAGATCCCCGTGGTAAACACTCGGGCGTTATAACCGAGACGACTTCGAATGGCACCGCATGCTCGATCTTGGCGGCTCCTCCAGGCCTCAATCTGGGTTGCAAGGTCGTTACCTTCTGTTGGTGGTTGAGCATTCCTGGTCAGAAGGTCTCCATATCCACACATGTCCAGAAGGTCGAGCATTTCTCTCTTCCAGGTCAGCCACTGGCTGGTTTCCTCCAGCTTTGGAATGGTGCCGGAACTGCCTATGAGATTGAGCGATTCTTTGGAAAGGGACATGATAGATTCTCGTAGAAGCTAATGATTAAGAGACATGAGGGCGAACGGCAATCGACCAGTCTTGGATCGAGTCTTGGGAATGAATCTTGGCTGCGTTCGGCAACATGATAATGCCGTGCAAATAGGGGTTATCGGAGTCGGGTAGAGATTGTCCGAAGGGTGAAACGCCTAGCGGTCTCAGATATCCATATCATTCCCTCCGTCTGGAGGAAGGGCAATGATCTGATGTCGATCATGTTGCAAACCACGTTTCAGGCATTCTTGGGCTATGTGGGCGTAGGTCGCCCGACCGGAGAACTTCAGCAATCTCAGACTGAAAGGCCGGTCTGGTCTGGCGAATCCGTCTACCAGATTGCAATCTGGGAAAATGTTGGTTATTCAAGATTCGACGATTTAAATTCGCTGCAATAAACGGAGGGTCAAAGGATCTTTCTGTAAACGTTTCTAGACATATCCTGTTAGCGGATCTGCAAGCTCTATCAGAGATCCAAGAGGGAAATAGCTCCAATTAAGCTGAATGCGTATGCGCAGTGGAAGGAAGCCTTTCGACTTCTTGTGTTATCTCGGAAAGTAGAAAGGAGACAGAAAACACTCAGCTTTTTGGTTGGAGAAAAGGTCGTGCCCTCCGGGCTCATAACCTGTTAAAGCAAAAACGGGTTGATTGTGTTGTTGTTAGTTCTAAGTTGCATGTGTCCGAGAGGAGCACAGCTCCTTACATAGTATCCACATCCCAGCCACCAGCAGATCGGACCACCTTAGCCACACTGTCTCAACAATACCGCAGTTAGCACGGGCTGTGCCTGTAGCCCCGTGGCCGTGCTGACGAAGGGAGAGAAAGAGGTCAGACGACGAGAAGAGGTTATCCATAAAGACGTGGTATACGGCCGGCGGCAGCATATTGATAAGGGAAATAACCACGCTCTGAGTCGAGTTCAGAGGGATGACCTTATCCCTATTAGTCATAACCTCTATCACCTCCTTAACCTCCTCAACCTCCCGCGGCCTCGCCGGCCTGCCTCTGCCTCCTCTGCCTCTGCCTCTTCCCACTCCAGTCCTCCTCTTCTTAGTAGGTTCAACACCTACAGGGCCGTATTTTAGACCGGGCTGGTGCCAAATCCACCGTAAAAAGAAGCCCTTTTGGGCTACAACCCAAACCTTGAACCCCGTGTTGATCGGCTTGTTCTGTACCGTGGTTTTCTGGTGAGATCTCCCCTCATATTGGATCATGCCCTCATCCACAGCGAGATGAGAGCCCGGCTCTAAGAGCTGCGTTGATACGTATTGTATAAGATCAGACCACGGTTGTGCGCATTGGAATACCTCAGGGAAGCGTTCATCAGGTACGAATTCGGTGTGGTCAAAGGGTCGGAGGTGGCGGTGAAGAAGCTGAAACTTATTGTAGGTCATAAACTTGATGATAGAGTAGGTAGGACGCTGGTCCCCAAGCAAAGAGGTTTTCCAATAGTCCTCGATCCTAGTTTCCTTGTGGAGACCAATATAAATCAGGATTCCAAGCCAGATGTATACATCGGAGACCTTGAGCCTCGTCCACTTTTGCAGCCTTGAGCCATCTTTCAGTTCGTGGTTTTGGCTGTCAATGACGCCGCTCTCATGCAAGCTGGCGACCCAGTTGTTGGTGTATTCAACCCAGCTTTCGACTAGGGAAACAGGCACAAAGAGCTGGAAGAGCTGTAGTGGCTCCTGGGGCAGTGGGTTGACCTTAAGGTCGCGAGGCGGCACGTTGAAAGGTTGAAAGTTGAAGCCGCGGTCTTCAGCTGGGGGAAACTCAGGCCGGCATGTACTATCAGCCGCTTGCTCGCGTCTGCTGTTTTCTTCTGTTATGAAACTATTATCATCATAGATATTGACTGCCGGTATCTTAGGAGGTATCTTTCGGGAGGGCATTACAATGAGCAAAATGAATTATGTGCGATTTTAGCTGTGAAGGGTCAGAGGGGTTTTTGGGTTCCCCACAGGTACCGTCACGATGACAGGGGTGATGTGGGGCGAGGTACGGAATGGAGGTTTATGACAGCCGATGGGATAAGGAACGTCCTTAAACCCTTTTAAGGTACCAAACTATTAAATACTATACCGCTTTCTGATATGATATATAAGGCTAATATAAATATTTAATTACTAACCGTAGGGTTTTCATTATGAAAATAGGCATATTGTATCTCGAATCCTGTAAAGTACTGCTGCTATTAGCAATAGCGCCTTATTGCTAATTCTTTTTCTCACACAAACATCACATATTAACCGACTCAAACTAGACATTCGATACTGTATAAGACTTACTAATACCCGAGAAATTTATAACATAAGAGATTGAGATTCACTGTATCTAATTGCTTATTACTTCTTCTTGCTTATTGTCTAGATATTCTTCATAGAAGAGGTTGACCTTGTCGTCGACCCCTAAGTATTACAGCCAATTAGAATCTAGTGGATACATGGGGCATCTATTCAGCCAATCACTGAATTTCGCGGGCAAAATCCGTCCATTTTTAGCTAGTGCAAAATTACCCCACCCTAGATCTTACGTAAGGCACATTACGACGCAGGGGCCCCATAGGGACACGCCTAGGCGCCCACCTATTAGTCGCTGTATGTTTTAAATAACTCTGCGTAATGGAATACCCCGCACAAGAACAATCAATCAACACATTTTGCTGCTGCTCATCACATTCACTTTAACCCTTTAAGCACGCTCAGTGCGATAGTATCCCTACTTGCATGTGACACCCCAGCACCTGACCAACAGCAATCGCGCGGCTGAATCTGATTCGATTGCAAGAGCTTGAACCATTCTTCAACGATTGTGTCTACGCATCGTATTCATTTCGCCAAGATTACAACGCGAAAGCGAAGGCAGAAGGTATAGCAGCTCCGGTGACGAGCAGAAGAAAAAAATCCAATAACAGCTCAAGCCCAAGCTCTGACGTACCATCACGAACCTCTTCACAACATGTCCGACTGCGCCGCAATCTCCGCCGCAACCTCCGCCGCCGTCGCCCTTTCGAGACCTCATCCCGCCCGAATCTCTTCGAACTGAAGACCGAAGCCTGCAAAGCCCAAACGACGGACCTTTGTTTCAACCCGCCCGCGACCAGCACGGGCCCTTTATTCCTCTACCGATCCTTCCTGTAACCTTGCGGCAGGCTTGCGGCAAGGCTGGGAACTCATGCGATGGACGCAGATAATAATGGCCCTTCAGGCGGCGCCAATCAGCGGCAACCCAGCGCTGAGCATAGGCCGCAAGGAGCTTCCGCGTCGCAAGCTGGAGGAGATTCGTCACAGGGCAATCTCAGCCCCACCTTGACCCAGTTCTCGAACATATCTTCAACCGCCTCAGTGACTGCACCTGACACCATCAGCCACTCGCAGAACTCGAAACGTCGTCGAGGCTTGGGTGTTGTGACGCCCAATGCCTGTAAAGAATGTCGCAAGAAGCGTGCAAAGGTATATAGCAGATCAACTCCGTCTACCATGCACTTAAAAGTCCTTGATTTAGGTGGATTACAGTCTTATCCATTACTTTGTACATACGCCCCATGGCTATTCTGTTACGAATCATGGCTTCTAGCTCGTGATGGATTTTCTCACGCTACTTCGTATTATATCATTGTGATATCGTTGTGCTTACAGTTGCAATATCGCCCCTTTACTGACAAACTACTGTATGATAGTGCGACGGCAAAAAACCATGCGGACGTTGTAAAGCACGAAAGGATGTTGAATGTGTTTATGAGATTCTCGTGCGCCGGTCAAAAGAGGATCTGCGGACCGAAATTGAGAGCCTCCGCCAAAAGCAACGCTCTGGCGACCAAGTCTTTGCAGCGCTCGTCCGACCAGAGTTATGGGAAGAAGTTTTAACACGCCTTCGGGGTGGTCAGCCTATCAAGAATATTTCAGAATGGCTCGGAAGTTTATCACGTTCAAGCGGAGGCGGGTTGTCTTCCTTCAGCAGCCGACCTGAAGCACCTACGATGGGACCTATCCCAGGTTTCCCAGGAAGTGGATTGGGTTCATTAGCGTCCATGAGTCTCGGTGTAAATCAGGTGCTACCGCAGCAGCCTTCCATGGGGCCCGAAATTGGCCAGCACAATCCCTGGCATCCCTCGTTCCATAGCCAGACTGGATCAACGAGAAGCAACTCACACCCAGATGTTATGGATTGGACGACAGATCTGCGAGGGCCGCCACGAAATCGAGTAGGATCTTGGGCGGAAGGGATGCACCCTGATCAAATGACCGATGGTATACGATACCGCGGTATCGAAGAAATTCTGTCAACCTCGAACGAACCAGAACTACGAACACCGACTTCAACATGGACTGCCATTACCAGTGATAGCACCCTTGTTCAACACCTCTTGGCATTGTATTTTTGTTGGGAGTATCCAACTTTTGCGTCCCTCAGCAAGGAACATTTCTTACAAGATTTTCAAGAAGGGCGGAATCGGTACTGTTCACCAATACTGGTGAATGCCCTCCTCGCATTGGGTTGTCGCTTCTCAACTCAACCTATGTCTCGTGCCAACCCCAGCGACCCGCATACGTCTGGCGACCACTTTTTCAAGGAGTCATTACGCCTGCTTTCTCAAGAAAGAGACCATCACACCCTTGCAACTATACAAGCGCTGGGAATAATGTCAATCCGGGAAGCTAGCCGTGGACGAGATTCAGAAAGTTGGTATTATGCTGGCCAGAGTATTCGGTTAGCCATCGAAGCGGGACTACACCGAATAATGGACGAAGGAGACGACGATGAACTAGTCGTGCAGTCGGCAACCTTCTGGGGAGCGTTTGCATTAGACCAGTATGTTACTTCGCATATTGCCAAAACGTGCTCCTCTGACTAATATCGACAGCGCATGGTCTCTCACTATAGGTTCATTACCACAATGTTCTAGTATCCCTCGTTTACCTCCAAAACCTGCGATAATAGGAGATATCGAGGCGTTTTTGTGGGTGCCCTACACTGATGACGGTGAGTTCTGAGCTGCTGCATCCTCTCTTAATTACCACTGACTATAAATCAGGGGCCCCATTACAGCGCTCGTACCAGCAGCCATCTAATGTGCGGTCGGTGTATAAGTGCTTTTGCGAACTGAGTGAGCTGGTCCACCAATCTCTGTATATTTTATATTCTCCTGGAAAACCTCTTACTGCAAGAGAACTCTTGAACATATATACACAGTACCTTAACTGGTATGAGCGTATACCCGAGGTGCTCCGGCTGGGGCACAATTTCACCCCAGCCGTGCTGTTTGCTCAGTAGGTCTTAAGCATGACGAAATTTCTATTTGAACAAAGATGCTGACCAAAAGTAGCATGTATTATCACTTCGCCATCTTACTCTTGTTCCGACCTCTAATTAAGCTACGGATTATCGGATCAAAAGTATTGCCACGCAATGTCTGCACACAAGCAGCTGATGCTATTCAAGGTCTTTTAAAGTCTTATTCGTCACTCTACACCTTACGAAGAACACCTTCATTCGTATGCTACTTTGTTCTAATGTCATCCATTATGCATCTGGCGATCGGTGTAACGACTATCCAGTCGGACCTCACTGAGGGGCTTAAGGGGACGGCGGCCAAGGTAGAACCTCATGTGGCTAAGGCTATAACTCAAGGCATTGCAGATCTTACAGATATGGCTCCCAGCCACCACTTTGCAAAGCAGGCCCTCAACATCCTACGTTATTTGGCCCAGAAATGGAACATCGAAGTCGACAAAAGCGCCGATAAACTGGCGGCGGAGGAGTATGATCGATTGATATTGCCGCATATGGGATGCCTCAACTTCTTTGCGCCCAACGTGCGTGAGGGAGACATGATGTGTCAGTGGGGCGAAGGTGAGCCCATGATTATACCCGAGGAGTCGTCAGCGGCCAAGAAGACGGGGAGCAGTATGGAAAATCCTCTCTTCTGGCCCTTCCCCATGCAAGGTCGACCTATTCTTCCAGATGGTGGCGAGTTGGAACATGCGGGCTTTTCGGTGCTCTGAGAAAGAATCTCGGAGTCGATAATGTTGAAATGAGCTATTGTGTTATATTTTAATTGAAAAGAAAACCTAGCGCTAACTAGCGGAAGCTATTGACAAGACATCTTCATCCCAGCCACCAATGGATCGGAATAGCCATTGATCCGTTAAACCATGGATCTCAACGGATAATACCTATCAACGAGACATGCTACTTTCGTCTTCTGCGAGTTTCTTGTTCATTACGGATATCCCATGGCTGTAGGGTACGGGATCTGGTTCTGTGTTCTTGCCAGGCCATTGTGTGTTGTGAAGGATGGGTTCAATACGCAGAATACCCTAGTCAAGTCGAAGAAATTCGTTTGATGTTGTTTGTTGTGGCATTCACTTGAGTGATGATATTCTGTGCTTAGGGTCGAGTCCGGATGTAGTGTTGTTGGATCACGCAGGGATACTGAGTGCAGTTAACGATTGATTGTTATTAACTCCTTGCAGTCGAAGGACCTTTGAGGCCTTATATCTTCGACTGATTCCTTCTAGGACTTCGTCCTAGCCACCAGCAGATCGGACCATCTTAGTCATACTGTCTCAACACTAGGAGTCGCAAGCAAAAAATAACTTAGAACTGTAAATAGCCTAGCGTAGTACTTGGCCCTATGAGGTTAATCCTCCCGGGCGGAATAAAGTTCATCCATTCATTTATTCAACGCAGTCGTTTCCTGAGGCCGTAAAGATTATGCCTACCCTGCGACAGGAGCATACCAAGTCAGATCTTCCGCGCAAGTGCAACCGAAGGTGGAGGAGGTAGGCACCTGCTTAATTCTATCTTTCTCGAATCTATTTAGAAGCACAGCCTACACCAAAACACATTTCGCTCTTAAAACTGCTAAGCTCTGCCAGCTCCTAACCTATACAGTATTCCCAGCGACTCACTTTGCTGTTAGAGACGAGGCCCAGTCCCGGTTTTTCTCCAACACTTCGGGGTAGCTTCGCTCAGTCTAATTAGCTGGAACCAGTTTCATTTGTTGAGCAGCGCGCTTGGAACGTCTCCGATTGTAAGTTTTATCCATGACCCTGACGTTAACCTTTACCGCTTGGGCAGGGGAAGGAGATGTTAGAGCGAAGCTAAAATTTAGCTCGAAATACGTGCCCTGCAGCCAGGATCGGCGATCTAGCTATTTCACTCAAAGCCGCGATGATTTCATCGCCATCAACCGACGCGTCGGTGACGAAATGCGGTCAAGGATCGCTTGTGGGCTATTTGGCAGCTTCGACCACCAAAACGACCACGCTAGGTCATAGAGCGGGGCTCCCCCCCCCCCCCCCCCCCCAGAATTTGGCCCACCTCTGAAATACACCACTAGGCTTCCTCCATGTCGCCATTTCGCCCCCCTAACAGCCCTATTTACCCTACCAAAATACCATTGTCGCCCAAAGCTATACATGACGCGACGTACATCATTGGTTCTTCGGACCAGTTCATCCGACTAGCACCTTGAGGTTTGAGGCTATTGGAGGTACAGAGAAACATGCATCTTACACGTCTAATCATATTACCAATCTCAAACCCCAATGACTTCAGCGCCCGGCCATAATCTTGACAATCTACTTTCTCGTTATTATATTGCCATCACAGCTCGCCCACGGCCAGAGTCTTGCGTCGCCTTGTGCAATTCCAACCCCTCGCCTCTGCTATTACTACCATCTTTGCCTCCTTACCAAAGCATCAACACAGAAAAGGGATCTTGACCATGGCATCGAAACGAAAAAGGGTCGGGCCGCATCTGCCGCTGCCTGCGCCGGAACGGCCTGGCGCCCCTAAACGAAGCAGTCGAAGACTGAAGGATGCCGTTACTCTTTCCACTGCGACCAGCGAGCGATCCCCGGACAAGATGGGTATTGACAACACCGTCAATACGAACTCTCCTAACGACCAAATGAGCAACCGGAAGACAAAGGTTATCGGGGACATTGAAGAGAGTGTTGAGGAAGCCATGCATAAGCTAAGTGAGATGGAACATAAGCTGCAGAACGCCGCTAGGAAAGAGCGTCTAGCAGTTGAAACCTCAGATCTTCATGTCGAGGAAGGAAGCACCGTCGAATCAGATATCCGTTCCAAAATTCACTCTCCAGAGAAAGATATCCTCCCTACAACTCGCATGAAGAAGGCGGACCGCCTCAAAAGAGCTCCGTTAGGCGGGCCCGAAGACGAGCTTGCCATGACTGATATCTTCAATGGTGAGGGCGACGAGGGCTCCGATCAAGGCGCAAACAGACCTCCCCCCGTCAACAGTGACAGGCTCCCCCTGCCGTGGTCGGGGCGGCTGGGTTATGTGAGTGCATTCCCTTCAAACAAAATGTTGCCCCTCAACCTCTCAACGTTAATTGGGGAGCTGTTATATGACTAAACTCTTATTAGGCCTGCTTGAACACGTACTTGCGCAATGCAAATCCCCCCGTCTTCTCATCAAGAACATGTCCACTGGCGTCTATCCTCGAGCGAGGCCAAAAGTATGCACAAGAGCTGGGATTGGCTAACGCGCGCGACATTATCAAGATGATTCAGTGGAACCACAAGTATAGCATCAACTTTATGAGGCTCAGCAGCGGGATGTTTCCTTTTGCGAGCCACGAAGAATACGGATATAGTCTGGCTCCGTTCGCGGCTGACGTCTTGGCCAAAGCTGGCAAAGTGGCAGCAGAGCGTGGGCACCGACTCACGATGCATCCTGGGCAGTTTACACAAATTGGAAGCCCTAAGAAGGAGGTCGTAGCCGCCGCTGTCCGCGACCTCAACTACCATGATGAAATGCTTAGCCTGCTTAAGCTTCCTGAACAGATGGACAGAGATGCAGTGATGGTCTTGCACATGGGTGGAGTCTACGGCGGTAAGGAGGCGACCTTGAATCGATTCCGAGAAAACTACGCCAAACTGTCCGACAGCGTCAAACGAAGATTAGTACTGGAGAATGACGATGTGGCGTGGAGCGTTCATGACCTGCTTCCCATCTGCGAGGAACTCAACATTCCCCTAGTATTAGACTATCACCATCACAACATCATCTTTGACCCATGTGTACGGGAAGGGACTGAAGATATCATAGGACTATACGACCGTATCAAGAAGACTTGGACAAGGAAGAAGATCACACAAAAGATGCATTACAGCGAGCAGACTGCCAGTGCCGTCGCCCCCCAAGAGCGTCGCAAGCATTCCGCCCGGGTCAAGACGCTTCCACCGTGCGACCCTGACATGGACCTCATGATTGAAGCCAACGATAAGGAGCAGGCGGTCTTTGAACTTATGCGGACATTTAAGCTCCCGGGCTGGGATAGCTTCAACGATATTGTGCCATATGAACGAGAGGACGAACCACGAAAAGCAGTCAAGAAGGCAAAGAAAGGCAAAAAGAATACCAACGGAGCCAGCAGCAACGCAGATGGCGACATCGAGATTCCGGAAAGGATAGTGGGCGCGGAGGACTTTGCGATGGGAGGGCCCAATAACAGGGTGTATTGGCCAGAGGGCATGGAGGACTGGCTGCGGCCGAAGAAGTGAGAGGCGAGGAAGAATGAGAGGGTGTAGCATCTGCGCTAGTACCGGTATGGATGAAGCATTGAAAGGTAAGAATGACATTGGATAGCGTACGGCAGTAACCTCTATGATTTTGTGTTTACGAAAGCATATAGGGACTCCTTTTCGCTCACGAGCTCTGCGTAGTAATTCAGTGTTCTCAACCATCCTTTTGACTGTCGTAAGCCTCCTGTCGCAGGCCGGGCATGGTCTCAACGAGCCTCAGGAACAACAGCCCTTAGTAATCAAGCTGGGTGATTTAAAGTAAAACCTGTGGGATGGAATACCCCACACAGAAGATAGAACCAATCAACTCACTACTGCTGCTCATTATGAATGACCCGACCTTCAATCCATTTTAAGCACATCCAGTGTGACACCTCCACTTCCGTACCTAGCAACGGCGCTAGCCAATAAAAATGCATTAAATCAAAGGTACATTTATCTCCGCCTAACTTTGGTTGTGCCAAAGGTCCCAGCAATTGCCAAGTCTACATAAAGCTACATTACATTCTTGACACCTATCGTGACTGCGGCGCCCTTCGACTGTTACCGCTAATCGCAGATAATGCTGCCCTTGATCTTCGAGACCGACGCTGACCTAGCCGGAGGCCTTGACAGGCAAGGCATTCAGATTTTCCTTTGCGATCGCGAGTGTGCTGTAATGTAGGCGTAAATTCGTTTCCAGTCCGAAATCTCTTTCTTGATTGCGTCTTTGGTGCATACACTTCCATAAGATCATTCACAAGCATTTGCCGCCAACTGCCTTGCGACATCTCTGCCTTCCATTGCGGCTGCCCTCGCTGCTGCAAAATGAAGCGATTTACAAGAGCAATTTCCAGGAGAAAGTCCCAAGCCAGGGCTTTCCAGCCGCCTTGGCGCACACGACGATCAAGGCCCCAATAAGCTCTCATTTAGTCACCTCGATCCACGGCATTCATCTCGTTGTTATAGATAGCAGCAATAGATGGGATAGAAACCTGTTTAACAGGGTCGTCACCAAAAAAAACGCTGTATTGGTCTTGCTTGCATTTGGTCTGTTGTTGGTTTCTTCCTGATGCAGTCAAGCCTTTCATTGCCCTTAAACACAGTCGTCAGAAATAACACAAGCGCATTGTCTTTCCAAGCGATCTGGTTGACCTTGTTATCGGCTGTTGGAATAGCTTTAACAACATTAAACTCGAGGCTGCCAGCAGCTGTATTATTTATAGCCTTTAGCTTGACAAGGGGCTTGTAGATGCCACAGTTCTCGCGGGCTGTGCCCGTGGCTCCATGGCCACGCTGCCGAAGTCTCCGGAATAGATCGCAGGAAGAGAACAAATTATCGAGAAATACATGGTACGTGGATTTCGGCAGTAAATTAACCAAGGCAACAACCACAGCTTGAGTCGGGTTCAGATGAATAGTGTTTCTCTCTCGAAGCCGCCGGCGCTGTCGCATCATCTGCAGCTGTGAGGGCAGGCGCCGGTAGATCGGCCTTACCCCAAAAGGCCCGAACTTCCGGCCCGGCCTATGCCAAATCCACCGAAGAAAATAGCCTCGCTGAGCCACAGTCCAGACTTTGAAGCCTGTGGGGATTGGCTTGGAAGGGATAGTTGTTGTCTCAAGTGATCTTCCTAGAAAACGGACCATACACTCATCTACAGCAATAGATGTGCCCGGTATATAGAAGACGGTAGATATATGTTGTGTATGGTCAGACCATGTATGAACCCGACTGAATGTACGGCCATAGAAGCCCATATCATCTATTGAGAGTCAGAGGATCATAGATATGAAGATGTCGAGATAGTAATTGGAAGCGATTATAAGACATCCATTTGACTACTGGATGAACTGGGCGAATGTCCTTAGGTTTTGAAACCTTCCAATAATCCTCAATGTTTGGCTCCTTATGTATTCTCATATACATTTATGTCGCAAGCCATACGTAGATTTTCGCAGTAGAGGTCGGCTTCCAAGCTAGCAGCCGCGATTGCGGATGTAGTCTTTGGGTGCCATCTTCATGCTGCTTAAGCCGGTGACTGGCCCAGCTGTTGGTGTAGCAGACTCAGCTTTCCACTAAGTAAATAGGCACGAATTGCGGGAAAAGCAACAGCGGCTCTGAGGGCAGGGCCGTTATCTCAAAGGGCCGGGTTGGAACGACCATGGCCTCGAAGTTGTAGCCACGATCAAGAATAGGGTCATGTATTGGCCGGCAGGTGTTATCAGCGGGCTGCTCGCGGCGGCTATCATCGACACGGATGAAGCTATTATCATCATATGCGTTGACTGCTTGGCTGATGAGCTGTTGGGAATCCATGAGAACTCATAAAATGAGGTATATGATGAAATGGGCGGGGTTGATTTTGGTGGTTCTCAAAGTCACTCCATGTACCTCAGATTCGGCGGGGGTTATGCGGGGCCAGGTACGAAGGTGGAGGCTTACGACAGTCAAAGGGATAGAGGTGACTGTTGGAAAACCCCTGAAAATCACTGCAAGTGTGCTAAATTGGGTGTCGCACTTAGCGTGCTTAAAGGGTTAAAGTGAATATGATGAGCAGCAGCAAATATGTTGATTAATTGTTGTTTTTTTGTTATCTCTTGTGCGGGGTATTCCATTCCGCAAAGTTACTTAAAGCATATAGCTAGATTACTAATGCAGTTGTTTCCCTGAGGCCGTGAAGATCATGCCTACCCTGCGACATTGGGTTAGCGGCATATTGACGTGGCCCCACAGTACATTGCACCCTGTACCTCAGCTTGAATTTCTCTATTTTTAGCGTCGCGGCAAGATGCAGTCTCGTGCAGGTATGAAATGCACAGATGGGCACTCAAGACTAAATGAGCACCTTGTTTTCTATCCACAGGAGCGCCTGGGCGCGCCCACTGACTAATCGCCACAGAATACCTCCTCCCATTGGTGCGTGCGAGACGCTCTTGGACCTGCAAGCCCTGAAAAACATTTCTTCCCGTGTGTAATAAGCTTTATACACGTATGATGTACTTCATGTTGTACCCATAGAAATTGCTATGTGGAAAACAAAAAAAAAAAAATTAATAAATAAATAAATCTAAAAAATAAATCCTAGGTATTCACGTCCTCACTGTTATACACCGTTCAACCTTGCTACTCTTAGAATGCAGGGCTTGTTGCTCCTTGCTATCTTTTCTGCACTTTTCCAGAACTCTTTCATGCCTCTCCTCTTGTTGGCTAGTGGGTTGTTACCCATTTCTCTCGCAATTTGGGCTTCAACCCGTTTATCTTCTACACTGGACCAGTCCAGACATGCCATCATTTCTTCCTTCGTCCACGCTCAAGACCCTGTTGCAGTCACACAACGCTTTGACATCTGCTTAAAGTCTAGGCGCCATTCGTAGCTCTTTTTGTCGTATCTTTGCGGAAGCCCTTTTGCCTTGCCATACTGCTGATTGGTTTTGATACTGTCGCGGGGCTGTGCGGCGAACTCGTTCGGCAGATGAGCTCGGCGGCTGTTTGTTTCGATCACACGCGTACACCACCTTGACCCGCCCATTCGGGGTTTTTGTAGATTTGCCAGTAGTAAAAGCATATCCCCGAGACTTCGCCCAGGAATTGACTGCTGCAAGGAGTGCTTCACGTGATTTGTATATGCCTTCTGGGGGAAGGACATCCACAAATGTTTGGGCCATCTCTGGATCACAAATTGGTGATCTGATTCCTGCTTCAGAACGCGTCTCGCACGCACCAATGGGAGGAGGCATTCTGTGGCGATTAGTCAGTGGGCGCTCCCAGGCGCCCAAGGATAAATGGGCGCCCGGGTGCCCACCTATCAATCGCCGTGCGGCTTGCCGCCGGATGAGTGCGACTTTGGCTACTACCATTTGGGCAAGCTCTCCTCAAGGTGCATCAAATATATCACCAAGGCTTTTCCACGCCGAGACAGAATGCTGCCACGTGCTTTACCTGCCATCGGCCAAAAGAAGCCATGTACGAGGCCATGACGATAGATGAGACATCACACGACGTGCATTGAGGTGAAGGATTGGCGGGTGACCCCAGTGTTGGAGGGTAGTGACGTCATTTGGTTAATAAAAGAACGAAAACAAAAATAAGGTCGCTCGCTAACGATGGAAGATCTACATGTAATGCATCCTCTTATGTAGAGAGGTTGTCTACTATTATACTATCTTAAGCCTGATTAGGACATGATGCTTCTCTACTTTATACCTTTCTGCTTTTGTAGCATTCCTCCCTACTATTGGTTGCTACGAAGTTATATTCTTGACGACCCTCTAGCACCTTGAAACTGGGAGATTGCGCGTCTGAACACCTATCTCAACCTTGCAGCATAGGGGAAAGGACCTCGAATATACCTAATCCTTCTTGTCTACCAATCCGAGCTCTCGTTACCTCAGTTGCCCTCGCAAATACACAGACACCATGGCTTTCGATCTCTGGACTTACCAGTTCTGCCTTGCCTGCGACAAACAGGTGCAATCTGACGCTGCAGCCTACTGCTCTGAGCCTTGCCAGATGATAGACTCCGAAAGGGCAACATTGCCGCCCAACTCGCAAGTGAGCTCCCCTGGATTCCCTCCGTCTCCCACCAAGTTCTATGTCTCCCGGGCGTATGACCTAAGTACCGCACGATCCTGCGAGACTACGGCTCAGAAAAGGCCCTGGATCCATTCTATGGTGCCCGGCACTGAGCAGGTCAGCTCTTTTATTACAACTCAAAATCTCAATCACGCAAACTCTCATAGTAGCCTTGGCTCCATGCTGAGTACGTTCTCCACCCACGAGGCAGGTCACCTGTCAAACAAGGCGAGGATGGAACTGCGAGCATACGCTATCTTATTCGAGCAGGCGACAGTGCAGCGGAGGCGGTCTTACTAGCCCGCATTGCTGCGATGTCTTGCGTTCAGCCGATATACTGCATCATGTCTATGTATATCTCAAACGGCGGGCCCGAAGCCGACTGGGAGGTTTATGCGACGACAGAGAACGTGACTCATTCCAAACTCGCTCGTCGGGCAACATATAATCACAATACCTACCTCACTACGCCACTTTTCTCGGCAACTTTTGCTGCAACAAGACGGTAAATTTATCTGGTATAAAACGTGCCGTTTCCACCTTATCACCTTTGTGGACAGTTTGTATTGAATGTTGGAGGGTTCACCCTCAACTTCAGGATTAAGGTTCAGGATTAAAGTTTGAAGTCCTAAAACTTAGACAGTAGGACTTTCATCTAAGACTTTCTAGGACTCAAGTCCTAGAACGAACTAGTCGAAGATATAAGGTCTCAAAGGCCCTTCGATTGCGACAGGATCAAGGAATATACACACGATTCACCTTAAATATCTAACAGTTTGACTCCAATGGTGATCTGGGTTTTGTGGGCGGATAGTACTTATTTCAAAAATAAGGTTCTCGTGGATCACCGCATTTAAAACGCATTTGCCGCAAAAAGCCCACAAGCTGGAGCGAGCCATGTATGACTTCTCCAAATAGGTTATCGCCCTCAGCCTTGCACTTGACATCTTTGATCATGGCACATTGATCGTGAAGTGTAACATCTCCAGGCGATGCAAAGCTGATAGCAGCAGTCGTTGATGCCCATGACCAGGAAAGGCCTCTCAAGGTGACTGGGGGTTTTCATACCTAGGTGTGCCCGCCTTGCCTGCCAGCTCCGTGGGTGTCGTGTTATAGTGCTGCCATGAAGTGCTCCAGAGAAGATCTAAAATTATTGCTTCTCTCCATAGCCCGGCGATATATTGGAAACCCGTTCGGCTCTGCATTATTTGAGCACTTCCAGCAATTCCGGGCAACCTGTCAGAATGATAAGTCAGATCTCGACGAGTATAGTTCTCTACCAGGTCTTGCCACAGTCGACCTGGATTAGGCTGAAGATTTAGCGTATTGTAGGCCAATATACTATGCTGGTTTCTCCCAGATGTCGATCCATCTTCGGAAATTGTCTCAGTGCAACACTCCCAGGCTAGCTCTGAGTCTGTATAATGGACTGTTCTTGTTGACAGTACATTCTCCTGAAAAGCCCACCCACGTTTAGAAAGAGGACCAAAGTCGTGCACTCAACTTTCCAGTTTCTCATAGCTGTGACTTCTCGCCTAGATAACAATGTTGCATTTTGTTCCGTCGACCAACTCATATTCTTCTTCAACAGATCGTCTTATTCCCCGCCTGGCACGAAGGATTCCGCGTTGTGCATGGGATACAGCAGATGCAGCTATCGTAACATGCGCATTTTTGAAGTATCCGCCCATTTTCACCGATTCGACCTCCCAATCTTGCACACTGTCTTGTAAAATACAACGGCTGTCCACCCAAAGGTAGTCAATTGCAAGTTCTGAAACTGCTAGAGCATGTGGTTGCAGTCAGAAGGACAACGTTGGCAGAGAATCACCCAGACCGGCTGGTATCACAGCACGTGCTCGCAGCAGCATATCAAGCCGATGAGCAGACGAAGAAGGCAGTCTAGATACTGGAGCATGTGGTTGCGGTTGAGGCAGAGATATTAGCAAAAGATAATCCTAGTCGGCAGCTGTCGAAAGACTTGCCGTAGTGCTGCTATGAGAAGTCAGAAGGGGCCAGTGCAGTAATGGAGTCTGAGACATCGGTCCTTGGAGGAAATGTAATCAATCTGACCATACGTTGGGTTTCCACCCCATGTAATGCTGTTGTAACAAAAAAGTGGGAAGCGCAGGAATACATTGTCCACTAAGAGTGAAATAAAGCAGCTTTCGGCCTGTGGAGTAACACTGCCGTGGGTCGCCCGATTATGGCTTGGTCGTCAGGATACACTGAGCACAGTAAAATCAGTGATTACTATATACACCTCGTAAGCTTGGTTCGTGCGCTAGAAATTGAAGAGAGTGTGCGGATGGACAACCGGTTTCGGTCTTTGCTGTGCGTAAAAATGTCACGGGAGAGCGCAGAGAACAGCAGAACAGAAAGGAAAAGAGCAATCAAGGAGCAGGCGCTGTATGGGCTGAGGACACGAATTTCAGATTGATGGTGTGAAACCAAGGTTCAGTATGGGCTTTGGGAAAATGCGGACACAAACTGAGCAATGTGTGGCACAGCATGGGCTTGGGGAAACGAGGACGAAAAGCAGGCGTTGTATGTAAGCATTAGGTAGCGACTAGTGCCCTTTCGGTCAGAACAAGCCGCCGGGCGTAATAAATTGTATTGTATTGTATTGTATCTTCCAGGCTAACGTTGGAAAGATACCTCCGGCCCACGACTGCGCCCTGGCGCTCGCTGATGTGGAAAGATACGATGTCGTCCTTCTGCAAGAGCTATGGACGGCTCACACAAAGACTCGCTCCATGACCAAAACTCACCCGGCTTATGATGCATTCACGCCAGTCGAGGTGTGGAATAGCAACGACACTCGGCCTAGAGTCATGACATACGTCCGACGAGACCCAAGACTCCTGGCTGACCAGATCCGGCCTTTTCAGACCCACGATGTTCTTTGGCTCACAATTAACGGCATGGCGATCGTCAACTTCTATCGCCAGAATGACGAGAGGGACGCCCTGAACATGCTGCTTCGATGGCCTGTCCCGGAACGCTGCCTTGTCGTGGGTGATTTCAACGCCAGACATCGTAGTTGGCAGACGGGCCAAGCTACGAACCGTGGCCAAGAGATTGCAAGCTGGGCGTCAGAGAATGACCTCTACCTCCTCAACACTTTAAATATCCCGACAAATCCACATGGCAACACAATCGACCTTGCATTTACCAACATGCCATTGGCTGAAGCTACCGTCGAGGATCATCCCGCCACTAGCTCTGACCACTTCACACTCAGTTTGACACTCCCTCACATCAAGCCAGCTCCGATGCAGCCGGGCATGATTCGAGTGACAACAGAAGATGAGCTTAAACGATTTGTCGAGATCGTAGAGCTTGGAGCCACAGACATCCCCCTCGCAGATTCGACGCCCACGGAGCTGGACGAGCTTGCGTCTTCACTTGTGAATCTACTGACATCAGCGGCAAAGGCAGCTGGCCGGCCCGCACGGAAAGGTGGACGTCCAGTCCCCTGGTGGACAGAGGAGTGCGCCTGCGCCGCGGCGGCATTCCGGGCTATCAGAAGCAGTTACCCTCTCGGCTTCAATCAGGATATCCAGATCGCTAAAAGAGACCTCCATCGCGTGGTCCGTCGGGCGAAAAGGCAGTACTGGCGAAATCTTATCGATAGCTTCTCTAGCAGCGGCGCTGTTCTCAAAGCTGTCCGGTGGCTCAAGTCCCCAGGGCCTTTCCAGCCGCCACCCCTACAGGTCGACGATATCGTATACGAAACTCAGATGGACAAGGCGAACGCACTTCGACGAGCTACACTAGAGCGTCGAACTTCAGACGACGACATTGCGGACCCCTGGGCACCAGTCTGTCCCCCTAAGTCGATTCCGCTTACGCACAAGATTTCTCTCGATGAGGCGCAGTATGCGACCCTCAACACAGGCAATACATCTCCTGGGTCAGATAACATCACGGTCGACCTCCTCAAAGCTGCCTGGCATATCATCGGGAAGCACGTCCGCCGCCTGTTCGAAGGATGCCTCTGTATAGGCTACCATCCGAAAACGTTCAAGGAGGCAGGAGTGGTCATGATCGCCAAACCCGGGCGACGTGATCTCACATCGCCTCGGGCTTGGCGACCAGTCTCTCTGCTCTCTTGTCTCGGCCAGGGGCTGGAAAGACTCATTGCACGCCGCCTGGCGTGGGCAGCCGTTCGCGCACAAGAAGGTGGCCACCATGGTCACGATGGACATCCAAGGTGCGTTTGACGCCGTCATGTGCAACAGACTGGTCTTGCGTCTCCGCGAACAAGGCTGGTCCGACCATCTAGCCAGATGGGCCGAGTCTTTCATGAAGGATCGATTAGCCCGGGTGAGGTATCAAGACACCCTCACCCCCTTTGCTCCTCTTCAGTGCGGCCTGCCTCAAGGCTCACCGGTATCGCCAATCCTCTTTCTACTCTACACTGAACCAATCTACCTATTGGGCAACCCCCAGGGCCGCTTTGGCTATGCAGATGACACGGCTATCTTGTCCATAGGCGACACAGTAGATGAAACGACTGCTGCGGCTTCCGCCTCCATCGACGAGATGGTGCGCTGGGGTATGGCAAACGGCGTCTCGTTCGACCCGAAAAACACCGAAGTCATGCACTTCTCCCGCACTAAACTCAGGACCTCACCAGCAGTACACCGCAGTGACGTCGAGACATACCCCGAGCCAGCTCTACGCTGGCTCGGTATCTGGCTTGATAGCAGGTTGTCGTTCCGGATTCATGTTGAAACGTAGGCTGCGAAGGCGCAGCCGTCGCCTATCACTTGCGACGACTGACCAACACGATACACGGCCCTCTTCCGAGTGCCGTGCGAAGTGCCGTCAGAGCCTGTGTCGAGCCAGTCCTGCTCCACGGCTCCGAAGCGTGGTACCCAGGCACCACCAGGCCGCGATGCAGCCAGCCTACCAGAGACACACCATCGAGCAATCAGCATCTCTTACAGAGAATGAACAAGGCCTTGTACCAAGCCATGAGAGCTATACTGCCCGTCTGGAAGACAACACCCATCACCGTCCTGCACCGAGAGAGTGGGATACCGCCAGTCGAACAACTTCTCGAAGCACGGCGACTCAGATTCGCGGCACGACTCAAATCACTTGACGACGTCCATCCTCTTGTGAAGCGAACGGCACCACCGCGTCGGCCTACTTACCACGATCTCATCAAACGAAAATATCAAGTACAGTCCAACGAGAGCTATCTTAGAAGATGCAGAGTCTTCTTTAGATTATGAAATTATCGCCAAATCGGTGCAGGAGGATATTGTAAGATTGCAGAAGGAAAAGCTCGAACTGGAGGCACGCCGGATCCGTAACCCCGATGGAGATGCTTATACAATCCGGCAGCTGCGCGAGATGGTGCCAGATCGAGCTCTACTCCTTGCGCTGGTCATCGTCGTTTTTCCCTCATTTGATCCTGATAACAGCCATTGTGCACCTCGAAATTGATTCCATCTCGACCAAGAACTTGGGAAGAGGCGCGATAATCAGTTCTCATATTCCTGAGATCATCAGCCAGGCCATGAACGACCTTATGGAAATGCTACAATACCAACAACATGCCAAAACAAGCCCTAAGTATCTTGCAAAAACAACCCAAGGTGTGGAGTGGTGAGGAATACGTCAGCTACAGCGCAGCTTCCATCCCCCACGATGATAGCCTGCTCATACCGTACCTGAACAGCCTTAGTATTCATCGAAAGGATTCAGACTCATTCTGGAGCAAGACTTTGCGCCATAGTTAGGGGCACAGGTCACAGAAATGAAGTTGCTGGAGCTTGAGTTTCTATACCGTGTGGACCGGAGAATTGTGCCAATCTAGAGATTCTGATGGCGTACTACCATGGCCTATTCGAGCGCACTTTAGGGTACACATTGGCACTGTCCCACTGGAAATAATGACACGTCACTATACAAAGACGATGCCGCCGGCTAGGCGGCATATTCCAAGGCCCAAAACAGCATGTGGTTTTTAAGCAATACTCCGGCGAAGCGGATGAGCAAGGCAGAGGCAAATGCACCTGTGGTTTCAGAGGCTCACTGAGATAGAATATAGGCGACGGCTGGTCTTGCACGGAGGGGTATTAGGTTCGGAGGGGGATCCATCTCGTCTCGATGAAGGGACTGATCTAAGTTCATCTCTTTGTACAGTCGATGTCGTATTCTGGCTTGCCGATGATGCAGGTTCAATCGTCTATGACGGTGAGGCACGTCGTTCAATGCAAATGGTGTCCTGGGACAAGATTGACAAACATGAGTGAATAAGTCGGCGATTTAAAGCAGATGGGAGGAAAGCACATGCCAAGAAAATATGGTAAGGGGATGGGGCTGGTGATTTTAGGGACTGAAATATAAAGCTGCACAAGCTCGCTGCCGTCTCCGCCATGACAGACCCCGCTCTAGTCGAATCTGCAATCTGTCATCATTCTGACGCATGTTGTCTTTTGCTCTCTTCGCTTATTCGGATAGAGAACTGCGGCTCCTCCTGGAATGCCTAGTTAGCACCTCCATTTATAAACCGAGCCATTGTCAGGTACTCAATTACAAGCTTAGAAGCTGCGGCCACCTTCGACTCGCAAAATGTGGGGCATTTCCGTATTTCAAGACCTGTATTTCTCGCTGGTGTTGGCGTTTCGAGCTGGAAAAAAGAACAAGACACGAAGTGCTGTGAGTTACAAATCTAACACCACACCTCACAACATCCTTGCTGACCGACGAAGAATCATGCTTATGTGTGCGTTGACTGCTACGACAACTTTCTATTGTCTGATTCTGTAGGGTTCCTTTGTTTTCCGAATGCGTCTATAAGTCGATGGCCGGTAACCAGAGCTTTAGGAATCCGTCTCCTCGTTCGAGCGGCCAGCCAGCGACAAGTAACGCAAATGTAAGCCCTCTGCTCATGAGAGGGTGAATTCCAGTCCCGAAAGGAATGGGGATTTTTTTTTTTAAGAAAAAAAAAAGGAAAAAAGAGAAAGAAGAGAAAGAAGGAGAAGAAAAGAATGGAGGAAGAAAGACAAAAAGAAAAATAGTCGAACATGTTCAGAAGCATCAGTTCTCAATGGTCAAGCCATGGCTCTCAATGGCCTCACGTTGAAGGCCACTTATGAAGACCATTGAGGAGCGTGATTGCTGGACAGACGAATAGGACATGGGAAGGCAGAGTACGTTGTAGAATGGAAGGGCCGGCCGG